TTCGTATCACGCGTGTTAAATATTCCCATCTCGTGCGTGTTCGTATTGAATCGTGCTACGCATAAACAATCACGAATATAGCACGAAACAAAATGAGCAACTTAATATAATAATAAAAAGATACTAATGTTAAGTAAATAGCCGCAATATACCTATGATGTAATTCCATTTGTACAATTATTTCTTGAGATTTAAAGCATAATATAATCAGAATATAAATGAGATTTGTGCACTACAGATATATGATCAGCATGGGGATACAATTCCATTTTCCGTCCGGTTAATCTGTCTTTTTGAACCACCTCTTCTCCCATAGGAACTTTTGTACTTTTGGCGGACATAGATTATACAAGTGTGTCGATATTGGCCATGTTGGATCACAATATTATATTATAACGCCGCTAGTATTGGAAGCGATATAATTTAAGAGTGATTGTTGAGCCAAAAACTGGTTTATTTCTAAAGGTACGGGAACCAAGTTACATATTGAGAATGCTGTACTCATATCTAAGTATCATTTTTGCATCACACGTGGGCTTCGAATGCAAAATAAACAATAAATTCATTCTAATGATAAGATAGTATGAAAACAGTGTCGGCCCGTGACCATGAAGGTATAAAGTTTTGTTTTAGTTTTGTCTGGGCCATGACAAAGATAATTAGCTAACTTAGGTCGTTTGTTATGAGTTAAGTACATAAAACAAGTTGGAGGCGTAAACATTCAGCTTTAAGATCAAGAGAGAGAGCCAGACAAAAGTAGAGAGACACACCTCTGTAGATTCTACTGTCAAAGCAAGGATAGCAAGGAAAGGCTAGGAATGTTTAATAAGTTTTTATTAATAAACTAAGTAAATATGGATGAAATTGGACAGTTTTTATAATTTAAATATTTGTATATGAAATAATGTGTAATAAATAAATAAATTACTGGCTTACCACCTAAAAATGTTTGACAAAATAATTGCCTTAACTTACTATCGCCTTGGTTGCCAGGCTGTCTGCAAAGCTCGGTTGCAATAATATTCCAAATGGAGTGATAGAAGCCAACATAAGTGAATTGCAAACAAACATGAATATGCACTCACACAAGCCCCCATGTTCATACGTCAATATGCGTGATACTCGTATTTGCGACACACACCCTGCCAAGTGTTACGCATACGCCCTGCATGTTTTTCTTCGAAAAGCGTCGGTTCTTGTTGCCGGTGTTAGAATGGAACACGCGAATTGCATCAGTGAATGTAATCCGATGCAACAAACAATACACAACACATTAAAAACAAGAACAGCAGCACTCGCAGCATTAACAATAGCACCTCATAATATAGTAGGTAGTTATAGAAGAAGAAACATGTTGCAAGACATTCGTTACGACAACGCCTCGACTTACGCAGGCAAATATCGCCCTCATGGTAATCGCATTTAAGGGGTAACCGAAGAAATTGAGGGGTTTGCTGTCTCTGGGACAATGCAAAAAAAACCGATTCAGTGCAATAGACTGGAAACGTGCACCCAAATGGCGATGGCAGCCACGACAACGACAACGATAACGAAGGCGGCGCATTTCAGTCAGTTACAAAAATAAACGTGTTGTTTGCCTCCATATGTATATCTCCGTGTGTGTGTATGTGTGTGTGTGTGGCAGTGCATGTGACAAGCTGCGCTAGTAGTTGTACGCGTGTATCTATCGACAATTCGCGCCTGCAAATGACAACAGTCGACTTGACGAGAGCAAAAAAATACGAATGTTTTTAATAAAATATTAAATTTCTTTGCAACATTGAGGCAGCCCCCAACGACTACAAAGTACCCTCTAACCGGTTGCCACATTGACTGCACGGCATATTCAGAAAAATATAACCATGAAATATATGAGTTTATTAATTTAGTTTCCTTTGGTGATAAAATATAAAAATATAAATTCTACATATGTAAAAGGTGATATCTTTCGAAATGTCTTTTGTTAGACAAAAATAATAAAATCTTATTTTTTAGACAATTTACTTTTAAACAAATACCTACAAAGTGTAATCAGATGGATAAGTCAATCCAATATACATGATTGACAAAAATAAAATTTGGTAAGGATATTACAATACACCACTTGGACCAAAATCTGCAGCATAGACAGACTACCACTAACCCCATTAAGAATATCTTGGATTTAAAAAGACGGCATGCTCAATTATTTTTTTGTTACAGAGTATAATAAAATGCAATGGACGTGGCAAAAAAACATTATTACACAAGCAAGAGAAGACAACAACACAACAATAAAAGTTGAAAAAGGCACATAAAACACGCTCACCTTCTGCGCTGACAACACAACAAATACCTGGTCGAAAGCAAATGTCGAGGCGCAGATACAATGTGTATGGCAGATAGGTTTTTCTATGATCTTCTGGAGGCAGCCCACAACGACGTCGCGCTAATTTACAACACGTGTACGGACACTCGAAATGCCTAGCTAATTAAGCAAAACTAAATACTCGTATCGAAATAGAAAACAAATACAACAAGGTTGTGTGGCAACTAAACGGTTGGTTGCATTGAGAACTGGAAATATTACGTATACGACTAATAGTCGTAGAAGCAACAATTTTGATTGCTTCATTTTCGCTTGTTATTCGCCATTCACAGTCAAGTGTTAAAATTGCAATTCGCAACAAATTAATTAGTTAATAATGCACAACAAATTGATCACGTTTTTTCGTATCTGCTGCACAGGTACTCAAGTAAGCGGAAATGTGAGAACAGGGGGCTAACATGGTAAACAACAAAATATATTTATGAATTTAGATTTGTAATCTGAAGATGATGCACACACCGCTTCTTCATTATAGACATTTGTTAAAAGGCATGCCAGAAAGTTCACTCAGAACTTCTGGTTCGGTACTCAATGTTTTACCTTATTTATGCAGTTTGAAACATTAGCATATAATAGATAGATGATAATTTTTATTTTTTGTTTCATCAACAAATATGAACTATAAGTCCGTCCGTGTAAGCGCAAGGATCTCGAAAAGTATAAGAGCTAGGCGTCCAGATTCTCCAAGGCCCGAAAAAGGACGATTTTGCGTTTTTTTCTTGATTTTTCGAAATTTGGCAATAAAATCCAGTGATTAGTGATTGTGTCCATCTGTTAAGTTTCATTATGAAAATAATAAAAACCAGTTAGTGATTATGTGTCCATCTGTTAAGTTTCATTGTGAAAGGTAATTATGAAGAAAGTTAAAGACATATCTGCAATCTCTGCCCACGTTCTGCACGCATCTGTAGTCGTTGTTATTCCTGCTTTTACTTAATTCTGTACTGCACACAAACAAGCACAATCACGATTCTGATGTAAATGCATGCTGTTGAAACTGTACTAATCATAAGTCTCCACTTAGGTATGTATCATTTGAATATTTTTTACTTAAATAAATACATTTATTTTATTTATTAAATAAATAAAAAAATGTTGGCATCCCATTGTTGTTAATACTTAATTCATCATTTTTTAAATGACACTAAAAAATATAATATTAAGTGATTCAAACTAAACATACAAATAAACTATTATAAAATACTATGCTTGATATCTTTGTTTAAAATGGTATGCCTGGGCTTGGCATAACTCAGCGAGCTAGCACGAGTCCCACAATGTGAATTCGTTCCTTGAGTAGGCACTCGGTTCGAATCATGATTAAAAATTGTTAAATTATCATAAAATTTAATAATTGTTCAGCATCGGACAGATCTTAAATATAGATTAAAGATATCAAGAAAAAAAGGCTATGCCTAATTTTCTGCTCAGAAGGTAAATATGTTTATCAATTTATTAGAAATAATCAGAGTCCATTTATAAAACAATTATATTATCTCAATTTATAAAACTACTGGCAGGTCTTGCCCGTCTTAGATATAGATGGACTCAGCATTTTTGCTTCCAATATAAGTTAACAATATGCCATTTCTCTTTCGACAATCTCTAAAGTTTCTAAAGGAACTGCCAATTGCAAATTACTTTGGTACGTTCCGAAAGCTGGGACATATAGTACAATACATACTGTGACCATACACGTACCATTTACATTTCGTACATACTTGTATGTATGTATATCGTATGTATGAAAATATCTGAAAAATAAAAATGTTAATATTTGGAAATTAAATTGTGAAATTTCTGATAAAATAAAATGTTGTGGCCACCCTCCTCTGCGATTCTCATACCGACCGAACCCTATAACAGGAAACTTGTGTTCATTTGTGTATAGTGCCGTTTGGGCTGTGCGTTATTCGCTAATCAGTCAGTAAGGGCAAACTGTTTTATATATATATATACATATATATATATATATATATAATTATATTTTAAAAAATATTTAAAAAAAAAAAAATTTATTTGAAAATATTATAAGAGTAATAATAATATATATATAGTTATTATATTGTTAAAGTGCTTAAGCTATTATCTTTGTACAATATTTGTATTCACTTATAATATTATTAATGGATTTAATGTTGGTTTGTTTTCATTATCGTTAGTAACAAATTCTCAAGAATGAACTTCTGACGTGACTTATAATTTAAAATTACCGCCCAAGGCTAACATACAAATTTTTGCCATTTACTGTGAATGACAACTCAAGTATCTTCGATACTGTACATGAAAAAGTATTGAAGAGACATGCGCATTAATTTACGTTTTAAAAATGCACTGGTGTGAATTTTTGTAAACCAACCAACCAACCGCATGAGCTATGAACCCATTTTTTTTTATCAGGCATGCATTTTTTGATAACCGTTAATAATATTTGAAAAAAAAAAAAAACACAGCACCAATTACTCAGTTGGATTTTTCCAACGGTAACTTGGGGTCACACTGCTTCATTGTCATTTATCAACACTAGCATCAGCTGTTAGTGCATTTCTGTTGAATATTTCTCCCCTTGTTTTTAATTTAGCGTGTTTTCGGATCGCGTTTGCATTATTTAATAGAATAAATCATAAAGTTTTATGTATTTAAAAGGAACACCGAGTAACTATTAGTGCTACAGCAACATAAAAAGCACTTGCACATCGGCTTTGAACGCGGTGCTTGGAAAACATGCCTGCGCATTGTTTGTTGTGTTGCATCGTTGCCAAGGAAACCGGAAAAACACAAACACAACAAGTTACGTGGTCGATCGTCGGTGTGTATGTGCCACACTTCCTTCCGGTCTAATTTTTATTTCGCAACATAATTTCGATGGACAATAGGACTGCCATTTATAGATTTTTTCCCAAATAAAAAATCAACCGGCAACAACAACAAAGTACGCTTATTTTATGCGTATTATTGAAAATTTCCCATTGATTTACTAAGAGCTTAACTGAGTATAGCAGAGGACGAAGTGATATTACGCATTTGATATGGTAAGTACTAGAAAACATACAAATCACACACCCACCCACACATAGACAATTTGTTGGTAGTCACAAAGCTTAGATGAATGAATTGTTAACAAGCCCGATGGGCTCAAAAATCCCGCAATCGTTTTTATTTATTCAAATATTATCGCTGCCAAGTCAAGTGGCCGCAATCAAACATCAAAAGCGCACAACTTTTCTCATTTTACAGTAGTTACGGTTACAAGCAAGCTTTTCAACTTTTCCATCAGCCTCGCATTAGCTGAAGTTTCCATTGAGGGGGAAAATGAGAAAATTATACACCCGCGGATTCATTTGGTTTCTTTTTCAGTTTTTAAGTTCCTGCTTACAGGTCGAGTCATTTTCACAGACTCAACGTTTAAAAGCAATTAAAGCGAGCTCTCGACTTTGCAGCACAAGCCAAAACCACCCTCCCTAGCCAGTCAAGGGGCAGGTAACGGCAGCGGCAACCGACGCGCAGCAGCCACTGCGGTCGCACATGTGCCACAGCCATCGACGTCCAAGTGCCGTGCTCGCTCCTTATGGTATCCTGCATTACTTGCGCCTTCGCCCACCTTTATCCATGGCCGGTTGCACATTACAACGTGTCTGTCCGCCAGGTGTCAGGCAACCTTACGCCGTATACCTTTCCGCTTTGCTGCCTTGCCATCAATATAACGGTACGGTCCGCTTTCTGCTTCACTGACTCGCCTTTAACGCGACGTTGAGGCCTGGTGGGCGATGCTCCTGCAGCACATGCCACACGAATACGAGCACAATATGTGTATATCATCCCACACATATGTATACACACACCACATTTGATGAGCAATGTCCATTGTAATGAATGTCAAAGCTATCAACGTCAATATCAACATCATCGTCATAGGCATCATTGCCTGCTTGTGGGAGTCCGGGTTGGATTGGCAATGTCGTTGTATTGTTACCAGATTTAATTGCTCATATATGTACGATAGTTCTTAGAAAACATTAATCAGGATATTTATATCTCGACTTATTGCAATATTTTTCTAATTATGTTTAAATAGTTACATGTTTAAGTACTAGGTTCGCTATTAGTTTGCGAAGCAACAAAATATATTTTTGAACTAATTTTCTTAAAGGGCGAAAAGAGATAAGGCAAAATTGTTAGCGCACATGCCCTCCTGTTTGGATAACCGCTTGGATTGCAGGAACACAAGTTTATGTTATTTTTCCATCCACTAGAAATCTTCATTACTACTGTCCACAATTCCTAAACTACACCAAATTTACTTTTAAAAAAAACCGTTTTGTCGTAGCTCGTCGCTATCCAAGGTGAAGCAGCAAATCGTCCTTTTTTTGATTTGCTTGAATGTTTGATGTTCTAGGTGTATCTTGCGGGGCTAACTCGACCACACGAATGGTCGCTAAAGACCAATTTGTCCCTTTTGTTATTCAGCAGCAATTTCCAAATAATATATAGTAAATTGGTATATAAATGAGTGTTTGATATCATAAAGCATTAAGCTATCGTTTTTATTTTATAAACCTAAAATGTTAGGGTATTTTCATTATTTTCGAAGAAAGTGTAAGATAAAATAAAGTCTCGGCTATAAGCCACAATGTAGGTTTCCTATAGCTATATATTTTGTATGAACAAATATAAAAACTCACTTATGCTTAGCTTTAATAGTTTCTTTAAATGGTGGAACACTAGTCCTTATAGAACCAGAACTAAGTAATATTTGTATGTAGTCGTTAAAACTCAGTACTTCAGTATATTCATTTGGACACAGTTTTCAAGTTTGGCTTCACTCAGCCAAATGTTGACTGAGCATTATGCAAAACAATTGCATACCAAATCGAAATTCGAAAGGCGTCACGCTGCCCGAACACCAAGCGTCCCTATGCCAACACAGCTACCCACGCAGATCTCACTTGATTGGCTCAAGGGTAGTGGGCACGCACCACACAAGGCCGGGGAAAAGGGTCAGAGCCATAACCAAAAACAAATATAAATGTATAATAAAAAACGTGCGTATAGGCCATACATTCCAATTACACAGCGAAAAAAAATTTGAATATTTTTTAAATATGTAATAAAGAAATTGTATGATAAGCGGAAATGGTGCGCAGGTACAATTTTCACAAATTAGGGAAATATTAATATAAAAATCAAATTATATCGAAATCTAGAGATATTTTCCTTTAAAAAAAGGTTCCTCATTCGAAAGTAATTAGGTATTAAAATACGATATTATGGGGATATTTTAAATCAATTTCCAGCTACTATTCCCAGCAATTTGTCCATTAATCGTTTCCTATACCTCAGTGCCTGTTATAACCATTTTAATAAGATTTCTAATAGTTGTAAGTCTGAGATCTAAAACTGAAAGAAAAGTGGAAATGCCTTGATTTTTGAATAAAAAAGTATCTCGCAAGTTTAAATCTCTCTAGTGGAGCACATTAGGTATTTAAATACATAAATATTATTTTCTCTTAGTGCATGCATGCGACATGTGAAGCAGGCGGTCACATTTATTTTAGCCATTATGAACATACTTAAATGCTAGCCATCTTACTTCTGCACATACGGTGTTGTCAACAACAGCACTGCCGACGAGAGGGACGACCGAGACTCACAGACAGGCAGGCGGACAGACGGACGGACAAAAAACCGAATGCTTTTGGCCATGTGCAGCATGGCAAGTAAACCGGCCACCACCACCAGCAACGGCCATTGACAAGTTTTCTAATAATGCACGATACCAACATCACCAGCATTTTGACCAGCCATTACAACAATAACAGGCGCTGCATCTACCCCCTGCCCGAAGGACCAAACGACATGTGCACTAACGGCTAGGACAACAGCTGAAATACTTTGCCATAGCGTATAGTAGTTAGTTGGCTATTTACGCTCAAACTTGACGCCAATGCAGTCAGTCGGCAGCCAAAACCTACAACAACAACTACGCCAGCACGAATGCCAACTATAAAAAAAATAGTGAAAATAAAGCGTACAGCGTTCGGGTTTTTCGGCACCTTTGGCACTTTGCTGGTCGGCAATTTCAATTGCATTTCATTTCATTTTCGGAACTCCGTTCGCTCTGTGAAATCCGGAACCCAAAAGTCAAGCAACGCCAAAAAGTAAAGCAAAGTAAATCAACAAAAAAATAAAAGGCATTAAAACCGAAAAATACCAAACTTTATTTGATCAATAATTTGCCAGTGCGCGTCCTTAGTGATGTACAGTCCAGCGTCTATTTGTGTTTGTGAGTGTATGTGTGTGTGTGTGCGTGAATGAGCAGGTGCGCCTTTGTGTGGGTGTTTTTAGTCAGACGTCGTCTTGCAACAAACTTTGAAATTTCTGCACTGCATTTTTCACGCGTCAAATTTATTTTATAGACTTTGTCGCTCGCCATTTGATTTGTGCACTAGAAACTTCAGAGCTTTGTATTTCCGGTTGGAAGGGGAGACGCGAACGCATAGTCCCTACCCGCAACCCAACTAGTTGGGGTTGTTGCAAGTTAAACGACGTTACTTCGTTTATTGTTTATAAACAACAACTCGACTCAACTACATGACGTATTCTCGGTCTTGTTGTCGCTATCCCGGTCATATTCCCATTGCTGTTTGTTTGGATACCCCAGCCATCTACATATATACATATGTATATTTGCTTGTGTGTGTGCCCACTGGCTCCCTTTTGGCGTTGCCAGCGGCTTACCATTATTTACCACGAACCGTTGCCCAGTAAACAAGTGCCAGAGACGCAGCTTAATTGTGTGAAAAGTGTAAAAATGTGAACAAAAAATTCAACAGCATTCTGTTCGGTCATTTGAATGCATTTAAACGCTTTAATATGAATCAATGACACAAAGAGTCTAACGGATTATGTCAAGTGACTTAAACTAATCACTTTTAAAAGGAAATACTTTATTTACAGGAAATTGTGGATATATCATAGTATGTATAGTAAATGCTTTATTCAATTCTAGCATCGTTGCCCTTCGATTTGATTTTCTTGTCATTCGCATCTTTAATTTGAACAAAAAGTTAATACTTTAAAAAATAATTAATTCTCTGAGATGTAGTACAGTAGTGCGCTTGTTTACGCATAGTTCTTAAATGTATATCTACAAATTGTTTGATGCTGCACACACATTCTATGAGTTTATATATTTGAGGACTTAAGGTAAAGTCCTTATTGTGCCACTGAATACATAGTACGTTTACGAATGCAAAACTGACTCTTCTTATAAGGACAATCTCGCAACACTAAAGAACATAGCAATTCATACCATTTAAAATGGATTATTACCCGCTATTTATCTAAGAATGTGCCATTCCAATTATGCAGGAATCTAAATAGAGAAGACATTAAAAATGCTTCTCTAGTTTGCTTTCCACTTAATTGAAAAGTTTTAATTGCAAGCTCCTCTTTCGCTTTATGTAGCTAAACACGCCCACCTCAAGCAGTCCATTAAGCGATGCCAATAGGTTGCCCTGAAAAGCGAAGAAATGAGGGAAATAATTTAGGCACGACACAAAAATGTATGCTAAGGTGTGCGCCTAAAAGATGCCACGGCACAAATCGAAAAGCAAAATGGCGGCTGTTGGCATTGGCAGCGAGGCATAAAAGTATGCGTGTGAGTGTGTGTATTTGCGAGTGTGGCTGTGTGTATATATAAGGCACATTTTTGTCATTGTGTTGAGAACAAAAACGCTTGGAAATCAAAGAATGTACTTGTAGAAATACCTGTGAAAAGTTTAATTTCATAGCAACGCCCTAGCGGAAGCGCCAACTAGAGAAGCAACCCCAGAGCACAGGCGGCAACAAAAGAAGCAAAATGCCAACAACAAGAACAACATTAGCCGCATCAGCAATGTTGACAGGAATAGCTATCTGAAGACATATAAAACTCATATATGAAATACTAATGAATGAGCTGAGCTGAGTTCAGCTGAAAGTGAATACATATGGTGGAGAGGGGAGAGAGCATACATATTTAATTTTAGCTTCAAACAATTTCTGGTGAAAATAATTTAGATCATTTATTTGATTTCGCTTTCAATCTCTTATTGCAGCAACATATACATTAAAGCAACTTAAAACCAACTACATTTAAACACCGATATTGCCTTAAACAAACGAGTAACGGAACAAATAGGGAAAACCAGCAACGGATCAAGAGACAGGGAGGAAGAGAGCAAATAGCAACACTAACTAGTCCACGAATTTCGCATCGAAAGTGCTAAAAAGTCGCCTTCACATTCTCCCCAACACCACTGCACTTATAATCCTTAAGCATAGAGTTTTAAGAAACTAATTAAAACAAATACAAAATAGAAATAAAGGAGTGAAGCAGCTACAAATGACAACACGCTTGGCGCCGCAACGCCAGTTCATCATCTCGACGCGCTCTGCTGCCGCCGCTGCCAGCGTCGCTGCAGTAACTGCCAACGTGGATGCCAGCCAAACGAAACAACAACAACAGCAGCAGCAACAACAGGAGCTGCAGGAAGAACAGCAACTCGCGGCCAAAATGGCCGGAGATGTGGTAACCATTGAAGCGGCAACTCTAAGCCATTCCTCGAGTTCGTCCATGGAGGAAGAGTTTCAATTCTGCTCAGACGATAATGTGGTTGTGACCGCCACCAGCTCGCTGGAAGATGTCATGACGCAGGTGAGTGGCCAATAATAAATACGTATTACATTCACATCTTAATCTCGGAACAATCCGATTTATATCACAAATTATGAACCTTTAACTGAAAACCACAAACCGCCACTACATATTATAAGTAATTCCTATTTTTATTGTTCTCTGCACTGATTATTTTGGAAAGTTTTTACCTCCAAATGTAAATATAGAAAGAGTATAGCATTTCTTTGACTGCGAAGAAGTTAAAATTAAAAAAAAATTTTATTGCAGACGATACGGTAAAATAATTGGTTTGAGATAAGTATCTTGTATCCAATTGCTTGAAGCCTTCTAATCGTGTTGGTTCAAAAAAAATTGGTTATTTTTTTAAAATTAAGTTTAATCTTAGTCGGCCATGCTTCAAAAACACTTTTGACAAAAAATTGGTTAGTTCGGATTGTAAAGATGACAGTACGCGTATAAATTTTGTCTGCATCTTCTTATAATTTTCATCCTGCATTGCAGCTGTACTGACAGCAAAAAAGAAGAGAAAGTCGACCTACTAATAACTCGTACGCATGAATCTGAGTTAAAGAGATTTAATTCTACTCAAAAGCTTTATGAACAATATTGCACACGTAATCCATTTGCAATTATCTAAATACATACGTTTAAAATTTCATCCAAATCGGTCAATTCTAAGGAAGGCTATTTGCGAAAAAATTTTCACTCCCGCAGTACCTCGCCCACAAACTGCTCTTAGCTCTTCTTCTTTTTGCTTCTACTATGGGCGCAAATAACTCGGTGCCGGAAGTTTTTCTGGGTACAGGGTATTTAACTGTCGGGCTTGCTCGACCGTAACGTTCTCTCTTGTTAGCAATCGAACCTACTCGATTAAAAATAATGCAAAAAGAAAACTTGAGCAAGAAATGTGATTTCGTTGTGAATTTACTTTCTTTTAAGAATTGCCAGCTCCTGCAAAAGAAACTGAATAATGCCGTTGCTGCTGCCGTGGCTGCCAACAACAATGCGTCAACAACAGAGACGGGCGAACAGTTGGAGGTCATACGGGTTGTCCTGCCCATGGATGCCTCAGATTCGAGCAACGATGGCCATACACACATCCATGGCAACAGCATTGTCAGCAGTGCGGCGGCAGCAGCAGGAATAACAACAAAACCAACAACTGGCACGGCTATACACGCCATGTCGGGTCTAAGTGCAATTAAGGATACCGTTGATCTGGCGCAACAAGTGGCCAATGGACAGGTGACTGTGGTGCAGGCTGCCGACGACGAAGACGGCACACCGCAGTTCATAACAGTAACAGGTGAGTGTGAGCTAACTCTTCTATTCCACTGGCTTGCAAATATTATATACATACATAATTTGTTAAAATAAATTGTCAGTAAGTTGAGTAAAATGGCATTTCATTTGAATCTTCGGAGAAAGATCAGAGAAATGAATGAACCTCTCTTGGTCAAGCATTCGCAGTTGGCCCATTTTTATCCGCCTAAGCGTATTTTCCACTTAAGAGGATACACCGATTTTTTTCATTTTCTGCTTGTTTGTCTATTTAGGCGATTCAAATAAATTGCCTCAATATTAAGATTTAGTTAAGAATTTATGCAAGTAAGTATTGCATATAACAACAATCAAAAATTAAATCCAAAACGCAGCTTCAAATTTATCCAATAACTCTACATACATAGTTATGTGATTTTAAAAATTCGGAGAATATTGATTGATTGTTCAAATGCTTTTAATATGATTATCAATGCTGTTTGGTTTGAGCTTCTTTTGTGAAATTCATGACCAATATCTTCAAGTTTTAATTCAAGTTTATTAACGTTTTTCCTTCACATACATTACCAATGTATAACTAAATTATTCTAAACTAATAACTGTTGTTTTAAAGTATTTAAAACATAGACTTGCATTTAAAATTTCCATTAACAATGGCCAAAAGCAGTTTTATTCAAATTTTGATGCCTCTATGCATGCCAGCGTCCATTTACATAAGATTTGCTTCCAGAAAAGAGAGTCTTCAGTTTAAATTTGACGAAAAATAGTGTCCGAAGAAGTTACGAAAATAGTGCTCCTAACAGTACACACAAACAAATGACCGCCTAGATAGATGCCCGGTTAAAATAGTAGTCCGTTAAGAGAGTTTTAACCGTACAAGTTAGCAACGATTTATTGAGTTAGTAATTCAGAACTGATTTGCGTTAATTTTTATAAATCTATAAACACAACTTTGTATTTATTTGTATGAGCAGTGATGCGAGTTTGGACGTTTAGATTTTCGAATTTCATTAAGACTTGAAAAGCAAATTAAATAAATGCATTAAAGCATTAAACAAATAGAGCTGCTTAATATTTAATTAAAATGAAAAGTTGTTCAAAATTTGCTGCTGCTCCTTCCTTTTGTGGACGATTATTAAAAAAGTTTCCACAATTAAACTGCTGTGCAGCTTTCAGTTAAAATCTCATTTTGCGCAAAAAGTTGACGCATATTGTTTACATATGTTTTTAGTTGGTTGCAATTGCAGTCATCACTTAAGCAACTTTTGCAATTATCGAGAGAATAAAACTGGGAACTGGGGACACAAACAAACAAAAAATGGCGGGAATTATTGCGTAAAAATCCTCAGTAACCGCTACAAGGGCTGGAATGTGGTCTGCACTTGCAGTGCGCGTAAATCAAAGTGAAAACCAACAACAGACAACCAAAAGTCGTGCCTTTGTAAACAAAAATAATGACAGGATCAGCATGTCGCTGTTTTGGGAAGGGGTGGAAGAGATTAAAACCGTGTGCTCTGTAACCGTTTGGCTGATATCACAATTAAAACGACTTAATTTGTAAAATGAAACGTTGAGTTGGGTGGAGGGAGTGCGGAATAGCGGCCGTGTGGCCAACAGAGCAGCAGACACACGCCCACCCTGTTGATGATGATATTGAAGATGATACCTGGGCAGGTTTAAAGGACCAGCACCAGGACCAGCGCTCAAAATTCGTGTGCGCTCGCCTCGCACGTGCAAAACAAAGTAACAAAAGGTCGAGCAAAGTGCAGCTGGACTGGAGGGGAGTGGTGGATGGTGGGTGGTGGCAGGGCAATATGATGGGTCGACATATATAATTATTATATTCCACTTCAGCTGCACAATGAATTAATCGCGATTACACTTGGTGAGCACTATCTAGCCGTATAGCCATCATCTCCTCTCTATCTGTGCAGATCACACGCTGCCGCTTGAGCCGCATAATGAGAGGGGTTTGTGCGTCTACTGGCTAGGGGAGAGGGCTCTGTTGAGGGTGCGACTGTTTGTCAATGATACTTGATTTTATTAGCACAAATTACCACCACCACTACCACCAGCAATAGCAACAGCAATGGCAACAAACAACAAATAATCACAACAAATTGTGAAAAGTGGAGGGGGAATGAGGAAGGAAGGGTCGAGCGTCGATGGCATCCTAGTTAAGCGACTCACTAATAACCGCCTGCTGTTTCCTAATACTTTTTATTGCCTTTTGTGTTGTTGGGCGTTATGTGCGTTATGTGTGGCATGTTTGACAATAAAGGTGTGTTGCACATTGGAACAAGAATTAGTAAACTTTAAACCGACTCAAAACCGTATACGTTATTCCTTTTGAGCTCTGCCACAATCTGCTCTATTTGTACTCAATGTTTCTATGGAGACATCTTTTAGAGCAAAGAACTTCTAAAGAACACAAATTTAGAAACACATTTTTCAATGCTTATTTTTTCACTCTCGATTAAAATTGATAAATAATTCATCATGATTATACATTTTGAAAGAGCTATGTAAGTCAGTCATGGCAGTTCTCTTTCCATTTTCGATATTAAAACTGTGTGCACTTTTTGAAGATCCTTGCCATCGGACAAAATTCAATTTTGTTGTCTATGTCGTCAAACTAGCATACGTTCAAATATGTAAATCCTTTGCGTACGATTGAGTTTTAATTGTACATTAGACTTTGAAAAGTAAAATCGAAAGATGATGTTTGTCGATATTTTTTTTAAAGATTAGAATTCTGAATTATTTGAATTAAAATTGCATAAAATTCGTGACATATGTAAGTACTTGTAAAGGTTAATAAATTTGAATGCATATTATTTAAATTAATATTGACAGTTGAAAAAAAAAAAGATTAGTAAGACTCCAAGCTTCTCTTAAATTACACTTAATATTTTTTGATTCGCACAGCTTTTCAGAGTTCAACTGCTATTATACAAGTACATCAATCATACAGTACATATAGTACACACGTATTTCTGCTCTGCTTAAAAGCTCTCAGTGCAATTAGCAGGAATTTACATTGAAGTCCTTCTCCTTCGGTTTCTTTAGTGTATACCACTGTGCCACTGAAATCCTTTCTAGTGCCATTCAGTCAGGGACTTTGCAAAGTTTGAAGCACTAGTGAGGCAAACGTGAGGCAGCCCAGCCAAGGTACACAATTCAATTGATACGGATTAGTGAGTGCTCATCAAATCGACGATGCAGAAAAGCTTAACATTTAATAAGGACAGTAACAACCATAAACGGACGAAAAAAAACAGCTAGTAGTATTATGGCTACGAAAAAGGGTTGGGGAGGATAAGGAAGCTCGAGAAAACCAGCATATGTTGGACTTCTCTTAATTGTGCAAACAGAAAAATTAGATAGCAATCAATTGAAAAGCATGGAATTTTTCATATTGCATGACATCTGGGGAAGGGATCTTGGCGTAGGAAGCACTACAAAGCTGTCAACAGAATCTATTCAAATCTATATATACCGAACGCTATATTCATCCTGGACAAGGTGCATTTTGTTTACAAAAGGTCAATTGTTTGTTGTTGCGATGCAGGGATAAGCGGCGCCCTCACAGCGAATTCAGTGCCTGCTTTGAGCATCGGTGCTCTTGAACCCTGCAGCACAGTCGTTGCTAGGGTGCATGGCGCACTTGTCGGTTATCCTGGCAATTTATTTTTGTTTATTTGGAAAGTTTTGGGATTTTGTTTATGCGCACACAGAAGTTAAACTCCTGCGCCTTTGTTTGTTAATGGAAAGTGTTTTTGTTGTTCGTTATTAGATGCGATATCTTTTTGAGTGTTGGCCCACTTCAATGCTTTTGGGAATGCCCACAAGTGACGCAGCTTAAATGTTGAACGATTAGTTGAGGTGCGTCTTATCATACGGCCTAAGTGAAGCTGATGTGGTCAGAGATTGTAGCAGTTAAAAAAACACTCTGGAAATTCATTTGACAGCCGATTATATTTATAATTGAATCTTAAGATACGGAATGGTTTAGTTGAGAAGCAGGGATAGTCAATTTCTTCTTCGTCTACACAAAACAGACAGACAGCATCGATAATCTAATCCTGCGAAGGAAAACAACCCCAAGGTTTTTCAACGCCGTATTATTTTGATCGAAGTTTAATCAGGAAGTATCTCCGAAACGACTTAATACGATCCTGCGCTTCTTATATTGCGAACCCAAAAATGATGAACAATGCTTAAAAATATGCTTTTTCTTTTGACTTGGACCTTAGGCGTAACTTCGAATGGAAACTATTGTATTCATGGAGTTTACAAACCCAAGTGATTTGTGTTTGTGAATATCTCTGATTTGACAGGAACTATAAAAATGGAAAACATATAAACCATAACTCGGACGGGCTAATTAATAATTTTGCAGCTTTCCTGGACAATATAATAATAGAACTCAAACAACAGCTGCACTTTGTGGATTCTCCAAATTCAGTTTATCTACATACTATATATCCCAAAAATGTAGTAATTTTGAATTATATTTTATGGAAATTACGGGCTAATAACTAAGCTTTCGGTTAAGGCTTGAAGCTCGTCTTTATAGATATTATGCAGCAACAGTTTTCGACGAAAGAAAAAGGAAATAATAAATTATCTGCAATATTGTTTTCGTCCTCTTTTTGTCTTCAATGCTGAGTTATTTCACTTCAAAAATTCGTTTCGTGCTATTATCCCTACTTATCCCCTAAGCCAAAAGTTAAAACATAATTTCGAAACAAAAATTACAGAAGACATAAAGTGGAAGTCTTTAAAACGAAGGATGGCCACTTAAATCCAAGTAGATGCAATTGTCTGCAGCCCAGGGGCCTCGAGCACTTGTTATTGTTTACAGTTCAGCGTCAAAGAGCACACCACCCACCCACACACACATACACGTAAACACACACACACACATACACGTATGCACTTGGACAGGAATAAAAACTAGAGAGCTGCCCACAGAGTTGACCGCATGAGCTTACGGACGGACACGCCGCACACACATTTTTGAAGCGGCAAAATTAATATGTGAAATATTTTTCTCAGGCTTTAGGCAGAAGTGGCGAAATCAACAAACAGAAAATAAAAAACAAAAAAAAAAACAGAAAACAAAATGGGGGATAAGCGAGCAGAGAAACGACGAAGCAAATGCGGAAAATTCCATGCACCCACTCGGATTGCCCAAGTAAAGCAGGGAGGATGTTGTGGACAGGAAGGGGCAGCCATCTAGACACCCACCAGAGTGGCGCGTGCCGGCAGCAAACGTTTTGGTTGGCCAACGCACACCACACAGCATCCGCACCCCCAACGCGTGTGCTGAGAGCGGGAGAGTCGAGTATGCCAGAGCAAGAGGAACAGCGAGAGAGTGAGAGAGAGAGAGAGAGAGAGCGCGTGGCGTAGCAACCACCAAAATGCGAGCCGGGCTGAGGAGACGGCTGAGCACAGCATCGCGGCCTGGTTGATTGGCTGCGTTGCCTTGACGCCAGTTGGCCAGTTGCTGTCTCTTTCGCACTCCCACTGCAGCCACCACCCACAAGTGGCTTGAGCTTGGGCGCCCAAAGTGGTGCCACTTGTGCAGATCCTACAAAATGCGGCGTTTAGCTTGGAATTAGCTGTTTGGAGCAAAAAATAGAACAGAGCAAACGTAGCTAGTTGAGAATAGAACGCACCTCTATGCCCCTGGCCGGGCGGTGGGTGGTTCAAGGGAGGCGTTGATAATGGTGGTCGTGGGTTATGAGTTGGATTATTTGCTACGACGACATACAAAGTTGTAGATGCTTCTGCGGATGCTGATGCTGCTGCTGTTGTCGCTGCTGAGTCTGTGTGGGATGAGCCTGCTGGTGAAGGTGGGCGATGGTTGGGTGGATGGCCCATTGCGTTGCGTAGTGGGGGGATGTGCTGGCAGGCAGTTCACTCGCACAAATCATAACAACGCCGCCCCGCAGCGAAGTGAGACCAGCGACATGGCCGCCGTTGCCGCCACCACCGTTGTTGTAATTTAATTCGTTGCTGCGCCGCCGTCGTCGACGGCGTCGATGCTGATGCTGATGCCGCCGCCGCCATCTCGACATCATTATTTTTCGGAGGCATATTGCTAGGATAACATTTGATTTTGGATTCAGTTGTAATTCTACCGTGCGTACGTTCTGGTTGTTAGCGTTTTAGCGCTTCGTTGCTAAGTCCCAGCAGTTACCACCCTCCATCGACTCTCGAAGGCCCATGCCCAGCCCCAGCAACAACAAGTTGTGTGGGCAACGCTGCCGGCAAAGTTTCACTTTCGCTTTCGCCAGTTGCCAAAAGCAACCTGGACGCGTACCTCAATTTCCCCATACGACCGGATCTCTACTTACAACTAAGATTTAAGCGGGTTCGCGATTCCGTATGTTTTGTAGATGTGGAGACGATTGTCAGTGCTGTGGCCCCAGTTGCTCATTGGACATCATTGCGCTCGCTCCACAACAATTGTTCGCGTTTGTTTTGAATGGCCTCGTTAATTAAAAGGCGCCTCACACGCTCAACCACACGACCTCGACCCTTGCACCTTGTGCTGAGCAAACCAGGCAAACCAAACGAATGCATTCGCGATTCGCAATCGAGTCACAAGCGCGTCACCACCCGTCACACCAGTATCAGCATCAGCACCACTACCACCACTTGCCGCAGAGCCACGTGAACCACTCGCCAAGCGCATCGCCACCAGCACCGGTCAGCGCCGTAGCAGCAGCCGCCGCTGCCTATTCGAATCTATTGGAGAAGTGCCGCTGTAAGCTGCATCCATTACCGCCCAGTAACTGTCTGCAGCAGCCACCGACGCACCACAACCACACCCAATTCCGAGCCCACTCTCATCAGCTGCTGCAGCAGCATCATCACCACTATCATCAGCACCAGCATCAAGCCCAGCAACAATTGCCAGTGGCCTCGCCTCCTGCGCCACCGCCAGCACCGCCCACACAACTGCAGCTCCAACTGCACCACCACCACCATCATCACCACCACCAGACCTTTGTTGCCACGGCAAGTGCAGCAAGCTACAGTAACTGCACCGCCACAAGCTCAACGAACCTGGCGTCTGGACCAGGATCAGGATCCACATCTTCGACCTCGTCCATTGTAGCCTCGAGTTCGCTGCTCGCTGCCTCACCAGGCCCCTGCTCCACGCCAGCCAGCTCCACTATGTACCACCACAGACGGCACAACAACTTGTCCTATTGCGGTGGTAAATACATCCACATAACATACTCTCCCAACCTAATACTTACAGTTACATTCAGAGAAGGCCAAGGACTATAATTGCTAGATTGATTTCAATGGCATTTAATTGACACTGCAATTCATTTGTGGTTTCTCCACTCTCCGACAGCGCGTGTGTGTGTCTGTGTGTGTGTTTGTGAATATTTGTGTTTGTATGTGTTTGGATCGCTCGCCTGACGTGAAAGTGTCAAATATCCTTGTTACAAACTTTTCAACTTGGTGTGTGCCGTGCAAACGGTATAAACAAACTTAAAGCGAAGCTCTTCGATATTCAATGCCAAGTTCAAGTGTTTTTGTGAAGAGGCTTTGAAAAATAATGTTAAAAACAACAAAACATCGGATATTTAATGTCTGTAAAATAACCATCTATTTGTAACCAGCAATTAATTGTAAAGTTCAATTAACAAAGTCCCTAAAATGACCGATTTTCTCTTAACCTCCAGCTATCTATTCGACGTACATTAATTTGGGGACTCAGTTCCAGGGTTCCTCTTTATCCATCAGTAACATTTTAGAATGAGTTGTGATTTCGTAGATGGATCTTCTTTTTAATCGAAAACAACTCCGATTTCATATAACCCTTTGAACAAATAGCAATGAATACATTTTATATTCCGATAGTTCGGTTAAATAGGTTGGAATATATTTGTCATCTTTGCTTTGGTTTTAGCGAGCTACGTAATATATGAATTGTTTCTTATCTAAGCAGAATCTAACACAATCAGCCAACTTAACTATTTTCGGAATAGCTCTAAAAACAACTTGCATTGCATTAAGCAAAGTCCGTTAAAAGCAGAAAACAAATTTCATCAAGAGTATCATTTTACAAGCAATAGTTAATAATTGCTGTACTTTTATAGGGTAAAAGCGAGGGTTACGAGAAGGAGAGTGGTACTAACGTCCATTATATATATATAATTCGAATATATCTCGAGTCTGCGTTAATATCAGGTCACGCACAGAACCTGGTTTTTTGACTGGAATGTCTTGAACATATCACATTTGTAAAAATGTCTAATTTTTAAATGTACATATGCTTATAAAGTATTAAACATTTTTTAGGAAAACCCCTTTTTAGGCATATCAAGCCAATTGTTTCTTAATCGAACTTTATATTTGAAATCTTTTCATTCACAAAGGAAAGTTGCTTCCACATTCATTAAAAAATATCACTTTCACTCTTTTGAAATGTGTTAACTTACTAAACAAAATTCCGTGAATCGTAAAATTCAGCTTCGATCAATCCAGAATCCTTAACAGAAAACGTAGCTGTATTTTAGGATGATTTGCTGTCCCCATTTTCGTGAATAGAAATTTGTTAAGATTGCTAAATTGCTGTAACTTCTTTTCGCCAAATGTCGAAATAAAGTGTCTGATAACTTTTGAAATCTTACAGTCCCCATAACTATTAAAAATGTGTCTTGCATATTGTGCATATTTTATATCACAATGAGGCTTTCTCTTCTCGAATACATTTTCATTTAATTTATTACTAAAATTCCACCAATAAAAAAAACATTTATTCCCGTCGGTATGCTTTTATTTGCCGGCCCGATTTATTTATTTACTTGTATTTATTTATGTCACCAAACATATCACTGTCGACATAGGAGGAAAATATATAAAAATTATAAATGAAATTATTAATGAACAACTTTTTGCAAATAAAACTCAGAATATTTGAACACCGTCGGAGTTCGTAGCTGACGGCTCCTACACTCTACTTAGTCCATACCTTCAATATCATTCCAATTATAGCTTTATATAATACGCATTTGAGTTTTCCCCAAACTTACACAGTTGGTTGCTCTCCTCTTACAGTTTCAGCGCAGGATGCGGGACAGAATTATCAAGTGCAATATGTGGATACGGACATTTATCACAGCAACTCCAGTCAAACGCAAATGTAAGTCTACAGCAAAATGCAAAATGCGAAATTCGAAATACAAACTACAAATTTGAATTCAAAACACAACCACCATTTATGGCATCACACAGAACGTATCCATTCTGTCCTGTGGGTGATTACCAGACCAATGGCCAGACATATTATTCGACCACAGCGACGAGCAACTATGCGACGGCAGCTGCGGGAACCCCCAACACACCCAACGCCCATGCCAGCACCCTGCCCTACCTGGTGCCCGTCGAGGAGAGTCTGCTGCTGAATGGCTCCTCGCAGTCCCACAGTCGTGACTCGCCACATAGTCTGACGGTAAGTGAAGCGACGGTCAATAGTGATGCAATTATCCAGATGGTGCATATAGGGATGGGCAACCATGTGATGCAGAAGTTGTGATTTTAAAACATTGCCTACTTTTCTGAGCGATGCTTGTACTTCTCTTTTGAAAACACCTTCAACCTATTTTATTGTCATATTCGGTATTGATAGACAGACACGAGTATTAAAAGAATCAAATTTTGATTACCATACTTGTTAATTGGATTACATTAAAGGAAACACGCTTTATAAAGATTGTGCTGCTGCGTAAAACGTCGCACCCCTTACGATTAAAAGACATCGGAAACCGTTAATATTACAGTGTACTTTAAAAAAATTAAAATAAAATACATAGAAAAGGGGGAAGAATATTACCATAAAGACATGCTTGATTTATTTTGGGAATAAAAGTGATTAAATTTATTAAATATTTTTTTGCAGTCCTTTTCGTCCTTATTATAAGCACGGTAGATAATCACTACTTTAGAATCAGAGAATTTCAATCGCTAGCTGACATTTTTTGCGCACCACTGATTGTTTGCCGAAATGTTGTTGATATTCTGCTCGTTTCAGCATGAGGTTGCATATATCCAGGAGGCGCAGAGTACACCCCAAACCCCCACCTCGACCACGACGACGAACTCGGTTAGCGGTGGCAGCATCGGGACTGGTGGTGGCGGTGCGTCGCCCGACAGTGAGCAGAGCGCGCTGGGCAACACGAACAAGATTGCCTCGGCAACGGTGAGTAGCAACGGGGGTGGTTGGCGATGGTCAACTGGTTGGGATGGTTGAGTGGTGGCGGGGATAAGAGGAGGGGAGTTGTGTTGGGCACGCCCCCATATGTCCACAGCATCATTCATAGCAATGATGATGTTGATAATGACGATGATGATGATAACACATCTCTCTTTTCCACCCACACAGATCAAGTGGTTGTCCCGAAATTACGAAACAGCCGACGGGGTCAGTTTGCCGCGTTCGACGCTATACAACCACTACATGCAGCATTGCAACGACCAGAAGCTGGAGCCCGTGAATGCAGCCAGTTTTGGAAAGTTAATACGTTCGGTGTTCTCGGGACTGCGCACACGTCGGTTGGGCACACGCGGCAATTCCAAATACCACTACTATGGCATACGCATTAAGCCCGGCTCGCTGCTAAATCATCAGGCCATGGAGGACAAGTCATCGCCGTCGTCATCCTCGTCGTTGCACGGCGGCTACCAGACTCAGGTGCAGAGCGGACAGGGTCCCAATGGTTCCATCTCTGGCCATGCCAGTGTCTCGTCCAGCACCACCGGACCATCGTTGGCCAACGGGGTTGGAAGCCAAGTGCAGCGCACCCCCGCCAAGAAGCACAGTTTTAAGCCCGAAACCTATGAGACTTGCATACAGGTGAGCAGAAAATACTTAAGCTCTGCCTTCAAATCTGATGAATACATCTTTGTCAATCATTTTTTGCAGTACATTGGCGACGGCGCGAGCGCATTGCCAACATTTCCGACCATCGAGCTGAGCCACAACTTCAACAGCGAACTGACTCGCGATGATGTGGACACATTCCGCGGACTATACCGTGAGCATTGTGAATCCTTTCTAGATGCCGTGCTCAATCTCGAGTTCAACACGGTCGAGTATTTGCTGCGTGACTTCTGGCGCAGCTCCGACAACAATAATCTCGATGAATGCGAGGAGGAGAAGTACTTGAGCAAGTCAAAGCTGTATCTGTTGTGCCACTGCGCAGAAGTGCAAAAGTTTGTACGCGAGGTGCGTTCGGGAACTGTATTTGTGTGGGAGTGTGGGTGTACATATGTATGTAGCAGAAAGTATATAGATACGATTTCTCGACGGAGGTCAAGATGAGCGTAATGGACAGATAGATAGCCTTGTTTAGAAAACACATCCTTATTCGTTCACTAATTTGTAATAACAACTACAACTATATCGGGGATGTACTGAAGGAAAATACATACCATGGAAAATAAATAGCCTGCCTTACTTAGAAACCATATTCCCAATGTTAATGCCTGTACGCAAAAAGTATAATCTTGTCTTTTCATGTTTGGTAAAAATGATAAAATTGTTGTGCCGATTATCAGAAGTTTACGTATAAATGCGCAGGAACAATCGTACTAAGTAGTTATTTATTAGAATTTCTAAAATAATATATAACTGTCTATAATGTAGAAACGTGAAATACACAAACAAACAAGATCAATAGATTTGCCGTACCTTCAGCGGCCCGGGCTTTTAAATGTTTGCCACAATTTCTTACATCCTTCCTAACCTTTGTGCATGCCGCTCTTTTAATTTCCAGGTGGACTATCAATTTTATCAGAACACCGTTGACGTCATCATTCCCGATGTTCTGCGCTCCATACCCAATGCTCTGACCCAGGCCATACGCAACTTTGCCAAGAATCTGGAATTGTGGCTCTGCGAGACCATGGTGGGGGTGCCGGAGCAGCTGGCGCAGATCAAGACCAGTGCGGTGTCCGCCTTCTGTCAGACACTCCGTCGCTACACATCCCTCAATCACTTGGCGCAAGCAGCGCGAGCGGTTCTCCAAAATGGCGCCCAAATAACGCAGATGTTGAGCGACTTAAATCGCGTAGACTTTCACAATGTACAGGTAAGTTGTGGATCTTAAGGTGTCCCTCCATAAGAATTAACGAATGGGTCTGGTCTGGTTTTAGGAGCAAGCCGCCTGGGTGAGTCAATGTGCGCCGTCTGTAGTGCAGCGACTGGAGAATGACTTTAAGGCGGCACTCCAGCAACAGAACTCATTGGAGCAATGGGCCTCGTGGCTGCAGCTGGTGGTGGAGAGCGCTCTGGAGGAGTACACGGGCAAGCCAAGTTATGCGCATGCGGCGCGACAATTTCTGCTCAAATGGAGCTTCTACAGCTCCATGATAATACGCGACTTGACTCTGCGGTCGGCTTCCAGTTTCGGCAGCTTTCATCTGATACGTCTGCTCTTCGATGAGTACATGTTCTATCTGGTAGAGCACAAGATTGCCGAGGCCCAGCAGAAGACAGCCATAGCGGTGATTTGTGAGCGAATGGTGAGTAGAGGCAGCGATTCCTATGAAATCTGCTTATAATGCCCCTGCATTTCGCTCAGAAGAAAGAGATGGACTTTGAGTTTGAGTGCCAGTTCGCCTACATAACGAGCGATGGTGAGCAAGTGGCCACCAGTGCGGCAACCGGCGCCAATGGAGGCACCACCAACAGCGGCAGCAATCAAAATTCGACATCCGTGGGCAATGAGGCCAAACGCTTGAAACAGGAATGAGTAAAGAGACATCCATCGCAACACGCTGATGACGATGATGATGCAGAAGAGCTGATGATGCATTTCATCGAGTTGCTGCGCCGTCTGCGGCAGTCTAGTTTTTAATGCTGAGTTGTATCCTAAGTATTTGTAGTGTTTATGTAACTTTTAATCATTAACGCCCCTAATTGTTAAATGCACCAAATGCACAGAAACACAAATGCGCTCAAAATGACACAACTAACCGCTCAACCACACAACCACTCAGCCACTCACACAAAACACACCCTTTGGCTATGCATTTAACTGTTAGAACGTGTACAAGTATTTAATGTATCTTTGTGTGTTAGCCCTAAGTTTCCAGCTCTATCACCAACTATCACTCATCATAGTCGGTTAGTTTTAGGCATACATACATACATATGATACATACATAATTAATGTAATAATTTGTATAATTGCCCCCGCGTAAAAGTGAACAGCCGTCCAGCAGCAAAAGAGACCGAGAAATGCACGAGTCAGGCTCGTGCAGCACCGGCTTTGTGTGTTGCATTCATAAGATACGTTTTAGTTTAAGTGCATTAGTATTGTTAACCCCCTCTCTACCTTGTACTCCTTGTGTTTGGTGGGAAGGAAGGAATGTCGAACAGTTTTGTCCGGTTTCACTCGAACGCCTAGTTCAAATATAAAACAAACAATGTGTACGAAAACATTATGAATTAAACAAATAAACTTGTATAAGACATGCAGGACACTTCGAAATACTCTAATGTCACTGACACATACACACTTTTCTCTCGCTGCACTTTCGATGCGAAATTATATATACTTGTAATACTTATGTAGGTTAAGCCAGTTGAAGCTCACGTCTAAGGAGATTGCTCAGAAACACTAAACTAAAACCACAAACACAAACTAAAACTAAGTAAACTAACAGGCCTTACATGTGCAAAGATCAACGCTCAATTTTTCTAGAGAGGAATATTTTAACAGAGGCACTAAACGAATGTATTTTATGCCATTTTAGCTACTTAATCGAACAGAATAACTTTTGTAAGTCATTCAGCTAGCGTAAGCGTATTAAACAGGTGAACAAAAAAGTCGCAAATATATATCTAGTCTTAAAAAGTAACATCCAAACATAAGTACGAGTACATACAAACTATGTACATCAATTACTTTAAAGAATCGCACGTCTATATATCAAGCTCAAAATAAACTTTGTATGTCGTTAAAATGTTCTCCCACTGACATTTTATTTTTTAGGAAAGTTGACAGATAGCAGTTTCTACTTTCACGAACTATGCTTTAATATTTGTGTTGCAATAACGGTCGATCGATAGTCCAAACGCATTAAGGAACAAGGATATACATTCATATATACAAATTGCTCAGTTTGAATGAAAAACATGTATGGACTTATGGAGAATAAGGCCCTCCACTACGCTCACTTATGGTTCAAAAGCTGACTTAACAATATTATTTTTTATTTTGAGAATACAATTTTTAAAACAGCCCTCCTCCGCGCTTCTCATGCGCATCTCTTTCAACGCACATCTGCGAAAGAATATAAGAAATATGTAGCTCTCCATACAGTGATGAAAAAACGAATAAAAATATAAAAAATGTTCTCAGATTCAATACCTTCTTTTATTGTTTATATATATATACTTATTTTTTATATTAAGTTTCTTGGAAAAATTGATCAAAAACATGTTATTGTAACATAAATGCTGTTTGTACTATGAATTTAAATTGGATGATCATGTCCTGCCGAGTGACAACGACTCTAGCTATGATTATAGACCATTACCGGTTCAGTTGTCCCTCCGATGAACAAGATCTTGAATACTTTGATGCAAATATTCGTTTCAAGTCTTTTCGTTTTGGGAATCTAGTTGATTTTCTTGGAATTTTGCAGTAAGTAGTTTGGTTTCTTGTATAAGTATAAACATATAATTACTATTTAATACATACACTATCTTATTGGGTATTTACACAGTTAGTATAGTATACAGATTTGATGTCAAAATATTTACAAATGTCATTGGATAAGTAATTGACTGTACACCTCTTGAACCAGTTGTTCTGTGTCGCGCCATAACGGTAGGCGCTCTATAGTACAATACATACAAAGACGATGGAGTCCTATCGAGATGCATTTATTAACTGAATACTGGACCGGCAAGTAGTTAGGTATGCTCTTCTTCAAATTCTGCAATGTACGTACAAGTGTGGAAATCAATTTATTTGAATTTCGTTGTCGTGTGTTGCACAAAAAGTACATAGTTAGGTGTTTCTTCTCCCAAATTATTGCAAAAGCATTTAAATTAAGCAATTTATGCTTAGCTGGAGATCAAATAAGAACTGCACTTCGTAGTCAAAATTTTAAAAATAAAATTAACACTAGTTATGCTTCGTCAGTAAATAGATCGGTGACTTAACTATATAGAATGCATTAATGAGCGTTCGCTCAAACGTCAAATCGGGGTAAATGACTTGGAAATTTTGATAAACGTGCGTCAAGTGGGGGGAGGGAGCAAAACCAACGCTTCAGAGTGCTCGCAAATGTTGTAACAATGGACATTTATTTGAAAGCGACTTCAATTTTGTGTGTATGTGCTTGTTTGGATATAAAAATTTAATGCAGGCTCTTTGTAAATAAACTGTTAACTACAGAAAATATGCACACAACTGCGCACGCAGAATCATCCAAAGACTAAATAACATATATGCTTAAATTCGATCGCTAAACTTACAGCTCTAAAACCTAAAGGGGTAGTAGCATGGATGTAGGATATGGAGTTAGAACTGCACACGAAACTTAAATCTATTTTGAATTTGAGAATTTAAGCGTAGCATGGGAATATTAATTTGCTTAGGTCTACGACTAAATGAATACAATTAATATATTTTTTATATGCATATACATATGCAGTTACATGTAAATTAATGATACATAGCTGTGCGAGCTTTGCTTTGCTACGGCTCCGATCCACACACATGCTCATTTAGATGATTCGGTTCACCAACGGCATTTTGCGACGATTATAGGTCGGTTGTTGCAATTGTTGGTGTTGGTGTTGCTGCTGCTGCTGTTGCTGTTGCGCTACAGGGAGAAGCGACTGGCTGGCCTGCAGCACCGGTTGCACCTTGACCTTTTGGCCATACTGCTGCTGCAGATCGCCGGCGGGTCCGATGGTATAGTTGATGTCTAGACGTGCTCGCTTGGGCGATTGATAGCCATCATTGGCATTTGCATTCAAATCGGCCGGATTTAATTCGATTATGTGTGTGCCCTGGTCATTGGCAATGGCCCTTCGCACTGCCTCCTTGTTGTCCTCATCGATGTCAATGGCGTGGTATAGATCGTCGACCTGGAAAGTATGAAAGAAAAGTTGAAATTGAGGCCTCTCTAACGATTACACCGCTATCAACGTACCTTCTCATAGAACATGGCGGACTGTAATTCGCGGGTGGCGCTGTGATGTGGCTCGATGTGCTCGTATCCGTGCAACTCCTCCTCCTCTTCCTCGTCTTCCTCTAAGTCGTCATCCTCTTCAACGAGCATGGCATCGACAAGCGTTTCATCGAAGTCAGCTTCTTCCAGGTCGGATGTCTCCTCGATTTCTGATTGAGAATCGAGCTCTACATCCGAATCTGCCGATCCATGCTTCATCTCGCCTCGTTCGAGCGCCTCCAGATGCTCTGGATATACCATTGCGTCGCGTATGGCAGCTGGATCCTTGAGCGACCACTTGTGTACCTCCTCATCCATTTTGGTAATTCGTTCGGGATTCATGGCCCAGCGGCAACCTTTGCGTTGATTTCCATTTGTCACTGGTCGCTCAATCTTCTCAAAACATTTGTTAAGGGATAGATTGTGGCGCACACTGTTCTTCCAGCCAGTCGGTGCCTTCTCAAAGTACGGAAAATGCTGGCACAGGAAGCTGTATATCTCTGAGACGGGCAGCGAGCCGGCACGCGAATTCTTCAATGCCAGCGCAATGAGGCAGGAATACGAGTACGCAGGCTTGGGGAAGGCGCTGTCAACAGCGGGCAGTTTAATCTTTTGTTGCAAAGGCTTCACAGCCAGCACGCCTCCACTGCCGTTGTTGTTGGCTATATTGACCAAATTACTGGTATTGCTGAGTGGGGTTATAGTGCCACTGAAGGACAGTGGGGATGACGATGTCGAAGGTCGCCCCATCGACGACGGCGATCCGACGGAGCTGTTGTTGCCAATCTGCATTTGATGGTGCGGCGAGTGAGCCGCCGAGGCAATGCTCTTTGGTGTGCTGCTATACGGACTTGCGACGGCAGACTGCTGGAGCAGATTACGCTTAGCCACTCCGTTCGCATGCAACGTGGTCATGTTGTGCAATGGACTGGACTCGCGATCTCTCTTCAGAACAATGTTGCCTTGGGCAGTGACTGGAGACCCACTCGGAGACTTCACTGAGGTTTGTTGCTTCAGTTTGTTGTATGTGGCGCTGTTAGCAAAAGTCAGACCACCGATTCCTGGCGCCAATTTGATGGTGTTGGTGGTGACACCATTGCTGCCGAGCAAACCAGCCTTGGTCTTGTTATCCATGACGCTGTTGTTATCGTTGCTGATGACACCTGCAGACTGTACTTTGCGGAGCTCTGGGGCTAAATCCTTACGCACTGTATCCACCGAAGTGCTGCGTCGTTGCAGCGCCGAATTTGTGGCCATGGTTGCAGGCGCTGTAGTGCCCGCCCCGGTTAACGTTGATGAAATGGGAACGGAAATCTGCTTAGGGATATGCGATGATACCTGTTCCCGACGCATCGACCCCGCACTGACCTTCATTTGAGCCGGCGAGAATGTTAAATGCGATTTGTGTGGGTCACAGGGCGAGGCCAGAACCATAGCAGAGCTGCCATTGTGGGTGCTACTGGATGATTGGGTGACCAGCGTTTTGGATTTCTGAGGCGAGTAGAGCAGCAATGAACTGGAATTTATCAGTGGCATCACCGATATGGGATTCACACAAGCACCCACATCCGCAAAGTAGTCCGAAGTGGACCAGAAATTTGCGCAGGACCCCATCCATTTGGCTGTGGGAGAGGCGTGCAAGGCGCTGCTGGCCAGCAGATTCGCATTTGCATTATGCGTGGAGGGAGCATTGTTATTATTGTTGTTGTTGTTGATGGCCGATATTGCTTCGAGTGCATGATCCAGAGATGAAGTCAAATCACTCGGGCTGCCCACAACATTGGCAATCTCAGCACGAATGTCCACATCCAGCATGTCCTGCATGGAGTCCGATACATAACAGTCCAGCGACGGACCTGCGGCATCCTGCAAACCAACATATTATTATAATTATTGCTTTCGTTATAATTGTAAGTATGATAATATTATTATTATTACTTTCGGTATTTTCTCTATATACATACAAGTACATATGTATATGAACATAACAATACGCTGCAGTGAAATTGCGCGCCTCTAGTTTGAAGTAGTGTTGTAAAACACCTAATACGAGAAAGTTTCATCAATCAGCTGGTGCTGCAACTGTGCTTAATAAAATTTGCCGGTTGGCGGGCAAAAATCGAACAGGTTGTTTGAAAACGTCACAGGCGCTCAGGAAATGAGGAAAGCGCAAATGCAAAAGCAAAAGGGGAGAGCATGGAAAAGCTGAGCACGACCTTATGTATATGCACACTTTGGTGGGCAATCAATACGACAAAGGGGGGGTTAGGTTCTGCGGAATATTAGACCGCGAGGAGCCTGAGGAGTGGGTGGTGGGGGTTGTGTTTTGTATGTTTGCCTGGCTGGCTGGCTGGCTAACTGTTGGTGTGTGTTGGATCGGTTTGTGTTTCGACAACAACTGGCAAAAAATAAATGATAGCGGCACTGATATGTTTTTGTAGCTTTAATTTTAAATTTGCCGCTCAAAGCTGTAGCAACAACTATGGTGTTGATAATAATTTCTCTGTTACTTTTTCGAGTGTGCTGGTATAAGCAAGAATATCAGACTCCGTAAGTATATACATAATTTCCCTTCCTGTTACATTACTACTGTATTCTTTACACAATTTGGAAGCTTCATAAACTAATTTGCCAAACGTCCAGTTAGAGATGCTAAAAGCTACAGTTATAACTAACAACTACCCCACAAACTTCTGATAAAACCCTTTTATTATTGTTATAATGAAACATGTTGAAAAATTTTTATATTTTTGAATTATCATGACCTGGCGTTATTCTTAGTTTCTATACTTAAAATCAAAGTATTTATTACAAGTACAATAAAGAACCAACTAGAAAACCGATTAAATTCTACCAAAATCATAGTTTTTCATTTTAAAGCAGATTGTATCTGGTTTCGATTCATATGGGGGGTTGGATTTAAGTTTAATCTTTGTGAATTGGCGGATAACAAAATATGTATAAACTATGAAAGATGTCCTCATATGTACATAAATATGTTAACATGTATTAATATTTTATGATGGTACTGTACATACATATGCACGAGCATTTACATATTTATATATTATGTAAGCTTGTGTGAGCAATGTACAGATGAAGGTCTTCAGCAGGCAGGATCAACTTACGATGTTGGGGCTCTGGCAAATAAACAGTTTCTCGTTCAGCAATTTGTAACTCAATCCCTTACATGCATCCCATTAAGACGTATAGCTGATAAGAACAGAGTACAAATTATTTTGCCGCGCTTAGTTTTTTTTTCACAGGTAACAGCAACAACCTGGGGTGACGGATTTCTTGTTGTTAGTGTGCAAGGCACTGAGATAAGAGTGGCAGCGCATATTAAAATAATTACACACACATTCACGTGCACTTGTGCAGCACACAAATGCAGATGCGGGCTATATTCAACTCGTACAAGAAATATATTTTGATGAGAGTAATAGGAGGAGTACCCAGGAGTACCCTGGAACAAAAATTAACACATGAACGGGTCCAGATTCTGCTTCTTAAATCGCTCTACTGCCTTTGAGACTTCCCAAGTTCCTTCTTTGTCTAACGCGAATTTACATACAGATACATTCATACATATGTATGTAAGTGTGTGTGCAGTGAAGCCTCCAATTTATGAGAAACCTTATCTTAGACTCCACATAAGGATTGTAATTTTTGAAGCCTCCAAACCAACACATTGTAGCGCCTACCAGATTTTCCTTCAATAGCTCAGTAAAATAGCTCACCAAAACTATTTTTAAGCTACAATATTAAGTGTTATATGAGGCTGCTGGCAGGCCTTCAGAATTTCCTGCCGTTTGCGAATGCGCCATCTGGTGGTGAATAGCGAGAGCAGATGCATAATCCCAGCATGTATAAGTGCTGTAGATACATACAAATGTATGTATGTATGTATGTAAGCACTTTTCATTTTCTATAAGCAACAACAATAACAACATAAAGGCAATGCCAGGAGCAAAAACCAGTTTTGCTTACCAGGCACACCATAGGCATGTTTGTGCGATCAGCACGGCGCCGTTGAAGTAGAAGGGAATAAAAAAAACGTATGTATGTTGCAACGACAGAATAGCAGCAACAACGACAGATATTGTAAACATTTTACCAGCCAGGAGTACACACACATTTGTAAACTATGCATAAGCATATGTACATGTATGTATGTACCTACGCACACAACGTCTGGGCAAGAGAAGGCCATGCAAACCGGATATCAGAAAAATTGAAAGTTTTTATGCAATCGGCTTAACCAGCAGATACATACATATGTACATGTATGTATGTACATACAACATACAACATATTCATATACATACATATGTATGTATGTATATATCTAAAGGTATCCGCTAGAAATGCAATGAATCATGTATCATTGCAGTTTGATTTGATTTGTGGATGTGTAATAAAAATAATAAAAACATTTCTGTGCCCATCCAAAGTACAGTCGAATTATGTATATGTATATGTATGTACAATTAATTGTGTACAATTTACTAGAAGAGGCTCAGTACTATTTTAAAACCACCACCATTAACTCTTTAACATGATGTTGCTGAAGCAGCATGTTGCCGCAACATTTTTGTGCAAGCAGCGACTGCTGCGAATGAAGTAAAAGAGGGCGCAAAAGTAAGTATGTACATACATACAGCGACAGAGCAGACATTGAAAAACGAAAAGGAATAAAGCAATACAAAAACAACAGCACCAACAACAACAAGAGAGTACGAAAAACAGGGAAGCTCACTCACTCATTGAAGTTAGTGTGTATGCATAGCAGAGCAGACGGCACGCAGACAGAGCAGAGAGAGCGACCAGGCATGTTAAATTACTGGGGAAACATAGAACGTTAACGAAGTAAAGAGAACAGCAATAACAGAGGCAGTTGGTGAGGGCGAAATGTGGTAGTACAGTTGACGACAAAACACACACAGTGCGAGCAGCAAGCAGCGAGTGCTAGTATAGAAACAGAAAATGAAACTGAAACAGCAAGCAGCAGTAACAGCAGCAGTGCGACAACAGAAAAACTGAATGATGTGAACAGTGACTGACGGCTACATTTTGCTGTAGACTGCGAAAAAAGTGGAGTAGACACAATATTTTAGTAGTATGAAGCAGTGGATATGAGACATTTTTTCTTACATGTTTTGCCTTCTGATTTGTTCTTTGTTTGTATTAGGCGCAACTTTACAGCTTGACAAGCAGTACCATGTTAAGGCAAGGCGCGCCTGTTACTCGATTTATGCGCTGCTGTTAAAAGGCTTTGGCAATGTCAAGGTGTCCTTGGGCCAGGCCAACAACCGACTGACCACCACCAACATCGTCGCGGCTACTGCCCCGTTATCAGCAAATGTGTGTAGTCGGTGGCGCTGCGCGAGCTGCTCAAAAATCGATAACCGCCAAGCGTGCACATCCTGCCGCATGATAAGTTGCATAATTCAGCAGGATATCATAAATTTATGCAGGCAGCATTCTACAGTAGTAGTAAAGGTGTATGTACATACATACATACATATATATGTATGTTTGTATATTGGTGCCTCTTCTTTATCAGCGCCAACCAAATTTGGCGGCACTCCTTGTTTTTTTTTTTTTTGGGTTGCGAAGTCTGGGAAGTGTCTGGCCTCCATGCCACATTCATTCACGAGTTCCAAATGCGAAATGCAGGGAAGACAAATTTACATATGCTTCACATACATATGTATGTATGTATGTATGTATGTATGTATGTATGTATGTATGTATGTATGCAAGCAGCGGCAGCTTTTGGGGGCGTGCTGGACTTTTAATTGCCATTCAAGTGCTTTTATTTCTGGTCTGAACTGGCATACATACTTACATACAAGTATGTATGTACATACGTATGTAGTTGTTTTTTTTTTTTTTGCCACAAACACTTCTTTGTTTCTTTCTCTGCCTTGCACTGTAACGGCTAACAACTGCAGTTTATTTGGCACTTCCTCCCACCCCTGTCCCTTTAGTACGTAATTGTTTGTGCGATGAGACAATGAGGCAGGTGCGTGTTGTTGCTGTTGTTGCTCAGGGCCTTCTGCTGCTGCTGATAAGAGAGGGTGCTGTTTTTCCTTCTGTCGTAATCGTTGCCTTTTGAACGAACACGAAACGTACGCCTGCTGCTGACTTTAATTTTTAATTTTGTATGCCCTGTATGCCTTGGCCAGGCCGGGCCAGCTGCCAATCCTCAAGTAAAGGCGGCGGCAGCTGCAGTCAATTTCTAAGGGGCAGCAGTTGGAGTTGTTTTTGTTATTGTTCTTTAATGCGGCAGCATATACGAGGCAAGTCAATAATAGCCCCATAGTGCTATACGTGAAGTTTGCGTTGAATGGAAACTAGAGAAAAATCGAATTTTCTACATCGCTGATGGCGAATTATTTATGTGATGTATGGACGATGGCAGACTATGCAGCCATCAAGGAAAGAAATTTACTGTTTCAGTTCATTTTCTACAAGCAATATGCATATTGTTGTTGCCAATATCAAAATTGTTGAAAACTTCTGACAAAAGTGGGATAGAAAAATTGGGACTAGCATGTTCTTGATTTCTTGAAAGAATGAAAATAAATATACAAATAAGATAAGCAAAACGGCACAAATCAATTTAGACTTGTCCTCTCCGTCCGTCCATCCGTAGGTACATCCGAGAATTTTAGAGCCATAACACCTAGGGATACAAAACTTGGTATGTTGACCTGTTTCAGCAATACGTTCATTACAAACCATACGATTATAGAGCTTTATTATTTTAAAAAGTTGACATAGAAACGATCGCTGGACAAAGGGCTCTTTGTAGGATAACCTTTGTGTTTATGAGATATTAGGAAATACTTAGGAAAATTTGGCATTTATGGTTAGAATAATATTTATCAAATTTAGCTGCCATTTCAACGATTGGTGAATAAATCACATGCTATTAATAATTATTGTTGTATAACAAAACCAACAAATTAAAGTATTTTTGCTGCAATTTTTAAGTTTTCGGACACTTTTACAATACAAAATAAATCCTCTTAGATGCAATGTCATTGAATATTAATTGTAGTTATTACTAGTAATTACAACAAAATGAAAGTCGTTGAGATTTTTAATTCTTCCATTTCTCAGCAGTTCTTTTAGTTGGCCGAAAAATATATATATTGCTATATAATATTTAATTCAAATGTAACTGAATTTAAATTTCTTGCTCTACTTTCGCCCTCGCTTTTCTTGCAGCATCTGAATCTAGAATACAGTTTGTAAACCAGAATTTATTGAAGCAATTAGCTAAACTAATTACCAAAAGGATTTCAACATGTCTGTCAAATATAATATCGAAATGCTTTAATTATAGTTTACTCTTTAGTTCGCTGACGTTTAATGTCTGTGCTTGTGGTATTGGTCTACAAATTCCTTTCCCCTCTGGCGAACAACGTCCTCTACACCCTGCCACATACTGCAGCATTACTTGTGAATTACATTCAGAACACAGCGGCAGATGATCAGATATTGCGAGTGGCCCGGGCCCTCCCTATGCCCTGTCTATGTCTGAAATGTATGATTAAGGGTTCTGCTCCGTTTGTGGCCATTCCGCTGCCACTGATAACCTTTTGAACTGTGCGGCTTGCAGCTGCAGCTCAGGGGTTGCTGTTGTTGTTGCTCTTCTTGTTGTGGAAAACGGAAAGCGCATTTCCTGCATCTAATTGGTTTGTTTTTCCCGGTGTAGTGGGGTCGGTCGCTGTATACGCAAATTTGCAACACTTCCACACCTACACCCACGCGGAGAGCGGAAATGAGAATGAAAGAAACCCTTCTGGATATTTGGACACACCGAGGGTAATAAATCACACAAATTTGGAAGCGGCGCTCAGCAGTAGGCAGCAGGGAGCGGGGAACTTTATTGAAGCAATGCGAATGCTGCGAAGCACATTTTATAGCTGCTCGTAAAATTCCCAGAGCTAAGCAGCATGTGTGGGAGTAAATACAGCATCGGGACAAGGCGGGACAAAGCGGGAGGGGGAGGAGGAACAGGAGCAGCAGCAATGAATGGGAGGCAGGAGTTCCTCCGTTTTCATAAATTCTTTCAGTTCCAGTTGCTCAATTGCATTGCAGCTGGGCGGAAATTTTACTTGCCCTTCTGGAAGTGTGCAGCGAAGCAGGGAAGAGGAGGACATGTTGCATGCCTCGCACCCTCAGAGTGGATTTGAATTCTACACGCAATTCTTACGATATATTTATGTCTGGGGTGGAATTTCTGAGGTATTTGTATTCCTTTTTCTCTGTTCTGTTTTTTATTCATCCTTCTCGGTGCCCAACCAACTGAGCTCTGCTCAGTCACTCCATCTGCTGTTTGTTTTTGTCTCTTCCCGCTGCCTTGGCCTTTGCCTGTTTCGATGCTTTCGCCTTAAATTCCAAGTGCCTGCGCTGCTGACACACAAAAATAATCCAGGTAGCTGAGCAACGGACTCTCATCCTGTCTGTCCTACCTTCTCTGAATGCTGCACTAAAATGTGTTCCTCTGCGCATTTATGGGTATGGGGCGCCCATTTCTAAATTACTTTATGGTGCAACAATAAAATCATTTTTGTGATTTGGACATCCCATGGGTTTTTGTTCTGCGTGGTCCGCGCATATGCCATAAATTAGTTACGAAATTGCTGATCAACGCGAGCTCTGCCGCAAATTTCTTTTTCCCCATTCATTAAGGACGGAGCTCGGCACTTATAAGTGACTTTCTAAAAACGTATTTCCCACAGCGCCAATAAATTTAATGTATAATCATGAGCCAAATGCTTTACAACCAAATTAACACAAATATATCTACATATAAACTTTGTGTGCATATACGGTGATGGTGGAAAAAAAGGCACTGCCTTAAAGGAAATTTGTATTCCTCGAGAAAAAAACATTTTATTGTAAGGCGATACGGAAACTAGCCGAGACCTACGCCATAAGCTTGCTAGACAACAGCCAGCATCTCATTTAGTTTATCTGTCAAGGTTTGATTTGCAAAATTTAATAATCGTTCAACTGGGGGCGGACTTTAAATAAACGCTTTGTGAACAATTCTTTTCTCTTAGTGGAGTGGCCAGCTCGTGGTGACATGAGAAAAGATGAGTCTCTTCGAACGCCGAACAACACCAATAAGCTTTGGATTGTAGTTAAACAGACTGGGGCCGCATCCTGAAGAAAGGGTTTGACGGCCTGGTAAATTCAATTTAAAATACATACTTTCCGGAACATATCACGATTGAGTCGATTTTTCCGCGAATAAAGGATCGCCTAATAATGATGAGTAACCTATTTTTTGCTAGTAGAATTGAAATCATCACAGGTATAACGTGTACATACTTGTAGTACTTTCCTACAAAATCTTTCCGTGACATATTTCCATACCTAATATTCAGTTAAGCTGCCCTATAAACAAAGTTTTATTGTGGCATAAGATCCATGCGATTTTAATTCGTATGCCGCTAGAGTAAACGCTTAAAATGCAGGAAAAGCATCAAGTGCAAAACACACACAAATACAAAATTGTCAGATTCAAATAGTTATATATGTATACATGTGTGTGTGTGTATATAGCTTTGTCGCCGCGTGAGAAAATCTATGCGGCATACAGCTGGGCGCTCATATTGGGCAACAAACGAACGCCAAACTGTGACCCAAGAGACATGTTGCGAGACATGAGCAAATGTGTCTATATGTTTTGCTCGATGCGACTGTATGTATATTTGTGCGTGTGTGTGGGCGCACTTGGGGGTTGGTGGGCTTGTCACTCAAAGTCAAAGTCGCCGACATAAAAAGCACGTTGAACTTTTGCGCACAAATGTGTACATACAACACGTACAATGTACATAAATATGTATATAGACATTATAAATGTTGCGGGAGCAAATGTTGCTCATCATTGAAGCACCGCAACATGCAAATTTTTTTCGCTGACGGCGAGAGAATGCCTTTAATGTACAATCATACAAACATACATTTCTATATATGTACATATGTAAGTATGTACGTGACGTTGACTTCCCACAACTTGTGGCGTTTGCTTGCGACTTGAAAGATGAAAGATAAAAGTGTTTCGTTTTTTGTTCGTTTTGTTTGTTTCATTCGCCGTTCTTCTTCACACCCACATAGGCGCCGTTTCGCTTTGAACAGGCGCACATGTGGATGGCCGGAGTCTGGATTTTTTGGTAAAGTTTAAGTTGAGCATTCAAAGAATGCTCACTCTATAGGAATCACCAGACTACTTTGCTGGGTCAGGTCAAGGCTATCAAGCGATTAGCCAACATGTTGCAAGTTGTCACCAATGATGATAATGTTATTCATTAACTCGTGATGGCCAGCAACATGGCTTAGATCGTTTTTATACAAAAGCTTAAACACCAACCAAGCAGCTGCCTGAAAAAGAAACGAGGTGAACGTTTGGCCTTCAAAAAGTTTAAAACGCAAAAGCAGAAGAATCCAAGCCAAAAAACAAAGTAAAACACGCATTGACGGCACACCACAAAACTTGTATATACATATACGTACATATGTACATACATTTGTATATATTTAGCTACACATCGTTAGTAAATAAAAGAAGTTAGCAATTATTTGCTCATGACTATAACAAATGAAAAGCCCAACTTATATTTCAGCAACAATGTCAACGACACATAGGAAGCAAGCAACACAAAGGGGGAAAAAGTAACAGACTGGCGCTTTGCTCTCAGTCTCCAACAGCAACTTTTTTGTATTAGTGTTGCAAACTTTTTAGTACCCATAACAGCGGCATGTATTAACAGAGCGCTGTAGCTAACATTGGCGTTCGTTTACATGGGTCTGGTTTTCTGTACTCTCCAACGACGACATAGTCAAGTTAATCACCCACAAAGGCAGCAAAACAAAACTCGTGTATAATCTAATAAAGAATGTTCCATAAAACGGCGACTTTTACCCCCCATGTACATGATATGTACCTACATATGTAATAGAAGTTGCTTGGTTCCGGTTAAAGGCCAATTAATCAAATGGCTTTCCAATTAATGCAATTCCGAGTGTTTAATGATCGCAGGCACACACAAATGAAGACATTCGCCGTGGCGAATTTAAATTCAAAAATTATACGTTAAACGCGGCGAAGCGGCCGGCAAAAACAGAAAGCAATGTCGCTGCGAGAGTGAAGAGCACATATTACACAAATACAAACAGACAGACACACACAATATGTATGCCTGTAGGTAGTCACACAATCTGTTTGCACGAGTGTTGTGTTCGCAGAAAAAAAAACTGTGTATGAGACTCAACTACAACAATAAGTTTGTAAGGGGGGTTCCGAGGTTCGAGGAGGGGCAGGTGTGAAAATACTAGGAAATGGCTAACGTTGCTCCACTGGCGCTGCTTTGTCGACCGCAGCGAGCGAGTGCTAAACGAACGTTATGAATTCGAATTTTATACGATAAAGTCATGCCAGAGTGTGTGTGCGTTTCCATTTAACATACATACATATGTGTACGTGTGATGTACGCAGCCGGCCGGCAAAACCAAATGTGCAAAAAGTTATTAGTGCGCTGTTGCTTTTGCGTTTTTAGTGTTTTCTTTTTTGCTAAGCTAAACAGCAAATATACATACAGACAAAGACTATTCGTATGTATGCATGTATTTATTTTGTACTCACCGCATACTTGCTGAAGAACCCCTCATGTATACTGCTTGAATATTCTTCCAATTCAAACATGTTTGTTGCTTGCTGTGTGTAGCTATTGAAGTGGCCGTTTAATTTGAAATTTACAGATGCTGTTGCATTCGCGATCACTTTGTTTTGATCAATATTTGGTTGGGACTTTTGATGCCCACTCTTTTAATTACTTTTGTGCACATGTACAAATGCGCCGTTAACTTCGACACAAAAACCGCTGATTTATTCGCATTTGCACTCTGACTCTGTACACATACTCGTACACAGATACGTTAATCTAGTAGCAAAAATAACAATTTAGTTTTATCATACTCTTAGCTTATTATTCGCACAGGACCGAACACACATATATGTACATTTCCTTTTATCTTTAACAGAACAGCCGAGCACTTTGCTTTTAAAAATTTTGCGTGTTTTATTTTTCTGTTATAGAATTATTCTCCTTGCGCCCGCACGTCCTCTCAACTTAACCGCTCTCGCCGCTTCAAGAGAACATACTGAACTGCAAAGTAGGATTGTTGATGTATCGTGATATCAATATTATCGATACTTTTCAAGCGACATTTACATTGGGTATCGACAATAAGTTAGTTGAATCCTACAACATGCAGGTTTCGACACACAACAAACAGTGGTGCCGGACTCCAGAAGTTGGGTTCAAATAATTTTTTTTATTTTTGAATTGAAAAAATTTATTTAACAGGCAATAGAACAAAAATTAATTAAGAAATATCAGCGGCACGCTGTTATAGTTGGTAACATAATTTTTGGGAAATACAATAATTTGAAAAAATAATAATGAAACTGCTAAATTTATAATGTAAAACTAGAAATGAAATACCAAACAAAAATTAATAATTAAAAAATTAGGAAACTGGATAACTGTGAGTGCAGAACAATGATTTGCTTATATAAGTACTCCCGAACTGTATATTGAGCGACTTCTCAGCTGGATCTGCATTCATATCTGTATCTTATACATGAAATGCATCGGGCATAGTATATTAAAGGATAATTTCTATTGTATCTATACTTTTTTTTCGACCTTACTTGGAACCTGTCCCCGACGTCGAAATGGCTCAGGCGATTGCGAGAGCTTACGGAAATACTTGTTAGTGGGTGTGCATGGTTCAACACATATTAATCCTGTCTTGTGCTTGACGAACTTTTTCTTTTGAGGTGTTGCGGCCGTAACCGTTACAATTCCAGCAGATGTTTTGATCAGCTCGATTACGGGACTGCGATTTTTGTCCTCGTAGTAGTTCTTTACTGGTGATGGTGTGACATCCTTGGCTTTCTTTGTTTTCTTTACTTTCATAGGCTTCTCAGTTTTCCTTGTCACAATTTCCACCTGTGGCGATAATTTGCGTGCCAACGATTGCGGCTGCAAATAATAGAGAACAATATTCATAAGTGACCTGAAGCTACGGATATAAAACGTCATTCGACTATTGTTCATGTGGTCCTTATGACATTATTTTTCGATTTTAAATTTAAATTGTACATAAAGAAACATTATAAATAAAAAAGAATCGTGTTTAGACGTACACTTTTCTGCTTTTAAATAAAATATAGTTATCTCATTTGGAACAAAGAGTAAGAGTTTGTAGCATATAGTATAAAACAATAATTAGAACTACGTATCAGGTGTTTTATTTGTAGTCTAGTATTGTCTAGTATTTGTATTACTTACCTGATTATGCTTGGGCGCTAACAATTTAATGCTCTGCTTGACGGCCTGCTGGGCTGCTTGTAAACGTTTGACATCCTTCTTAAGTTTTGCTGATTTCATCGCCACTTCGTTTGCTTGTTTCGGTTCCACCAAAACGTTGTCCTCGACAGGCAGAGTTTTGGGTTTGCCTTTCTTTTTGCCAGCGGCTACTTCCTGCAGAAAAATGAAGAGGATTAGTGTACTTTCGTAGTTTAAGTTGTAGCCATAATTTAACGCACCTGACGTTTTTGCTTCAACTTGGCTTGATTAGCTGCCTGAAGGACGGATTCGCAGTAGTCTAAGTAGTAGTCGCAGTTCTTTGGCTGCGGCTTGGATGGCGCTTTCTCTTGCGGTTTCAAGTGCTTCCCGGCACGAATTGCTGCCGATTTTGCCATCGCATCCTTTATAGCTTCGGAAAGCGGCTGCTGATCATTGTTAGGTGAAGTCTTCGGCTGCTTATGCACCGGATCATTAGTATTGGACAGCGTTTTGGATGAATGCACATTTTTGCCAGTTCTGGCAGCTGCCGACATTTCCATGGACTCCCTAATAGCAGTGGCCAGCGCTTGTTGGTCCTCGGTGAGTGTAGCTTTGTGTTGATCCGGTTGATCAGTTACTTTAGAGCTGCTTGTACGCGGCTCTTCGTTGGGCTCCATTTTCGCTTTCTGGTCCTGATTCTGCACAGGAGTGTGATCTGTTGGCTGCATGATTCCGTCACAATAGTCCATGTAGCTGCTGTTCTTTTTGGGATCTATCTCGGTTGAATTGGCCGAAGCTGCCAAACTACCACTAATGCCTTGAGCAGATTCTTGCTGCTCTTGCATGGGTTCATCCACTTCACTGGCACTCTCAGATTCCACTTCGTCGTGCGACTTTTTCATTTTCTTATGGTCAGGCTGTGCCTGAGCAGAGGCGTCATTGTCAATGTCTAGTTCGTCGGCTGCAACACAGAAACTTTTTGACAAACGCTTGCGTTTAGATTGTTGGCGCTGATTTTCGGCCAATGTTTCGATAAATGATTGCGAGGGATTGAAGTCGTTGGAATTTAGAACCTCGCTGCGACGTTTCAACTTGGGCTGTTTGGTGGCAACCTCATCGGGAGACTGGACGTAGAGTGTTTGGCGTCGAGATTTCTGCAGCGGATTGAATAACTTTTGCAGATGCGTTAAGTCGCAGGTTGGTAGCTCGGACAAGAGCGCCTGCTCATCATCGTGCTTCTGCTTCTTGTGAAATGCCTCAGTGGATTTCCCAGTGGATTTAGTTACTTTGCTAACATCGTTATTAAGGCTTTTCGGGGAACTTGTCTCGTCTTCGGAGGAAGAGGTTACGAATTGTGTGCTGGAATTGTTAGCCTTGGCGCTACTAAAGGGGGTTCTGGGTCCACCGTTCTGGGCAAAACAATTATTTTCCACTTCCGTTTTCTTGTGCGCAATAGAGCTTGTACCGCTAAATGTTTTACTCAGTACACCCTTTTGAATGCCAGTTTCTTCCTTTCCAGTTATTCTGGGGCCCAAGGATTTGGTACGTCTCGGGACAGTGGCCTTCTGCGATTCATAATCCTCGGGGGAAAACGACTTAGCTCTGAAATCTTTAACCTCCATGGAGGATTTATTCATACTCTCGTTCTGGACACCAGCATCCTCCTCGATATCATCCATGGCGTTGACAGATTTCCGGCTTTCTTGGGCATAGCCATCTTCCGATCCAGTATCCTCTTCGGGCGTAAACTGTGCGCAGGATGAGCGCCGAGCCTTAGACATTCTTTTCTGCGCGGATAACTTTAGTTCCTCGTTTTGTATATCAGCGTTTCCCTCGTTTCCATTATTTACGTCCAATGATTTTCTACGCTTCTGAGTAACATTCACATCCTGTGAATCTAAGTCACTAGAGCCAGAAGACAATGCCTGCTTCACCTTGGAAATATTTTTCTCGGCGACATTCTGGATATCTGCTTTCTCGATTTCGTCATCAGTATCGAGAATAGAGTAGACCGTTTTGTTCACTGTCATTTTATTTTTTGATGCCACGGACTTCAGATCTCTATAATTTTCTTGCTCTTCGGAGCTAGAGTCCACTACTAGTGTAGGCATCTGTGAATCCAAATTATCTTTGGACGCCGCCTTATCGGGCGATTCTTCTTCAGTTGGGCTGACATCCAAAGCTGATGCAGTTTTATTAAAGCGATCTGATTTGCTCAGCTCACGCAAAGCGGCTCTGCGTGAAGACTCCAACTCCTGTTCGTCCTCTGAGAATTCTGCATCGGTGTCAATTAAGGATTGAATCGCATCGGCAGACTTACTGGAATTGGAGGAATGCTGAGTGATCTTCTGCGAGGATAAAATTTGGTGCACTACTTCCACTTCTGAATCGCTGCTATCCTCCACGACAATGCGACGCCGCTTCTTGCTACTACTTATCTCAACTTCTTCAATGGAATCTTCGTCCGATACTATGAACGACATGTTGCTTCCAATCTCACCCTCCTCTTCATCATCTTCGGTAGTATCCCGACTGTTCAGTGATTCGCCATCGTCGGGTATTTCATTATTTTCAATCTCACGGCGCTCGGAGCTTGCCATTGAATCGCCAGATGCATAGTCATTTACTTCCTCTGCCTCATCATCAATAAATTCATTCTTTTCGTCATTTTCCAACTCGTAATACTCATCTTCATGCTCATCACTTTCATCGTCGCTGAGAAGGCGCTGGGCCAGAGCGCGTTGTGGCACGATCTTCGACAGCGACAAGTTGGCAACGCTTTCTTCTGCAAAGGAAGTGGTGACATCTTCCAATGGTTTGATAGAATCCATTTTAGCAGGTGCTGGTTGCAGCCCATTGATCGACTTGTCTGTCTTTGGTATGGGCGTGGAACTGGTTCGCGCTTGTTGTTTTACATACTTATAGGGACTTTCCACCTGTGGCTGTACATTATCCAATCCAACTGGTGCTGTCATGATACGCATTGGTGTCTTCGGATATTTGGGTTTAGGTTCATCGTTTGCTGCAATATTATTATTGAATTCAACTGATTTTTTAATTTCTTGGTCTGCAGTAATTAGGCGCCGCTTAATGTTTGGTGTAAGAGCGGGCAAATCAATGGCTTGAATAACATGCGGATATTCTTGTTGCATACCAACTAATTTTAAGACATCGTTGCTCTTGATTTGAGAGATTTCCTGCTCATCATTTATTGACTCTAACTTACTGCTCAATGCGGGAGCTGTGTTTACATTCTCTGTCTCTGCTTGTGCCAGCACAACCGGACATGAATCCACATTGGAAGCGATTGTCAAATCAGTTTGCGAATTCGTTTGAGTGACAGCTTGAAAATCTGAATCAATGTCCTTTTTAATATTAGAATTAGCACTGGGTTCCGTTAGGGGATCAATTTTTACATTTTCTTTGGATAACTCCGGCGTTGTTGGCTCTAATGCAATAGAAGCAGCATTAATAGAGAGTGGTGTTTCTTTTTCTGTAGCATCAGCCTCTCTATTTAAGTGCATTGGCGATTTAGTTACCTCTAACGGTCGGGGTGAACTCGAGCAGGAGCGCGTCATACGCTTTTCAGCATCAAGCGACCCACGTGACTCCTTTCCAGCTAGAATACGCCTGGCATTTAATTCATTGGGCATATAGGTAATACCATGAATTGAGTTATTACAAAGATCAGTGTTCTTTTCGATGAATCCTTCATTTGCTGCGGCTATAAAAGAGCGTGTAGTTTTAGCTGATCCCTCCGCAGTAGGTGTCAGGATAAGAGTTTGTTGATTCGATTCAGCCTCAATACCCACAATCTGGTCACTTGGTTTGATTATATTCTCTTCTACTAACTTGTTTTCTGATTTCTGATTTGATGGTAGATCGCTTGTTTCGGTGCCACCGATATTAGACAATGGCGAATGAGTCCGCTTCTCAGTTTCATCGGTGATTTCCTCTTGTACTTGTTTGTTTTGTTTTACAACAGATTCACCAGCATTTGTCATAGCGTTGGTCAAAGACGCCATATTTTGGTCCTCCGTTTCTTCGTTAATATCATTTTGTAGCTGATTGCCTGCAGATTTTATGTCTAGGTTTCGGTCATTTTTGGCTGGTGTGGATGGCTCAGGTGTTTTTCCACGCGTCGCAGTGGACCGTGTAATCTTTCCAGTCAGGGTGGATTGCTGGGTAATGGAGCCATCAACATTTGTCTCGGTATCTATTTCCATATTTTGGTCTTCAATTTCTTCATTTATAGCTTCCGGCAACAGCTTGCGTGCTGATTTTAGAGCTGGCGTTCGCTCTTGCTTTGCAGAACGCTTGACTGCCGATATTGGCGTGGATGGATCAGGGGTTTCTCCACGAGCCACAGTGGATCGGGTTGATTTACGGGTTGAAGTAGGTTGCTTTGCAACGGATTTACTAACATTTGACTCAACGTTGGAAATAGTGTCCATATCTTGGTCTTCAGATTCTTCGGTGATATTCTCATGCAACAGTTTGCGTGCCGACTTCAGAGAAGGCGTTCGCTCATTTTTGGCTGAACGTTTAATCGCAGATATTGGTGAAGCTGGCTCAGGAGTTTCTCCACGTGCCAAAGATGAACGTCTAGTCTTGGCTGGAGTACCCGCTTCTACCGTGTTCAAGCGTGTGTTGCGGCGTGTTGTGCGCGGCGATCCTACTACACATACAAGGAACATTTTTTAATTTGAATGGAATAACAAAAATATAGGAATGCGAGCTTACCACGATCCGGCGCAAAATCCATGAGAGGCGTCGAAGGACGGCTATCACTATCCGCAACCGATAGACTGCGCGCACGTGCACGTGTAACTATAAAGGAATAATAAAAGTTAGCCGGCATAATTGTACTGATCGAGCGAATTAATAAAAGCAAATATCCTTTCTCGTTCTAATCATTAAACAAAATGAAGTAAAAACAAAAGCGAAAAAGGCTAACACATGCTTTTCAGAGAGCAAGTTCCGTTAATATTCTTACGTAGCGTTGCCTTTTAAAATCGAACGGTTTTGCTATTGGATGAGACACGCGGCGAAGGCGGGGAAAGCTCAAACACCAAGCACAAGCGCTGTCGAGATTTTGGCAATGATGAAATCTCAATCGCAAACTTACCACGCCCTCCTTCGTTTTTGTCGTCAGTTTCCATCATTTTCAGTTAGGGCCAATAGTAAGTTGTATATTGATTAATCGTTTATATTTCTAGTTCACTTATATTACACAAAAAAACTTAAACAATCTCCACAAAAAGTAGGAAGACGCGCACAGCAAGATGCCGACAAATAAACGAAATATCGATAGGCACCCGCTGTTAATGAAATGTGTCTGAAATTTTTCAGCACTGGCAATTTTAAAAGTACTTGCAAATTTGGTCAAGTAATATTTTTTTAATTTTTGTATACCCTTGCAATGATGTTAAGAATGCCAACTTAAGTCAGGATGGCCACGCCAGTCAGCTTACAAACGAGTATCTCAGTTTTAAAGTTGTTCGTCTTAAAAGGTCGGATTTGGGGGAAGACGAATTTTGCACTTCTGAGCTTATAATAAAACCAAAAGACCACTTCGGTGACACCGTTATCCGTTATGACAAGATTGTGATGATTCAATACCAAAGGCCCATGCATACATATGTACATGAATTCCGAGGTGATTACTTTCAAGGCAATAAATTAGATTTTAATAAATAAACAACGATTTTATACGGTAGCACCAAATTCTGGATCATATTTGTACACAGTATAAAGCAAAGCTGTCGATTGCTTTAATTTTTTCAAGATACATGTTTATGGTACTTATTTTATTTATATCATATTTTGCTTGGCGAATTCCGGATTAAATTGGGAATTGTACTTTTGCATAATACGGGGTGTGGGAGCCGATCTATCTTCTGTTGATGAAGCTAATACATCTTTAGGAGCAACCAAAGCTTGTTCACGTTCTCGTTCGGCTTTTTCACGGCGCAGACGTTGTTTGCGTAGTATTTCTAGTTTTTCGCGTTTCCTGCGCTCTGCTGCCAAATCAGCCTCTTTTCGAGATTCTTTTTTCCTTTTATGGCTTTCGTGGTGTTTTTTGTGTTTTTTATGGTGTTTCTTTTCCTTTTTGTGTTTCTTAATTTTTGCTGGGCTCTCTTGTACTGGTTTTGGTGTAGGGGAGGCATCACGTTTTCTTTTGGGGACGCTTCGTGCTGGCTTTTTTTTCGACGGTAATAGTGCATTCATCAGTGTGAGCGGGTCCTGTGATAATTTGCGCTCCAGGTGTGTTTCAATGTCATTTTTGTCGTCAACATCTGTCCTTTTGGGTGCTACTTCATACCAACTACGCTGCTTGAGCGCCTCATTAGTGTTTTGACCCAGGTAGGTAAGATAACCAACTTGCTTCTCATACTTTTCCTGCTCTTCCTTACGCTCTTTCTCGAAATCCTTGTTGGTTGTTTTGATATGCGCCTTGTAATTTATAAAGAGATCCACACCAGCAACATTTGTGTCAGCTGAACTGCTGCTCGGGGCGTTTTCCGTGGATGTGCTAGTGCTTGGCCTGGTGCTTGAGGTAGGTGCTCCAGATTGGCGGCGTAGAAAATTGATGCGTGCTTCGCTTTCCTAAATACATGCAAAAACTAATAAATTGACTTAAAATGGATTTGAAATTATAATTACGGCCAATTCCAATTTATCCTGACGCTTTTGTTCATCCTCGCGAGCGGCAGCCTCATCGCGGCGCACTCTCGCAATGTTATCCTTGGTGCGTACATGCCAGCTGTAAAATATAAATATATTTCTACCGATATTCTATAAACATAAATATATTAAATAATTACCGTTTTTTTGGCAAAATATTCATGTTCGTATGGAAAAATGTAAACAAAACGCGCGGCGCTGTGAATGTCAAATACTTCACTGAACAGATGGGAAACTTTTTTCCAGTTGCCAGTTAGTATATTTTTATTTCAAAACTAAACTTTTCATATAGTAGCGGTTTCTTACAAGTATCACAATCAAAAAACAAAAAAAAAATACATAAAAAAACTCAAAAAATTATTAATAAAAAGTTGCACCACTGCACTCGATTGTGAATAACAACAAATACCCATATGCAGTTTTGACAATTGGTCTCGCGGCATTGTGAATGGCGCATCTGTCATCTGTCAGAAGAAAAACTGGTGGCAGAGCAATAACGAGTCCCCGAAAATAAATTGTGTTCATATTTTTTAATTGATTTTGTGAGTTTTTGAAACCAGCAACAGGACACAAACAAGTAAAAAAAAACAAAAAGGGAGACACATTACAACATATACGTCGCGCGCATGTAGTTACAAAATGGCTACGGAGCAGCGTACTCTTAAGCAAGACGGCTATTTGGATGTGGGCGATGACAATGATGTGCCTGGTGGATTTCCTCCATTTGAGATGCGAAACATCCTTTATCATCCACATTTAAACGTATTGTTGGCGTTCGGCGTTAATAATTTAGTAAAAGTTCTGGATGTTAATTCGGGCGTTATTCTGCAGACTTATCAATTAAGTACAAATGGTAAGTCGAGCGAAAAAATTCCCATTGCTACACATATGTACACATTCACAGAATCGCACAAATTGCGTAGAATTTTTTAGCTGTGTGTGTGCGTGTAAATTAAATTTGCGTTTTCGGGGAAAATTTTCACAAAAAATCACTACATTTTTCAAGATCCTTCTCTTTTTGCCTATGTATCTTTTGTTTTGCAATTCTCATTTGTGGCAAGGCTGTTGACTAGTGCCTGCACCCCCTCTCTGACCCTCAAACCAGTGTCGCATTTTTTTTTTTGCAGGGTTTTCTGATAATGCGTGCGTATTTGTTGTTTCAGTTTTGCCGCTAAAACTTTTAATTTATCAATTACGCAGTAACTAGTGCCTATTCATTGACACTTTACTCTTCTGTGTGTCTTCTCACCAAGTGTCTTGACATAGTTTTAGACTCATTTATAATTTAAGCTGAATTACTCATTGAAAATTGCATTCAACTGCATCCGCATCTGTTCTATTGCATCCGGTGTTGAAATTGTAATACAAATGGTGTGTGTGTGTGTATGCCAACTCAATGGAAGCTCCTTTGAAAAGTGACATGTTCGTTCAATTTCTGTTTTATACTCTCTTTTAGCTGGTACTTTTATTAATGGACGCTACATGCCACTGCAAGATAAAATCTTGTTCTGGGATGGTCACAATCTAGGACTACGCGGTGATTATAATGGAGTTTTGCTGCTAGACACAATACTCCAGGCACCTATTGGTCAAAATGATGAATACATAAAGCTCGAGCTTGTACTATTGGACGCGATTATTTTTCAGAACTGCATACACGACCTTGAAAGCGAAGGTCTAGAGTGTCCTGCGGACATTAGCAACGAGCTGACACAGAAAATTAATCAAGCACAGCTAAATTCAAAGAAAGGGTTCAAGGCACAACGCGTAGGTCTTTTATTTACGACAAATGTGCGCATTTTTTAAATATTTTTATTTTGTTAGTGGAACACAATTTGTTTGGAGGTTCCCTATTCCAGTTTAAAGCTGGTAGCCAACAATGTCGTCATATTGCTTAAACGTCTGGAGCGCCACATTCCCGTTCTAGCCATAGCTTCTGCCATTAACGAGCGCCTCACGGACATGCTACAAGGCTCACGCGTGCCTGACTTTGCATTGAATTTCAACAATTTCCAGCGCGTACTCATGCACTCGGAGGCGATACGTCGCCAGACTTTTGAGAAATGGCCACACATGGACTATAAATGGGCCTTGCCCGATCAAATGGCCCAAGCTGGCTTTTATCATCAGCCCTCAGCAACGGGTGAAGACCGCGCCATGTGTTTCACCTGTAATGTGTGTTTGGTGTGTTGGGAGAAAACAGATGAGCCCTGGAGTGAGCATGAACGTCATTCCCCACTGTGTCCCTTCGTCAGGGGCGAATATACACAAAATGTCCCACTTTCTATCACGTATGCGACCAACCCGGCACAGACATCTCCCGGCTTGGGTTTCGACATAATTTCCAATAGTGATTATGCAAATGTACTCTGCACCAGCTGCACAGAAACTGGTGAATTGAGCGTTTGGAGCATTGAGCGTCATCTAAAGCTGATGCATACAGTTCATGTGCCCACATTGTTGAAGGATGTATTCGAGGAGAGTTTCGAGTGGGCGCGTGTCACAGCCATTTGTGTATTACCGAATGCTCGGGCGCGAACTCGAGTCAACTATGTCTATTCGGCTAATTATGGTGCTGGAGGAGCAGCGCATTCGGGTGGCATGCGAAGCAGTGATAAATTTGGTGGCGTCAATTCCCAGCATATAACCTCAACTTCGACACTGCGTGCCGGCGTCGTAGGCTCAAAGATTGTTCTTGGCATTAGCGTGCGTCAGAGTAGCGGAGAATTGGCCCTACGTATGGTGGTGCTCAATATAATAGAAGTGGATCGGTATAGTGATTCGTCTGTGAGTATGAGCAATGATAGCGGCAGCATCTGCAGTAGTCACCAATTCAAGAAAACATCGTCCCACTTGGGTCCCAGTAAGTCAACATAGAAATTTATCTTATTAAGTTATCTTCTAATATTTTCATTTGTCTTCTTAGATATAACTGAGGCCAATGTGATTATTTCAAGTCATGACTCCAAAGACGATGACAACAAATCCTTTACACCATATGAAAAATTCGCCGATGGATTTGATAGCAATGGCTTTGTATCTGCATTGATGACCTCCTACAAGAGTCATGCAACGGCCCATGGTCCTGACAATACTTCAGCTCTCTATGATTTCGACTTGTCTACGCTGTCTCACATGTTGGAGCCATCGCTTGATGATCCAACTGGGAGCATTATGTTAACCTCCAATACAGTCAATGTCGGCAATAATCTTCTGGGAATGGACAATGATATGGAGAAGCTTATAGAGGAAGCGTCCGTGGTACAACAGAATAATAATAACAACAACAATAACGACAGTCCCTCGCTTGGTGGTAGTTCCAGCAATAACAATAATAATTGCAATGGTAGTGATAAGGCGATAAGGCCACCGTGCGAAGAAATCGATTGCGTGGTCGAAAGTTGGACGAGCGTCAAACGCATGAATTCTTTATCGAGCACCGACGGTGGTGCCGCTGAGAGTGCAAACGGACCTCTTCCTGACGTACAGGAGATTGTAGAGATTGCCGAGATTATACCAACCAGCCCCAAATGCAATCAATTGCTTGTAAAACTACAACGTACCAAGGCGCCAGAAACAGAAGCGAGCAAAATTATTATGGCCACCGTTGAGAAGGAGGACGAGGTGGACGTTGATGAGCACATGGAGACAAGTAAGTGATTTCAAAAAACTAAAAGTAAAGTCAAACTGGTTTTTGTACCTAAGACCTTAGCACGGTAATTCTTATACCAAGTACAAAAATCTACACATTGCACTTCAACATATTAATACTCTTATGACTGACTCACTATTATATGAATTCATTATTTGTGTTGCAGATGACAACAATGCCGAGTGCAATGTGGCAGCACAGCTTCTTCTTTTTGATTATGACGATACACAAATATCCAATGACTATACGCTGGCGGTGACTTTCAGTCGTGCAAAGAGCCCTAAACAACTGTGCATACTGCCGCCGTTTAATCATGCAGAGCAAAAGGAGACGGGTGCCATTTGTGTGGTGTGCAGCGATGGCAGCGTAGAGATATATTCGTTAGCCGACTTTCAGCCCACACATATTATTGAAGAGGAGGGCGAACACTTCGAGGCTGTAGTTTATTGCCGCAATCTGGAACGTTTGTGCTGTTGCTCTCGCCAGGGCGTCATGCTCTTCTTCTCACTAAGCGAAGGCGACAATGATTCTGGTGATGAGATGCTTGAAATTGAGGATGATTGCAGCACAGCGCTGATTCAGGCTAATGCAAGTATTGACGTGACAGTGACGGATGCCGCTAGAGATGGCGCAGGTGCCGAACCGGTAAACCCAGCGAAGGGCGAAATCACCACCAACATGAATGATGTGATAACAATAGATGTGAGCAATACTCCAGCCACAGACAGCGGGAGTATAGCGGCGAGTTCTAGTTCCCAGGTGCAAACGTCGCCTTCGACAATGTCGATATTGGCTAATAATAGCAATTTGTTGGCCAATAAGACTTCTGAGCTGACGCTTGAAGATTTACGAATCTTCTACGCTCTTATACAATTCGACGAAAAGCTCACTGTCTACTCGGCCGAAGTGCCCAGTTGCTGGAATGATCTGGGACAAGTGCAGAAACAACGCAAGCAATCACAAAACTTGCGACATGGCGGTGATGACCGCGAGTTTACACACACCTGGCGTTTACACAATGACGCGTAAGTACAAGTAGAGATGAGTTATCACTTGTAATTTTTAATGAAATTTTATCAATGCAGAACCACCTGGGATGAACATATTATCGAGATAAATTTGGCACAGCCTGTGTCGCTAGGTCACGTCGATTTAAAGTTCACGGTCTATCAGCAATGCTCCAATCCGGCTGCCATTCAGGTAACGTTGCTCAAACAGAACACAAATGGCTTTGGTTACCGCATGAAGGGTGCACACAACAATTACAAACCCAATGTCGTTGACGACAACATTGATCTCACCTACGGTAAGCTAAAATTTGACCAACTGCTAGGAATATCTAATCCGAAGTTGTCTGCCTTTTTAGTTGCAAACGAGAATCCAGTGCTCAGCGAGGAATATCTACAGGCGCACAATGCTGAGGTGCTGTCCGGACCTATTGAGTTGTCCTCCTGTATCGATCTATGTGATCAGGGTGGAACGGCTACACTCACGTCGCCAAAATTGTTTAAAACGCGATCGCGTAATTTTCTCCTACACATCAAAACTGTCGCCGATCCATCGAAGGATGGACAAAACAAAACTCGTGGTATGTAGCAGTAACTGTAGCCATAATTTATGACATTTGCCTTTGTAACCTGCTTTATCAAATACCCTTGCAAGAGAGGTATTGTACATTTTTCACAAGATTTGAAACGCTATCAAAATCAAATGACCTTTTCAAGTGCCGAACACATTTGTCTATTTCTTATTCGTGTCCGATTATTCATTCTTTAGCTATGCACAGCGGTGGCTTTACTCATTCATTAATATAAATTGCCATAAAAAACAATAAAAATATAGAAGAATGGCTTTTAAGATGTATCCCCAGCGTGAAGCTCAATATAGTATATGTACAATTCAATGATGAGATTAAATCTGCACATAGAGCGGATAAGCTGCTTACAAATTAATAAACCAACCACTTTGCCTTTCTGAGCATAACAAACTGCACAGACAATTTGCGGATATAGGTGTTGTTGGGTCTTTAACACACACATACTTTTGCAAATATTTGGTAATTTGTTTCATAACCTCGTGTTTAAACATAATCGATGAGGTTATTATGCATCATTTCTTAAAATATTCTTTTTTTATAGATTGTTTCTTAATTTATTTTGTATAATACGTATCTATATATGCTTCTGGAACCCAACAATGCTTGCAAGGGTATTATTTAGTTGTGGCTTAACGAATATCTTACTGTTAGTTTGTTATTTGTTTTTGGTTTGGTTTTTTTTTTATTGTTTTCCTAACCCCACCATTTCAGTTGCATTACCTGTGCCGCATCATAAGGGGTCCCATCAAGTAGAAGATTATATAAATGAAAACGCCCAGTATTGTGCTCAGCAATTGCAAATTACAAAGATCTCAGTTCAGAAATCAATTAATAAGAGTTGTGCCACACATATAAATGTATTAGAGCAGATTAAGAAACAAATACTAAAGCAGCCATCGCAGAAATTTAAGTCAGCTCTCATTACCATACCTATGTCACATTTACCGCCATGTGGGTGGCAGCAACATCAATCAAGTGCGCAACAACAAAATGTGCAACAATCATCCATTCACCAATCATTTTCGCAACATCCTCATATGCAGCAGCCATGTTTGTACCAACACAATTTGCATCAACACCATGTGTACCAATCGGTGTTGTTGCCATTCTCGGTGTCACAGCCGTGGCAGGCTCCTGATTTCAAATTGCCGGGAACAGTGGCTCGAGGTACTTACATGTGTTGTTTGGCTTGTTTATTGTAGGCGCTACCATCGCTAACTATTAATGCACCTATCGCAGATCACTGATTGCTGATAGTTTGGGACATACCATTAATTCGTTTATCATTTTATAGGCTGTGATTGGCTGCATGAGATCTCCATTAGTGTGCGTGGTGTAAAGACGCAGAGTCGGGTCAGCAATGCTCGCATCCAACGCATTGCTATGCTAGATAGCAATGGTTTGCTCGAACAACTCTTTCGATTAGCCAGCAGTGCCGATTCCTCACCACTCAGCAGAAATCTGGCGCTCGATGTGCTCAACTGGATCTGCTTCATACGTTTAAATCGTTTTCGTTCGCCGAAATCGGAACGGATCAAGGAACAAATCAATAAACAGACGGCTGCCAACATTAATGATTTGCTTGCTCAGCAATTCGAGTGCATTTGCTTGGCCGAGAAGCATATCGAGTCGATGTTGCGTAACTGCATCATTTACAGTGAACGCACCACAGCGCATAAATGTGTCAAACTCATTGTCACACTGACAGAGTAAGTGCCAGTAATTAAAATTTGCAATTTATATCGATATTTGAAAAGCTGTTAAATGAATAATGCTGATTCGAAACAGCAAATTATTTGTAGAGTCTAATCCCGAACTTCGCTCGTAATTAAAATTAGTTATTTCATCTCGACTATGAAAATAAAGAAAGCGCTCCACGTTTTACTTAATTTATTTACATTAATCATTATCGGTTACCTAATAGTGCATAAATTAATCTCTTGAATATTGGGTTAATTTACCGCGACAGTATTCATTCAGCAGCAGGATATTTTAGGTCTTAGATGTTTTTTTTTTTGTATATCTACCTCAACTTTTGTTAATCTCATCTCTACCAAATGAATTGATAATTGTTCCTTCAGAGGCGCTGCCAATTTGCCGATTGAGCTGCAGAAGCATTCAACGCTGGACAATACTATAAAGACGGCCATATCTAATACCTTTAATGAAATATCTCAAGCTGACTGCGGCAGCGTTGTGCGTTGGTATACCATGCTGACCTGTGCCACCTCCACAGCCGAGTCACACAACAGCATCTCCGAAATGGCCATAAATTTGTTAAAAGACATCGCTAACGAGATTGACAAGCGCTGGGATCCATATTGCGCGCTACTTAGCACACGTTTTGGTCTCTATGGCTTTCCATTTGAGCCGGAAATATTTGATTTTGATTTCCCCAACACCAACCGGAACGGCTCCAGTGCTTCACCAATGGGCGTGAGCAGCGTGATACGCAGCAGTGCGAGCATTTTGCCTGTGACTACTCTGGACATTAAGCGTTTAAGTTCAATAGGTGGGTATTTATGGCATATGCAATATAAGAGCCTGTTATGATTTAATGTGTTCTTTTTTAAAACTCACAGATGGTGTTGATTTCCGCACATTTCCACATTTAATACGTGGTAAGAGTATCAGTAATCAGATGCGGGGATTGTTGGAGGTCGTGCAACTACACTTCACCTGTGTCCAGACCTCAGAGGCTACACGCGTCGATAACATAGATACAGCTAGTGGTACTGGAGCATCCAGCGTCGTTATGGAAGATGTAATGATGATGCCTAAGCTAGTGGTGGCAAAAGAGAAGGATGAAGAGCTGGTATGAAAGGTGCAGCTTATATTTTATTTAAGGAATTACAGCTTACACTTTGCAGCTTAATGATCTGGTTAACGATGTGCAGTGTCTGGTGGAGGAAATGAAGGACAAGGATGGAAAAACTGCCTTCGATACCTTCGGCATGGTAAATGGATTTAAGGATAAAACCTGTAAGTATTGTGGTAGTAAAGAATGTATTTCCAATGCTTAACGTTAACGTGACGCCGCTGCTTTACGTTTTTAGCGGGCACGTCGCTTACAGAGCTGGAGCACGCACTTAAAGAGGAGGTGAAAAATGAGAAAGCAAAATTTGATAATCTTAAAATATCCAAATTTTTGCCTCAGCTAACTCTTTGGAATACCTACATACAGAAGAAGTTCGGCATGAAGGAAGATATCGATTATATAGATCTGACCGATGTAGATAATTGGGCGGAGCCGCACTGTGGGCTATTGCCGACCAAAATGTTCAATGAGAATGAATTGCCACCCCAATTAAAGAATATATATCTACAGCAGGACAGCCAAAAAGTCCCTCAACCCGCTGGAGTAGGAAATGATGCAGGGGCAGGGGAGCAGTATCCTGTCCAGTCAGCGACATCGTCAACGACTGTCAGTGATAACATTCCCGAGACTGTGGAAGATGATGATGCTGAAAGTGAGAAAATAATACAAAGTCTTAATGCCAATCCCAGCCAGCCAATTGCTTGGCATAAAATAATAACTCCTCCCCCCAAGCAAATGGCCGTTATCGATCGTATGCATTCCGGAGCTCGCCGCTTCGTAGTGCTGGACTTTGGCCAGCCCACAATGCTAACTGATTTGATCATACCCGCCTGCGACGAGCTCACTTCTCTTACTATTGATATCTGGTGCTTTGATGAAGACACCGACAGCATGCGTTTGGTTCAAGTGGCGGACATACAGACAAAGACTTTGGTACTTAGCGATATGCAACCGCCACCGATTTGCCGCTATCTTAAGATGACGATCATCGGCCGCATTGGCATGTCCTCGACCAAATGTAAAGTGCCCTTGGGCACCTTTTTCGGGCATCCCGTCATTTTGGAGCACGATGGATATGGCGATAATTTAGCGCGCTACACCAAGCAACCACTGCAGACGCTACACGCACATATCAAGTCGCTTAATTCCCTCTACGAGGATGTGCACTGTCGCTATAGTCTGGCCAGCTGCAAGCTTATGGAATTGATGGCGCCAATGCGCAACAGCGAACTGTCCAATGTCGCGCACTTGCAGGCGTTTATCAACAAGCAACGCGATGAAGAATTGAGCGGCATCGAAAACAACAACAAAGTGGTGACACTCTATGAAGAATGCATGCTCTTACAATACCAGATTAATGTAATACGTAATGTTGTGTCACGCTTGGAGCGTGCAGTGTCTCCCTCCTTGCGCAGCATCGTGCCGCCAAAGTCGCTCCTTGCCACCGACGAAAGCCTGCGCCATGCCTCACGTGACAAACTGCGCGTTCTCAGTCTCAGTTTGGTGGAGGTGCTGCTCCATTTCTCCATTGAGTATGGCATCAAGAATATTCTACCTGGACATCAACGCTTTAATGTTGCTACAGCCAAAATGTTGTTCGATTCGCTCGTAGTCTATGGCGATGCACAGCTTCAATTGGCCACGTGTTCACTACTTGTGCGCATGTGCTGCTTCCAGTCTTGGTGGGGCGAGTTCTTAGCCGACACATTTTGCAGTCTGTTCTCTGCACAAAACTGCAAGGCATTTCCACAGGATCGGTAAGAGTCGGCATGCCACATACAAGAAAAATGTTGTGTGACTTAAAATTGTTCTGGTTCTGCAGAATCTTCTTCCTGCTTACCTATCTCGGACGACGCAGCATTGCCATGGGCACATGTCGCTCGATTGTTATCGATGCTGTGCTAAAGACACTGGCGAGACTGCTTGCACCAATTTCCCCTCATTACAACATCATGCCGGAGGAGCCAACCACTTCGGCCAGGGCAGCCGAATTCAACACCACTATGGGCAACTCATCGGACTTGCAGTTAATAACATGGCTATTGTTATTCTTGTCAGTTTGCTTGGACGATCACAACAATGATCGCAAGGATAAATGTAAGCGGTTAACATTAAATCAAATGCTGCGATTTTCAAATTATTAAATTAAACCATATCTCACTCTATTATCTCTTCACATCTGCAGCAGCCACTCGCTGGGACTTCATGAGCTGCGAAAGCGACTTTACTAAGACACGGCACAGCAACTCCAGCAAGCAATTGCGATGTTTTAAGAAGCGTATAATACAACAGAATAAATACTCAATACAACCCTACACCGATTGGGGCAAGAAGATCTACATGATACAGAACGAGGTAAGAAAGGTCTACAAAAGCAGCTGACAAAAATTCACTTTATGTCCTTACACAGCATCCTGGCATATTTATGGAGCTATCGGGAAAATCCAAGAGCTGCGGAATCAGCAAGGGAACATCCAGCATTAATACAGCTGCCGGCAACAACACTGCCAATAAAATAACCGTCGTTTCCGGCAGTAGTTTCGGTAGCAATGCGAGCACCAGCAGCAGCTCCACCAATACTTCTAGTTCAACCCAAGGCAAATCGGTATCCACAATATCTCCCAAGCAGCAGGACTTTGACGTAGCCGGTGATGGGGATAGCAATTTTGACAAAGGACTGAAAGCGTTGCGTATGGAAAACATTAAGGTTGTCATACGCGGACTCTTTACGCTGCTGCTTGAAATGGACTTTGATTGCAATATGGATCAATTTTTGCTTACCTGCAAGGTAATTGCGCGTCTGGTGGCTGCTTGTCGACCGTCGGTGCAACTGTCTAAAATCGTAACAACAGCGCAACTCGAGCAGCTTGTACGCCTAGCCGTATGGAATGATCAGCAACAGCCTTGGGCAGTTCATGCGATCACTTGCCTTTTACAGGTATGTTCCCATTCTCCTTTCAGTTCTATAAGATAAGTACCAGAAGTAGTTTAATAGCTGTTATCCTGAATAATAGTCAATTGTGTCTACTTATTATTTTATAATATAAAAACTTTATAAAATATGGCAAACTCATGATTATGACTGAAATTACAGGATCTGTTGGACGCGGACAAACAATACAGGGACAACGATGCGACACCCACCAATGATAGCACACGTTCCATGGAGACGGCTGTGCAAGAGACGCGTGACATTTTTACAGATTTCTCATGTAAGTGTTGAACTCAAATTTTCAAAAACCATAAATTGTGCATATTGAGGAAATTTTTGCGCACGTTCTCGTTTATTTTCGACCTTTTCTGTGAGTTGCCTTGGTACTTGATCGTAGCGTGTTATAAAACCAACCACAAACATTTCTCATCTTTTTAGCCTCCTCCATCGCACAGGCTGTGTTTTATATGCCGACAGCAACTGAATTTCATCAGGAGGGTAAACAGAGAACTCCAATGAAAAACCGCTAATATTTGTTTAAAATTGACGCCATATAGATGCGTGGGGGGCTAAGAGTATTGCCTTTTCCTTGATCGTATTCTAAATGGCATCAATTTTGATTGCCTTAAACCTTAACCCCTTTTTCTCCAAACTTTAACGTGCCTCTGCTTTTGATTTGGCTTCATTTTTAAATCCCCAATGCTTCGTACTTGCAGCTGTAAAATACAATTATCTACCCTCGCTAATTGAGTGCGACGACACGGAGTTTGATGAAATGCTAAACGATATCGACATGATAGAGCGCACCAAACCCATCACCAAAAAGGAGAGCAACGCATTGTGCAAGAGCACCTTCAATTTCTTCTGCAAGTCTATTTCTATTGCTATGGATTCACGCCTTGAAGTGGGTCTGGATCTGCATGTGGAAACACAGTTGCGCCGCTTAACCAACCGCACATCTCTGGACTTGTACTCTTCGTTGCCGCAGGTGATCACAAATGAGTTTATCACCACGCCTACGGATGCCGCACCATGGCCGGAGTTTCTAACGCAACTGTGGTCTGGCCCAGAATATAATAGCGGCAATACTTATTTGATGTTCAAGAATGTCTTCGACACCATCCTAGCCGATCTGCACTACGAAGATACGTGGGTTCATATGGAGCAGGTGCTTCACATGTGGCTAACGCTAAACTGCGAGCTTTCCGAGAAGCCCTACACGTCGGGAATTACCCAAACGGATGTACCTAAGATTCCATTTGGTGCGAACGCTGTTCAGGGATTACTTCTTGCTCTGGCCTGGCACAATGACATCAAGCTGCGCACCTGGTGCTTGGGCTTTGAGTGCCTATTTCTGGCTTGCAATTCGCTCCCCATTGGCGACGATGTCACCGACTGCATTCGAATCCATGAGGTTATTGTGAACGATGAGAACTTTGAGAAGATGCTTATGCGTTTTTTCTCTGGCTATGGCATGACCTCATTTATTACAAATCGCTGCGTAAGTATTGTGGTCCAATCTGATCATCACATTTTAGTCATAGCCACCTATAAATTTATCGCAGGCCGGTCCCACCATTTGCAAGCACTTGCACGAGCTTTTACTCTTGCTGCATAGCAAGAGTGAGAGTAGTGGCGGTCTTATTGCTTCCAAACGTCGTCTTAAGGACATTTTGTTGCATGTGGTGCTGCAACTTGTGCAACCTGGCGGTGCTATCAGCAATCAACAGGGGCCTATCGATGGACAAAATCAGCTGGTGCGCGACTTACTTCTAATGCCCAACGACAAAGGGGATCTCAATATTGCGCTAAAAATTATTGAGAGTGTTTGTAAGTGGCCAGCTTGAACGTTAAAACTAAATATTCAAAAATTATCTACCTTCCATGCTTATTCTTTGTCGCATAGCATTCTTGGTATACAATAATATTTCCAATGGAGAGAAACTTCAGTGCCAACGGACTAATGATAACACTAATGCGGGTAACAACTTTAGCAATCTCTTCGCTAATGTGTTGGGCTCAGAGAATCCTAACAAGCAGAGTTCTATTATTATATCAGACAATTCACTGATTATAAACCTCCTGAAGTTATCATCGCACTTGGTGCTCACAGAGATGCCACGGCAGCCAAGTGTAAGTGTATACTTTTTAAAGACTTTAAAGATAGAACTCTATTCTTATTTCCAACATATCACATTAATTTTTTAGGAAGTAACCATACCAGAAGAAGAGGAATTGTCCAACCAAAGTCAAACGGATGAAACTAAGGCGGAACAGCTAAATACCGAAGGGCACCGCAGCAAGGTGCCGTGCATAGCTGACTGGGGTAAGACTTATTTATTGTCTGTTTTGTAAAGTTTTTTTCCTAATCAATAAACTTTATTTGTTTGCAGTGTTGCGACAATTTCCCACAATGAAGCGCCTGTTTGGCTCATTGTCACAATGCTCTACCAACGCTTTCACCATGATGACCTCGAACTGCTTCTTTTCCATGAAATCACAACTGGTGTGGGATGAACCGGTGACCTTTGCAGATGCTGTTTTCAGTCTAATGATAACTCTTAGTGAGAAGGCCTCAAATCCGCGTTTGGTTGTTGCGCCCATTTGTCAATATTTAGAAGAAAGTAAGCTTTTCAATTTTCCAATGCTTGAAGCAATGCCATGACTTACCTTTGAACAATATCTATAGCCACTGTGCAACGTAACGCGTCATTGCCCCGTCTGCAGCTATCGGAGCCATTTCTCTGGTACATATCGAAGGTGCTTGAAGTGACGGCTGCGGTTCAAATATTCACGCAGCTTGGTGGCATACAAATTATATGCTACAATTTGGTGCGCCTGAATAAGACGATTATCAATATGCAGCCAGGCTTGGTAAGCATTCGGTTTAGTTAGTCGAAGGAGCTCTGAAAAACTGAATCAGCGTTGTTTTGTTTTCATCAGATATCGCTGATTATGCAGCACATGACGCTCAATACGCGACTTAAACTGAATAACCAAGTGACCACCAGCACCGCCTGCAAGAAGACAGGAACCACGACGACCACTGCTCCAACCACATCTCAACCGCAACCGCCACGAACAAGCGCCCAATATGATGGGCTTATTAACTTTGCGCCCTTCTCGCACATTGCTTCAGAGAACGATGCGGCACAAAATGCCGAGGTGTTGATCTCAAATCCCAGTGCCACGCATCGCCGGCCACGTTCGCCGGCTTGGAGCTATATGTTTTATCCGAATGAAATGCACGTTGACTTGACCATTACCCTGCCCACGGCCATTCTGCTAAAAGAAGTGCAGCTGATGCCACATACTTCTAGTCTTGCCTCCTGCCCTTCGGCCGTGGCGTTGGAGCTGTCGCGAGACTATGGACTGGGATCTATTCCTGTTGGCCCGCCCATGGCCACTACCGGCTTAACCTGCATACGTCTGAAGCTGGCAAAGGCAGAAGTAGTAACCAGCATTGTGCTGCGTCTGTATAAGTAAGTGCTATCCCCTTATAACAACAACTTAATTTTATACATTTTGAACGTTTTGTCATTACAGACCTAAGGATTGCGGAAACGTGGGACTTGTTCAAATTGCAGTCTTAGGCCAAACTATTTTCGGCAATAGATCGCATGCGTTGCGCTCACAAGGAGGTTATTCCGGCACAGGCGTGAATTGCGGCTCCACATTGCCCGTAGCTGCATTGGCGGCGATGGATGCTGATATTTTGCCAGAGGATGATGCGTTTGCCAAGACGAGCATAGGCTGGGTACGTATTCTGTCGCGTTGTTTCAATGTTGCTGCACTGCAGGCGGACCAGAAGCTATCCGATTTGATAGCCTCATATCCGGCCGCTTATCCTGGCTTTTTGGAGGCTTGTTGCTCGCTGCTGAACATAATGCCCATGATACCAAGCTTAGCCCAGCAGCATTTGGAGACCATTTTGTTTAAGATGGGATCCTACAATCAGGAGCTATGTCTGCAGCTTTTGCGCACATTATTATGGCAAACGACTCCACAGGGTAAGTTGCCAGCCATTTCCCTAAATGGTAATTTTCAATAATTTCGACAATTATGCTTGCAGTATTCAAACTATCAAGCGATGCAATCTGTGATTTAATCCATGAGCTAGTTACCAACACCCCGGGAGATATAGAAGAAAAAATTCATGTCCTGCTCACCTGGGTCACGAGGTTGCACGACAATTATAGTGAGCAATCACGTTGCAATAATCCCCAGAGTGGTTTCGTTAAGGTTATTGCCTCGATATTATGGCATGTGCAAGAACAGCAACTAATGCCTGAGCTGCCGGAGCTTATTTGTCCAGGAGTATTCGAGTGCTGCTTTAATTGGATAAACACACTGGAACATGATGAACCGCTAAAGGCGAGCTTTGATTCGTTTATGTGTTCCCTGTGCTACATATGCCCGGAATTGTTCAATGAGCTACTGAGCAGGCTTGGTGTCAATTTACAATTGAAGGCTCGGGGTCTGACCGACGATAATAAGGTTCAGAACGGCAGTGCATGGTTTAAGCGTGAGGGTGCCGCAAATCTTCAACAGTTACTCGAATATCCAAGTTTTCTCAAGACGCTTGCCTTGGCTTGTCAATCGCCGTCAACTGTCTATCAAATGCTCGACTCTGGCCTGCCCAAGTTGCTGGCACATGCTGTTTACGAATACTGCAACTTTTTGCTACCACTTGCAGAAACGGTGTCCGGCGGCGGAGCGAGCAACAGTCAAAATAGTGCTGCAGCGTCAGTATCTCCGGCACCATCAGGCCGAACTACAGATTGCCTAACCGACTGTGACAAGGCCGACAGAGCAGCGAGTGCCGGTGGGAGCAATATGCCTCTTTTAACCAGTACCAATGTGCCGAAAGTGCTGGACTTCTTCTCTGATTGCTGTGCGGAGGGACCGATGCGTGATTGGCTAGGCACCATGCAGGGCTCTATATTCTGGAAACCACTGCTGCAGTTGCTCTGCAACACACACTCTTCGGATTTCTCAAAAACGCTACCTATGCAGCAGACATTTATTCGGCTGGAGCGTGCCACCATTAATTTTTTCACCCGTGTCAGCGCTTGCCATCCGACGAACCAGGAGGCGCTCACTTCTCTTTTGATTGGTGTCATTATATGCAAGCCACTGCGGCCTAATCAGGGGTCCGGGAATTTGCATCTGCAACACGTTCGACCCACTATTTCGGGCTTCACGCGTCAGCTTGTGTTGCAATTGCTGCTCGAGAACGAGCACATCATGGTTTCGGTGCGCAGTAAGCAGCCACTACACAGACGGGACACCTTGTCTATCTTCATGAATGCTACATCCTCCACATCAGCGCATGGAAACTCGACCGGATCTGCGGGAGCTAGTAGCGTCAATAACAACAGTCTTCCTTTGGCTGCCTCAAACCATCATCCGGCAAAGCGTTGCAGTGCTCACCACGTACTTTTCAACGTCACCACCAGCACCACGTGCCAGGAGATCTTGCAAAATTGCGTGTCTGGTAAGTTTTGAAAAATTTACTATTTAACTAACTACCTATAATATAAGTAGAGTTAAGCGATTGATTTTTATACCCTCCACTTAAAACGTAGAAAAGTAATGTAAGGTTTGTGCAAAGCGAAAAATGTAACAGGCAAAAGGAAGCATAGACTATGTACACTGGTCGGCACAATTATTTTGACGAACTGTACTCACGACTATCGGTGCTGGTTGTTTTTAGTTTCAAGGAATAACGGTACAATTTTCATACGGGATATAGAGTTCATAGCAACAACAATATGTAGGCAAAATATTTTGTCTATTACTCTTCACACCTTCTTTCTACAAATGACAATGTGAGTTGACTGCGGATTCAGGCACGGCATAAGTATTTTGACCAAATCTTTGTCGCCGTTTTCGCGCACGTTTTGTCAAGTGATACTAAAATAACTTTGCTGTAACCATTTTTGTTGACCTTTCAACATTAAATTCATTCAAATTTGATTGAAAAGTTATAAATACAATGGGAAAAACAGCAGAATTAAATTATGTTGTTAGAGCCTCAATAGTGGCGAAGTTTAATGCCGGCGTAAAACCAAAAGACATTGCAAATGAATATAATTTGTCGCGGCAAACAGTCCACTATCAAATTAACAAATATAAGACCCACAATGACGTCAAAAACTTGCCTAGTTCAGGTGCTAACCGCAAAACAACACCCATTGAAGATCGAGTCCTATTGCGGGAATTTAAAAAAAATATTCATTTAAATCCGCAAGCTGCTGCAGATCAATGGAATAAGTCGACCAAGACTCCAATCAGTGAGCGTACTGTTCGGCGACGCCTAAAAGAAGAAGATTTTAAGACATACAAAGCGAAGGACATACCTTACATATCAAAGGTGAACAAGCTCAAAAGATTGGCTTTTGCAAAGGAGCATCTGCATAAGCCAAAAGAGTTTTGGAGAAGCGTTCTATGGACAGATGAAAGCTCCTTTGAATATAATTCATCAAAAACAAAGATTTTTGTAAGGCTCCCACAGTTTCAAAGACAAAAAAATATCCCCGTATGTCAAAAAGTGAGCCATGGCGGAGGCTCAGTCATGTTCTGGGGATGCATTGCGTACAATGGGTTAGGTGATTTCGTTCCCATCATCGGCTCAATTAACCAGCAACAATATTTGAGTACCCTTAACGAAAACGCATTCCCTTCCGGTGACAGGCTGATTGGAGAATCATTTATCCTGCAACAGGATAACGCCCCATGCCACAAAAGCAAAATGATAAGAGCATTTTTAACCGATGTTGGTGTTACTACTCTGGATTGGCCACCACAAAGTCCGGACTTAAACGTTATTGAGAATGTGTGGTCTCTTGTAAAACGTAAAAGAAATGCGTCTTTGCATAAAACCGAAGAAGAAACTATTTCCGAAGTCACTTCTCTTTGGAAAGAGATACCATTAGAGGTCCTTCAAAATTTAGTGGACTCAGTTACAAGACGTCTTCAAAAAGTTATCGAAGCCAAAGGCGGGTATACATTTTATTAATCTACCATCAATTTCTTATGTTTTGTTTAGTATTAAGCTTTGTTTTTTTTGTTTATATCCATTGTCAAAATACTTATGCCAACCCATGAAAATTACCTTGATTTATAATTTTAAAAGTTCTTATAAAAATATATCCTTTGAATTATTTTTAAGTTTGTAATACCAATATGGAATTGAGAAAAAAAGTTTCCTTTGATATCTTAAACCAATAACCAGTTATTGACAAAAATGTATGATTTTCTTCTCGTCAAAATAATTGTGCCGACCAGTGTATATGTATGTTGTATTTGACAACACAACTTTTAGTGTAGTTTTATGGTTCGTAAAAGTCAAAAACACTGCACCACTGCATTTGTTCGCATTCTTCGTGACTATTTCGCAAAAAAACAAAGCCGCATATCGGTCCCAAATCAAGGTATTCGCCGGATTTAGCTTCTTGAGTCTGTTGGCTATTTGAGTTTAATAAAAAATGAACTTAAATTTTTATTCAATAGAAAAATGATTCATGAAATGTTAATACTTAGTTGAACGATGTTTTTCCCTATCCTATTATAGTCCACTGTAACTTATTATCTCCACAATCAACAGATCAAACTAACACTAGCAGTAGCCTGGTGAATGCAGCTGCTGCTGCCGTAGCTGCCCACAAGGCACATGATTCAAAGCAGGAAAAGTCCACCGCGAATTCCATTAATGATCTGCACAGCATGGATGCCAGTAGCATGGAATTCTTGACTGTTGGTGCTGCCGTGGCGGCAAAGGACAAACGCATTAAAGATGTTAAAAATCAAGCAGCTGTTAATAAGGATAAGGGCACCCAAACATTGGGTGAACATATAGCCAGTAAGATTGACTCTTTAACTCTGTAAAGTAATGATTGTCAACTAAGTTTAAATCCAATTTATCGTCCATTTGCAGGACTTTTTAATGTGGAGGAGTTTTTGCAGCAAACTTCCAATATTATCACGGGCTCTCAACTAGTCATTCCCGATCATCCGGATATTGTATTGGCAGGAGATGCAACCATTTCACAAGTTTTGTCCACATTGCAAGATGCTGGGCAGTCGCTTTCTACACCTTGCATAACACTGGATTTAGTGCCAGTCCAACGTTGCACTGGCGGAGAGGCCACTTCTGATGTTAAGAAGACTAAGGCTTCCTGTACAGAGCCATTGCCATCGCCGTTGCAACGCTTTTCAAACAGCGGAGGTCTGTCGCTGCTTGCTCACTATTTGCCGACAGTATATCCAGACAGCAGTGGGCGAAAGACACAGACCGTGGTTCCAGATAAGGAGAAGAGCCCGCTTTTGTCCGACTGGGTGAAGTTGGAGCCCAACGATGAAATCTACGAAGACCTGGAAGATCCTGTGTGCGAGCCCACAATTAAGCAACAGGCCACTGTTAGCTCGGTGCCGCCACATTCTCTAGCCGCTTTTGGACTGTTTCTGCGTCTGCCCGCCTATTCGGATGTTCTGCTTCGTGACAAGCTACGGGCGCAGTGTCTGCTACGTCTAGTGCTCGGAGTCACGGGCGATGGAGAGGGCAGTAAGTGGCAGGAAAATATTCAAGTTAACTTTACCTAAATACTTCGTTCTTACAGATGACATATACAGCTTGCCGCTGGCACCGTCATTGCCAACTCTGCCCTTCGAGGTATTCCGCCAACTGTTAGACAGCGTGCCGTTGACAACCGACGACGGTGTTTTGTTGCGTCGCGTGGTTATTGAAGTGGGGGCCATGCATTTAGTACTAAATTGCTTGGGAATATTCTCGCATCAGTCGCACAATAACAAAATCGGTGTGATACAACCCGAAACACCAGCGTCCGGCAGCAATGGAGGTGGCAACGGCGGTGCTTCTAAATCGACAGAGGAGCCCCCCACAGGACCCACACCATCGGACGACAAGAGTCATATGTATTGGGCTAAGGGCACTGGTTTTGGAACCGGCTCCACCACTCAGTCCTGGAATGTAGAGCAGGCGCTGCTTCGTCAAAAAAGTGAAGAGGAACACGTCACTGTACTGTTGCAGGTTTTATCCAGCTACATCAATCCTGGTGATTGTATCCCCAGCGAGTTGCATGGCGAGGACATCTTGGCCTATCACGAAGTGCGCGATGTTACGCACGATTTACCACCGCTATTCCAGTCGCTGCTACAGCAATCTTGCCTAGTACCTGCGCTCAGCTCCTATTTGCGTAACGATTCCGTACTAGATATAACCCGACACATTCCGCTATACCGTGCCATATTAAAGCTGCTTCGTGCATTATCTCTGTCCAAGCAGATGGTGTCGCTTCTGCAGCCATTGCAAAGCTCAAGCGAGAACGCTCCACCGATTGTCGAGCTACTTAAAAACATGAAGATGTGTGTGGACACCTATGCCAGGCGACTCAAGTACGTGCTAGGGCTTGTTCTAACCACTACATTTTATTTATTTCCTTTTTTAATACTTTCCAGGGTTAACAAGAAGTCAAACATCAAGGGTCAGACCCAACAACAGACTTTCAATATAGATGATGGCGATGACGAGGGTCTGGCATTACTCATACCCGATATACACGAGACCACAGTGCTGGTGGAAAAGACCACCGAAGCGGATGCACTGATTAATATGTTGGAGATGGACGAAGATGGCCAGAATCAATTGGACCGTAAGCCGTTGAGCAAATCGATTGAACAACGTTATCTGGAGGCTATGAAAAAACTTCAGTTTGATACATATGACATGGTTGTGGAGGCAGAGAACAATGGCTTCCGTTTCGTAGTGTCTCATCATTTCGAGAAAATGGTACGTCTTTCAGGTGATCGCTACCACCCGTCGCGCGTTAAGCGATTGGCCCAAGAGGCCGTCACACTCTCCACCAGTCTGCCATTGTCTTTCAGTAGCTCTGTATTTGTACGCTGTGATACGGACAGGTTGGATATCATGAAGGTAAGTGAGCAGTTGTTGGTTTTTTTGGCCTTAAACTCATATAGTTTACTGTGCTTTTTGTTGTAGGTGCTCATAACTGGCCCGGCGGATACACCTTATGCCAATGGTTGCTTTGAATTTGATGTATACTTCCCGCCTGACTATCCTAATTTGCCCATGTTGATTAATTTGGAGACCACCGGTCGTCATTCTGTGCGCTTCAATCCTAATTTGTATAATGATGGCAAAGTCTGTCTGTCGGTATTGAATACTTGGCATGGTCGCCCCGAGGAGAAATGGAACGCACAGACCTCCAGTTTCCTGCAGGTGCTTGTATCGATACAGTCTCTCATTCTTGTCCCAGAGCCGTACTTTAATGAGCCGGGCTTTGAGCGCAGCCGAGGCACACCCAGCGGCACGAACTCATCCCGCGAATATAACAGCAACATTTATCAGGCTTGTGTGCGGTGGGCCATGCTGGAGCAAATTCGCAATCCCAGTCCCTGCTTTAAAGATGTAAGTGTCCAGGATAATCTGTTATTGTTATCATATCTTATCACCATAACAGTTTTCATTGGCATTCGTTTGTCGTTTGTCCAGCTTTCCGCTATTATTTAAACTATATATTCTTTTTAATATCTGCCGCAGATTATACAAAAGCATTTCTGGTTGAAACGGGAAGAAATTTGCACACAAATTGAAGGATGGATAGACGAGTTAGGAAAGCCGCAGTATACCGAGCGCTCAAGTCGCACCATATCCTTCAATTCGATGGTGTTGCGCCGTCACTATCGCCATCTCCGCGAAGAACTGGCCAAGCTTAAGCCACCACAAGGTCTGGAAGATCTGGAGAAGCCATTTAATCCTGTAGCCTCGCTACCACCGATGGATGTGTCAGCAACACCATCATCCACCAGCGCCACTAACGCCCAAGTGGGCACCGATGATTCAGGAGTGGTGCCGGAAATGAATCTCGCCTCCGAGGAGCATCCTATGCTGCTCTCGCCCACTGAGTTTTACAAGGATTTTAAAACAGATACTCCACACATTACCATCGGAGGTGTGGACGCGGTTATCGATGACGATGTAATTGAAATTCTTAGTGATACTGAAAACGAGGGTACCATGTGGCCAGAGAAGGATGATGAAATATCTTGAACACAATTGGTTGCTCCTGTTCCTGCGTAATAAAGACAGGGCAGTTTATTAAACACGTTTTAGGTTTCGTTTTTATTTGATTTAATTTTTAAAAGAGAGACTGCAACAAAAACTTGGTGTGCTTTACTTAAAACAAAATCGTAATAAATAATGTTAATTTAAAATTCACGTAAAATATCAACAAAAACACAAAACACAACAGCAAGCGTTAAACGATAATTGTGTAATTTACATTAGCAAACATACATTACGTGTAAACATTATATATTACACATAGAGTACTTTTTATAAATGCTTATATAAATCTACTATCTGAACTACTACTATATTATAGGCAAGCATAATTTCACACCAATTACACAAACTGCAACTTAATATAAACAACCACAACAAGAACACCACCAAAACTAAATTAAAGTGTATTAAAAATATGTAGCAATTTAGTTAAAGAATTTATCGTAATACGCAGCGTTAATTTTATTACAAAAATAAAAAGGCACATATATTTGTTTCCCTCCCAACAAAATATATTTATTTATTAACTTATTAAAGCATAATTACAAATCAAAATCTAGCTACTCTTACTTTTTCAATTCCAAAAGCAAACCTTTACACAGTTACTGTTCTCTTACTATCATTGGATAAATATTGTTGAAGTAATACAACCTGAAAGCGAAAGATATGTATCAACGTCTCGTACTAAGTGCTCAAACATCGTTTATCAGTTGCTGAACCCTAATCTTTATGATCAGCATTTCGACAGCTTTACGGACTGCATGTGCGCGAAATAAAAATGTTAAGTTTTTATCTTAGAATTCCAATTTTCATTCTAATATTCCAGAAGAGAGCGACATGGTGTTTGGGGTCTCTAGTTGATAAATTAATGCTTCATTCTATTATATGTATGTTCATTGCTTCCTCCTCTCCCGATGCACAAAATCAATCAGCTGTGCATTCTCGACTGCTGCTTTTGCTGTCGCTCTTCAATTAACGGAGCGCCCAGTTTACTGTTCTATACAGATGATTGAGCAATTTCGAATTCGACAGCTCTTAGCTAAATCTTTGACGCCGCCACTCGTCATTGAGCAGCGAGACTTTGTCGTGCGTGGTTGTGCGAAAGATTTCCACCAGATATATTTTATCGAGTGCCGTACGCCGTATTTGATGTCTGTGATTGTTTTACGGGAGGCATAGATTAGCCTAATTATTTAATATAAAGTTGGGTGAAAGATTTTCAAATTTCACAGAAACCATATACTTGTATATGTACCTTTTCTCATTATGGAAATGAACAGTGTAACAATTGAGGATTGCGGCGCTGTAAGTGTAGAATAAAGGAAAAATTGAATATGATTTAACAAACCGAAATCTAAGTGGTGTCAACAATTAAGTCAATAAAATATTTGTGTATTGTTTATAAGTCCACTGAAACAGTTTAAAAATTGCTCGGCACTGTTATATTAATGGTTATACGGTGGACACTGGCGCATGGTGGACACCACATGTGATCACAATATAGTATGTGTCCTCAGTCCATGTATGTTTTACTATCAATTAAATTTAATCAAAGTGATTATCGCCCGTACCTTAATTGTTGTACAACCTCTGCTATGAACACGTTTTCTTAACATTTAAAACACTTCTCACGTGCTCTACGTATGTATGTATATTAATTGAATATGCTCGAATGTTTTATTAAACAAGGTTGCAGGTTTGGCTTTTAATACTCATTTATTTAACTGTTTGACAAGTTTCTGAGATAACCGTCTTGCTATCGGCGCAGACGAAGAACTTCTTAGCATGTTCTTAGATAAATTTAATTATTTTATCTAACAGAAGCCTTTAATTGGTAAGAATAAATATAAAGAGTAGAGCGCTACAGTCGCGCCAGCCCGAATCTTGTCTGCCTCCTTCTATCCGCCACTGTCCTTCAACCTAACTCAGGTTAGCTATGAAATATCAGATTAGCATTATAAAAAACTTATAAAAAACATATTAGCCTACCGTACCGTTAAAATTAAGAATGCATAATTTCAGTAAGAGTGGTTTATGGCAACTTTATGATGAAAATTTGAAATATGATAAGGTATTACAAAAATCTGTCTCTCGTTCTCCCTCGCTCTCTCTCTACAATTTGATTACAATAACTTCATAAAGGATTGGCATCGAGCATTTTTATAGTGCATCGAATTTTTTGGAATGTTCTGAGGCATTTTAAATAGCAAATCTGTTAAATATGTGTCAATAAATAAAAGATTGGCTTTATGACAGCTATATAAAGTAATAAGGTAATATAACGCTTGTAATAAACTTGGTCTGTGTATGGATAAAGTAAGTTTATACGCCGAGTTTGGTCTCCCTAGCTGGTATACAGTACAAGTATTTCACAAGTTTATGGTGTTTATACTGACGGACAGGTTATTCGATTCTCATCGTTAAGCTGAATATATATCATTTATAGCATGGGGGGACAGCCATAAATTCTACTATATGTTACATACTCCTCAGGTATCAGACTAAAAAGTGAAGCATTTCCAATCCCTTTCTCAGTTAGTTTTGTTAGATTATGCACAGCCGAGCATTTCATCCATAGTCCATTGCTAATGTAAGTTGTTTGATACTGAAGGGACTTACTGTATTTTTTGCTAATTGCTTTTAATTGACTTTTTCTATCGATTGCTATCTGTTTATGATATATTTTTCTCTTGTTCGGTTTTTTTTAGCAACATTTTGCTAACTGACGTTGTTTTGCCATAGACATTCTCGAATGTATTATATAGCAAGTGCAGCAATTGAGTAAAAATACAGAAGTGCCAATTTGTTGGGAGAAAAATCTGTTATTAATGGGTTTTTAAAATCAAATCTATGTGGATCATCAGTGGATAGTTTTCTTGTTGAAATAACTAGCGGCAATTTGTCACATACTTGCAATGCAAACCCCTCACTCAAAAATGTATTCTATACAATAGTGATTTATTAACTAGACGCGCGATTAGCTATTAATTTATTACTTAATTAAATCTGTACGGAATGAAACAAGATGCAGCCTGCACTGATACTCACGCTCAATTAATCACGAGTGGTGCTAACAGCCGTGCCAACGGCTATAGTATGCCAACAAGCTGTCAAGAAAACTCGATCTGCTGTCGCACCCTGGGCCAAAAACACAAAATGCGAAAATAATGAATAGAAATGTGTATTCAAACAACACCCTGTTCCGTATTACTTTAATAGAAAAATGTGAATACTGGTCTCGAAGTTGCATGAAGTCCCCCATATTCTTTAACTAGACCGAAAATTCTTTACTAGACCGAAAATTCTTTAACTAAACAAAAAAGCTATAGCTTCCTATTATAATGTTTTAAGAAGTTCAGTTTTTTAATAAATATCTAAAATTTGCCTCCTGTTGTGTCAAGGAGCGTTTTCCTTGCCAACATGAAAACTTCAGGTCTGGGCGGTGTGTGAATTAATTTGAACATAGATAACAATGCAATTGACACATAACCAAACGACCCGTACGCGATAGACAGTGGTTCTTCTTCAAGAGTTGATTACAAACTGTTTATTGGTATTTTCGTACTGATGCTTTAGAGTTCAACTTACAGTGTGGTGAATTTAAGTGTAAGAATGTAGGACGTACAAATAATAAAGAGGGAAGTGATATTTGCAGTTGCGAGGGTTAATTGACTGATTGAGACATGAAAATATTTCCAATAGATATTGACAATTATGCTAGTATAATAGGGTTTAGTAATTATAAGGTTATTTAACTGCGAGTGTGGCTAGTTTGACCCAACATCCCGGCCCCTTTGAAAGGACCCTTTCAACAAGCAGGTAGTATCGCTAGTTTGTGTATGGGTCTGCAGCATGTTCCAGTGGCAGTGCGGAGGTGCACCACCCGAATTCGTCCATCTCTTCCGATCACGGTTGACTCAACGCGACCCAATTTCCATCGAAGCGGTGGCAGATTGTCTTCGTGTACAACTACCAACGTTCCTTCAGTTAAGTTCGGTGACGTTGACGTCCACTTAGTACGAGCTCGTAGCTCGTTTATGTAGTCGGCGTTCCAGCGTTTCCAAAATCGTTGCTTAATAGCGGTCATCATGTCATACCGATCCAAATTAGACAAGTTGCATGGTTCTAATGATCTTTCAGGCAATGAGCGGAGTGAGTCTCCGACCAAGAAATGTCCGGCAGTCAGTGCGCTGTAATCGTTTGGATCTGATGACAGCGGCGACAGAGGGCGCGAGTTGAGGATGGCTTCGATTTCCACAACGACGGTGCTCAGCTCTTCGAATGTGAACCTCGTATTCGCCAATGTGCGATTTAGAAGACCCTTGGCGCTCTTCACTGCAGCTTCCCAAAGGCCGCCAAAATGGGGTGCCCTGGGTGGAATAAAATGAAAATTAATAAAGTCCGACGCACAAAATTGTTGAATTTCCGTTTGAGTCTCCTTCTTAAACATGAATTTCTTTAATTCATGTAACTGGTTAGAAGCTCCGACAAAATTAGTAGCGTTGTCGCAAAATATATCTGTTGGCATTTTGCGTCGTCCTCCCATTCGTTTCAAGGCATTCATAAACGACTTGGTTGACAAATCTGATACTAGTTCGATGTGAACAGCCTTTGTGAGAAGGCAGACGAATATGGCTATATATGATTTGGTAGGACCCTTTCCTCGAATTCGAACATATGTATTGACAGGTCCACAAAAATCGATCCCACAGCGTTCAAATGGGAAACCAGGTGTGAGACGTGTCGGTGGCAGCGATCCCATAATTTGCTGTAATAATTTGGGCCTGTAGCGAACGCAATGGATGCAGGAACGGACGATGCGCCGAGCCAAGTCTCTAGCGTTGACAATCCAGTGCTCCAAGCGAACTAGCGCGACTAATGCCTTAGGGCCCGCATGAAAATTCTGAATATGCAGATGACGAACATAGTTCCGAACGAAATGCGAACTACTGGGCAGCAGCAATGGATGCTTTTGTCTATCTGGTAGCTCCGAATAGTCCAGTCGCCCACCAACCTTGATCAGCTCAAAGCTACTCGACGAATCTAAAAAAGGAGTGAGAAATTTCAAGTTGTTTTTTAATGGTTTCTGTTTCCGAAGTGCGAGAATATCATTTGCGAAATGAGTTTGTTGAATGTTCCAAATTATGCAGTTCGACGCGAATCGAAGTTCTTCTGGCGAGAGTACAATTGTCGATGCTATTGGTTGCTTTCTGCATTTCTTTGTGAATCTAATCATCCAAGCGATGAGACGAATAGTGCGAGTATGTGAGCTTATTTTATCGATGACCTCCAGTATGTAGTTTGTGTCCCTTATAGCGGTAAACACTGTTTTGCGCTTCTCCGAGTTAACAATATTTATGTCGACATCAAATGATTTCCTTTTGGTTGGCCATTGTGACGGATGGTCGCGTAAGAATGCGGGACCAGTGAACCATATTGAGGCTCTCAATTCTTCAACGCGGCAGCCTCGAGATATAAGATCAGCTGGATTGTGATGAGTCGAAACGTAGCGCCAAATACCATCCGAAGTCAATTCCTGAATGTCAGATACTCTGTTTCCCACAAACGTGGACAAAGTAGTTGAGTGTTGTTGCAGCCAATACAAAACGAGTTGGGAGTCACACCAAAAGTATGATGTAATGGTTCGATGTTTAAATATGCTATTTGTCTTGCTGTACAATTCAGCTAACAAGTGAGCACCACATAGTTCCAGTTTTGGAAGCGACTGCTTTTTCACTGGTGCTACTCTTGATTTTGAAGTCATCAAGTGCACGTTAATGTGTCCATTTGCGTCTTCCGTGCGCATGTACAAGCAGCAACCATATGCTCTGATTGATGCATCACAAAAGCCATGTAACTGAATGCTGCAAGGGCTTGGTTGCAGACAATATCGAGGAACAGTTAGCGACGAGACCGAGTTCAGGGACTGTAAGCATTTAATCCAAGAATTAAGTAAGGGTTGTGGGACTGACTCATCCCAGTCGAGTTTCAGAAGCCATAGTTCCTGAAGGATAATTTTAGATATTACGACGAGTGGGGACAATAGGCCGATCGGGTCAAAAAGCGATGATGCGGTAGCTAAAATTGTCCGTTTTGTAGCAGTGGTATACACTTCCTTGGGCCGAAAGGTAAAACTGAACGCATCATCTTGCTGATGCCAAGTTACACCAAGTGTACTACTTACGAAGTTTTCGGAGATGGTTATCTCTTTAGTAGTTTGGTCTTCCATAAGTTCTTGAAGATTTGAGTGCCATTTGCATAGGGGAAAATGTCCACGACTGAGTATTTCAGTAATCTCCCGTTTCAGTGTTTGCACGGCATCGATGTCGTCTGCTCCACATAGCAGATCATCCACGTAAAATGACGACTTGACAGCAGCAGCTCCAACAGGCAACTCGTTTTCACATTCATCCGCTAGATACTGTAAACTACGAGTTGCGAGATATGGCGCTGACGCCGTCCCATACGTAACTGTGTTGAGCTGGAAAGTTTGTAACTCCTCATCTGGACAGGCTCGCCAAAAGATATACTGAAACCTTCTATCATTTTTGGTAACGAGTACTTGCCTGTACATTTTTGTAACATCAGCTGTGATGGCGAACCGATGCATCCGAAACCGTAGCAGCTGCATGTAGAGCTCATCTTGAATGGTAGGGCCGATCAAAAGCAAGTCATTAAGCGATTTTTGAGAGGTCGTACGACATGATGCATCGAAGACGACTCTGAGCTTCGTTGATGAGCTACTCGGTTTGAGTACAAAATGATGTGGAATGTAATAGTGCGGTTCCTTTAGATTTGGGTTCTGTACGCGCGACATATGACCAAGATCTTCATATTCTTGCATGAAGGATATGTACTGTGAGCGGATATCGGGTAGACGCGACAGACGTCTTTCAATGGCGAAAAATCTATTTCGAGCTGTTTCGAAAGAGCTTCCAAGGCAATTTGGATTCTCCTTAAAGGGCAGGCTGACGACAACGCGCCCAATAGCATCCTTATGTGTGGTGGCTACAAAATGGTCTTCGCAGCGACGATGAATTGGGTGAAGCTCCTTAATCGGGCGTTCGATAGACTCAATTTTCCATAAGTGTTGCAAGTGTTTATCTATCGAGTCCTCAACTGTGGCCAAGCACAATGGTGGTCGTTGGCTACGTTGATGCTGATATTTGCCGGAGATGACCCAACCAAACAGAGTCTTCTGCAGAGTGGGTAAATTTGGTCCGATACGAATTTGACCAATAGCAAGCGCTTCAAAGAATGCTTCAGTTCCCAACAGCAAGTCGATACGTCGAGACTTAAAGAAAGTATCGTCTGCCAACGGTGCATTAGCAGGCAAATTCCAACTTGAGATGTCGATCTCGGCGTCAGGCTGGTACGCAATGTGCGACGTAATTCCGAACTGCAGCGTCAACTGATAATTCGATGTTCGTGATTTGATTGATGTTGTTGTACGAGCCTTGAGATTAGTTAGGGAGTCACCGATACTACGGATCCCGATGTGATGCCTTTCTCGATGCAAGCGAAGTTTTTGGGCGAAGTGTTCAGTTATGAAGTTAACCTGAGAACATGAATCTAGCAGCGCTCTCCCAAGCTTGTATTCACCTGATGAATCCTTGACCAAAACCATAGCAGTTGCCAATAGAATCTGATCACCAGGAGAAATTTCCATGTGAGAATGTGAGGCAGCTTGAGCCTGGTGAAACGCGTCGTTTGGTGCAGTTGATGCTTGCGTGAACGATGTTTGCGAGAGTTGCGATGGTTGTCCATGATGTAGCGATGAATGGTGCCCTCTATTACAAGTGCGGCAACGATAAGTCGATGGACATTGTGCCATTTTATGTCCACTTCCGAGGCAGTTGATGCAAAGTCCAAGTCTTTTGACCTTGTCGAAACGTTGGTTGCTATTCATGGCCCTGAACTGGGCACAGTTGTTAATTTTGTGGCGGGGCTAGAACAGAGTATACAAGATGCATTAGTGATAGCAAAGGTTGAGCTATTAACACGAGTTGTGGATTTGTTATTGTCGAACTTGCGCTGAAGAGAGGTTCCTGATGACTGTAGAAACTGACAATGGCGTTCTAAAAGCTGTGTGCATGTAGACCAGCAGGGCAGTGTCTTGTAGTCCAGCGATTCATTCCATTTGCTTCGAGTTTGCTGATCACATTTGTCAATGACAATATATATGAGCATGGCTTGGACAATATTAGTTGAATTGCCAATGGACTCCAACGAACTAAATATTGCGGATGCCTTATCCACTAGGCTACGAAGCTGTTGACTGTTTGCCTTTTCAACTGGCTGTAGCGCAAACAATGCGGCAATACTTTCTAAAAATATGAGAGTGGGATTATCAAACCGTTCTTTAAGCCTTCCCAGGGCTTTAGGATAATTTGCACTCGTAACTTGAAATGCCTTTATTGTTTCTAATGCCGGCCCCTTTAGACAGGACAGCAAGTAATTGAACTTTTCTATATTTGATAGCCCAGACTCACGTGCAATTATTTGTTCAAACGAATTGATGAAATTGCTGTAATTGGCGTAATTTCCATCGAATGTCGGTAGCGACAGCCTTGGCAGCGACGACGACTTTATGGTAGCTACCGGCGGTTCTGAATCCGAGGGCAGCACAGTGGTATTTAATTCTCCTCCAAGCTGCTCCTTAATGCACAGCTTGATCTCCACGTATGTGTCTTCCATATCTGCGCGACCATTATCGGTAGGGTCCAAGTTTTCAATATCAGTTTGCACAGTTAAAGCCATTTTAAAATATGACTCTAATATACCCAAGCGACATTGCAATTCATCATTGGACAGTTTAGGTTTACACTCATCCTTTATTTCAACCAAAGACCTTATGCGAGATATATTACGTTTAATATTACCTCTCTTGGCCTTAAGTTCTTCGATCGACATATTGCTGAACAAATTAAATTGAACAAACGCGAATTAAATAATTGTTAATGCAGCAGCCAAAGACACCAACGCAGCTGATAGTGACGAATTAATGTGCGACGAAGTGAAGATTTTTACAGCGATTATTCGGTTGCCGACGAATAAACGATGTAAATTCCAATAAATGATGCGTCTGCTGTCAAACAAAGGCAGCAGCAAAGCGAACGAGAGCGAAGTAGTTTCCTACTTCCAACAACGATAAGTGATGCAGCGACCAAATACGGTCCAAGTGACGATGAGCGAAGGCAGAAGCAAGGCGGACAAGAAAGAAGTAACGGCGCACTTCCAACAGCGAGTAATGTTGTCTTCGAGAAATAATGTGTATGCTTTGGACGAAAGCAGTAGCGAGGCGAATTAAGGCGAAGTCGTGCCGTACTTCCAACAAATCGAAGTACAGTCGGCAAGACTGATCCAAAAGATGGCGAGCGAAGTCCACAGCAAGGCGAATAGGAACGAAATAGCGGTGTACTTCCAACAACGATAAGTGATGTATGTATATGCCGGCAATTAGCTGTGTGCGTGTGTACAGCCACTGCAGCGAGATCGAAGCGACAAAAAATGCGAGAAACGCGTCAAGTCAATGCGAAGCTGAAGGCCACAAAGTATTTATATGTAAATTACAAAATTTAAATTTCTTCGCAGTAAAATTCACACACGAGCCCCACGTTGGGCGCCAAAATGTTGTGTCAAGGAGCGTTTTCCTTGCCAACATGAAAACTTCAGGTCTGGGCGGTGTGTGAATTAATTTGAACATAGATAACAATGCAATTGACACATAACCAAACGACCCGTACGCGATAGACAGTGGTTCTTCTTCAAGAGTTGATTACAAACTGTTTATTGGTATTTTCGTACTGATGCTTTAGAGTTCAACTTACAGTGTGGTGAATTTAAGTGTAAGAATGTAGGACGTACAAATAATAAAGAGGGAAGTGATATTTGCAGTTGCGAGGGTTAATTGACTGATTGAGACATGAAAATATTTCCAATAGATATTGACAATTATGCTAGTATAATAGGGTTTAGTAATTATAAGGTTATTTAACTGCGAGTGTGGCTAGTTTGACCCAACACCTCCTGTTCGATTTTTTTCGAGTTTTATAGATAATTAAGATTTTGTTATGAAAAACAATTTAAATTGGGAATTCCAAAATTGGAGTAAATTGCAATCTTATTATTTTTTGGACATTCTTACTTGGCAATAAAAATAAAGTTGGAATTAGTGTCTGGTTCTGACACAGAGTGCGATGGGGCTTATAAAAGTTTACCGCTCAAAGTTATTTTCCCATAATTGGATGTTGATTTATGCCAGAATAAAATTAAATTCATATGAAATATAAAAATTCAACATGCCCTCCTCAATTATAAAATAAAATACGCTGCAATTTTCTAGGTAAAAGTTCACAATTCGTAGTCGCATGGGGCGGACAGTTTCCCAATCGTGAATAGCAATCAGTGATTAGCATAAGTAAATAGAAAATTTGCATAAATTGAATTACATATATTAGTACTTGTTGTAATGTTTTAATTTTTCTCTCGTTTTTCTCTGCTCGTCTCTCTTTCTTCTCTTGTAGGACAATGTGGCCAAGAGAAATGCGCTCAATAGCCGGCCAACGCCAGTGGGCGGGGCACAACCACAGACGCCGAACACAGATCCGTCACATCGAGAGAAATCAAAACCACAGCTACTTTATGCCATTAATGACAATCCGCCCTGGTACTTGTGCATCTTTCTGGCATTCCAGCACTACCTGACAATGATCGGCGCCATTGTCTCCATACCGTTTATTTTGACCCCAGCACTATGCATGTCCGACGAGGATCCCAATCGCGGCATCATTATCTCTACAATGATATTCGTCACCGGCATAGTTACCTACTTCCAGGCCACCTGGGGGGTACGTCTGCCCATAGTTCAGGGTGGCACCATTTCCTTTCTGGTGCCCACCCTGGCCATCCTGGCGCTGCCACAATGGAAGTGTCCGGCGCAGGCCGAATTGGACGCTATGGATGAGAAAATGCGTGAGGAATTATGGCAGGTCCGCATGCGTGAGCTATCGGGCGCCATTGCCATATCCGCTTTAGTCCAGGTGGTGCTGGGCTACACGGGACTGGTGGGAAAAATCCTTAAATATGTGACGCCATTAACGATTGTGCCGACTGTGTCGCTGGTGGGTCTAACGCTCTTCGAGCATGCCGCTGATACGGCCGCCAAGCACTGGGGGATTGCTGTGGGGTGAGTACGTTTTTCATCCAGTAAGATATTACCTTAGACTTGGTTCGATTGGATATAGCTTCAGTTTATTAGAAATCTATCAGTTATAAACAAATGCCTTATATAAGTTGCTAACTTTAGTTTACCAAATTACGTATGGAACTTATATTCTTTTACTTAACTTTCCATCGATCTGATAAAAGAAGGATTGTCTCCCTCTTCCGGCTGCAGTTACTCATTATTGAGCTTCAATTAATCATACCTTAAATAATCAGTTGGAGGCTAATAGGAAATATCTACAATATGAAGCTACAGGGCAAGCCATAAACTTTAAATTAAAATGGTTTATCCAGAAATTTCAGCTTACCTTTATGAAAATGTTTCGTCCTTTCAGCACTACCGGCATGTTGACGCTCTTCTCGCAAATTATGTCGAACGTGTCGATTCCAGTTGTCGCCTATCGCAAGGGTCATGGCCTGGAGGTACGACAATTTCAGCTGTTTCGATTGTTTCCCGTCCTGCTGACCATCATCATCATGTGGGGTCTGTGTGGCATTCTAACGGCCACGAATGTTTTCGAGCCGGGACATCCATCGCGCACAGACGTTCGTCTGAATGTGTTGACCAGCGCCAAGTGGTTTTATGTACCCTATCCGGGCCAATTTGGATTGCCGTCAATCACGCTGAGCGGGGTGCTGGGCATGTTGGCCGGCGTATTAGCTTGTACAGTGGAGTCTCTGAGTTATTATCCCACAGTCTCCCAAATGTCTGGAGCACAATCGCCGCCGTTGCACGCCATAAATCGTGGAATTGGTACTGAGGGTCTGGGCACCGTTTTGGCTGGGCTTTGGGGCGCTGGAAATGGCACAAACACCTTTGGCGAAAATGTGGGCGCCATTGGCGTAACCAAGGTGAGTGGAGAAAGGACTAATGGCATCAGATATATTTAGTAATCGTTTTGTTGGTGGTTTCTTAGATTGGTTCCCGCCGCGTCATTCAGTGGGCGGCACTCATTATGCTGTTGCAAGGCGTTATTGGCAAGTTTGGAGCCGTGTTTATTCTAATACCAGACTCCGTTGTGGGCGGCATATTTTGTGTAATGTTTGGCATGATAATTGCCTTTGGCTTGTCCACGCTTCAATATGTGGACTTGCGTTCGGCGCGTAATCTCTATATCATCGGCCTCTCCATATTCTTCCCCATGGTGCTGTGCCGTTGGATGCAGCAGCATCCGGGAGCAATAAATACGGGAAATGAAACTGTGGACTCCACTTTGTCGGTGCTGTTGGGCACAACGATATTGGTGGGTGGACTGCTCGGCTGTTTGCTGGATAACATTATTCCGGGTAAGCAATTCGAATTTATGTTAAGCTAAAGGCTAATTATTTGCTTTCAAAGGAACACCTGAAGAGCGTGGTCTTATTGATTGGGCTGATGAAATGCCCCTGGGAGATGATAATATTAACGATGGCTCCGCCACCGATTACGATTTTCCACTTGGCATGGATGCCATTCGTCGCTGGAAGTGGACCTATTATATACCTTTCATGCCCACCTATAAGCTACAGAAACAAAACTAAAGCAGTTTCGGGAGTAATTAACCCTTTGCCCTATAAGTATAATAACACTTAGTAAAAGTTTTTAATGTATTTTTATTTGTATTTTTTAAAAACATTTCCCATTCATTTGCATTTGAATTTTGTATGCTACAAACGTTGAGTCTAATTTCAAATTGCAAAAATTAAATTCGCTTATTGTTTGCTACATTATCGCACTCGTTGCGCATATTTTCTATTATTTTGCAATAACATCAATATTCCTAACGAACGATTATTGATTTCAAATTTGAATAAACATCACTTAGCTTTTAACTCAAAAGAATTGTACGAGAGATGCTCTCTCACGAGGCATACGGGGGGTGTTTCAGTTCTGTGAGCAACAAATCGTAGTTAAAAATATTTTTAATAAATTTCAACGCGACTCTAAAAAACACACACACTTCTACAAACAAATCTGTGCGCACTCAAAATGTATGGCATAGAAAATACAATTATGTTTGAAACGCTCAGATTTTTGTTGTTGTTGATTTAAAGACTAACATTTTTTCACTTTGGATCTTGCGCTCTCTTCTCTGCTTTCTCTCATTCCTAATGTGGCTTAAAAATAAAACAACTTTATGAGCTAAGGCTAAATCTAAAACCGCCAAAGGAACCAAGGCACAATTATTATTTGAAAATCGTATTACATATTGTTCTTCTGAAACGCAGCTACAAACAGATGCACCACACACACGCACATATATATATATATATGTTTATATCTATTGGAGGATGTATGTATGTTTTGTGATTGAAAATATCGACCGTTTCCTTTTCCTGCTTGAATATGATTGATAAGGCTAGAAAGATGTTTGTTCATCTGAAGGCAGTGAGAAATTTAAAGAAACACAAGTTTCGATGAAGAGTTCAAAGATCACACTCCTTAAATACAAGTGTGTATGTGTGTGTGTGTGTGCATGTGTGAAACTACCACTACAGGCCCCCACAACGGGGCGCCCAACTTTAACGTTGTCTATATAAAAATATAAAAAATCATTTATAACTAACTCACTAACACTAACATGCAGTTCAACTTTTTGTCTGGCAGTTGTTTTGCCTACTTTAGAGTACTATGAGCGTTCGAATCGTTTGATTATTTATTGGCAATCAATAATCAGTAATGAGTTGCCTAAAACTTGTTGTGGGGCTGCGATTGTGAACATTGCTGCAACTTCTTGCTGCCACCGCTGCTGCTGGCGCGTGATGAGGCAGCCGAGGCTGATGAAGAGGCAGTCGTCGCTGAGGTGCATGTATTCGGAGGTGCTGGGGTTGTGGTCAGAGCCGGGGCATGCGGTTTTTTGCGTTTTGTATAATAGCAGAAGATACAGAAACCATTCTGCGGTGTTGTACATCAAATGTTTGTGGGACTACGAGTGGCCGACGATGTGCGATAGCGCGAACCGGAACTGAAACCAGAAGGGAAATAGATTTTATGTTAGTTTGCCACAAAAAGTGTGACAGTTGGATTTATTTAATATTCCCAATATACTATATGCTTTAAGAATCTCTGCTCAAGCCTACTAAGTTGTTTCAATAAGTAGTCCGAAAAGTTTAACGTACCGTGAAATGCTGGAAGTGTAGTCCCGCACCGGTGTACGGGCTTCCCGTCGATGGTAGGCGCTACTACTGGCCCCGCTGCTGCTGGTCGTGGGTGGTTCGAGTAGGGACATCGTGCGGTGATCGTACGGTCGTATGGAACGTCGTCCCAACGTGGCGTAGCCATCAATATGATGATGGGAGCTGCCAGATGCCCCGCCACTGCCTGTTGGCAGTGTGCCATTCAGCGTATAAGAGGACCGCCTTTTGGGATTGTAGGTATTATAATAGCTGCTACTGCTGCCGCCGCTGTTGGTGTTGTGGTGATGGGCACCACCAATGGCGCCGTTGCTAGGACTCGAGCTAGACGAGCTCTTGTAGCGCATGGGTACTGTGTAGTCATGGGCGTCCATGCTGGAACTACCGTAACGTTTGCTCAGAAACGATGGCGATGTATTTGTGCGTATGTCGTTGAGACTCTTGAGCGGCTTGCTGGACACAGAAGAGGCGGAGTAGTCCAGGGCCGAACGGTAGGCGGGTGGTTTGAGTTCAGTGCCCACAGGACTGAGCTTCAGGGGCCGGAAGAACTGCTGTGTTATGTCCGGCGAGGGTGCACGTGCTTCGATCGAATCTCCGTGCAGTTTGTGGCTGGAGCGTGCTTTGACCGCCGCTTTCTGCTCACGATAGTAATCCCGCACTGCCGATGGACCAACTATGCTGCTTGTCCGACGTGGCTTCTGCTCATTGAAACGGCTGTAGAAACTCCGTCGTTTAATGCGATCGATAACGCTCTCGTTGGGGTCAGAGCTCTCCGAACAGCGTGTGGGGGAGGAGAGTTGTGAGGCGCGAGACAGACGCGACACAGTGGGCGAAGGCGTGGCATGCAGCATGTAGTTGTCCTCGGAGCAAATAGACCAGTTGTCGAAGTACAGTTCTGGCTCCTCAGTGGGCGATAGGAAGGTGGAAGTGGAGGCGCAGTCATCCTGATAGCTTCGCGAGTCCGATGAATAATTGGCAATGTTCTCGAAGGAGGGTGTTAGCAGATTGTTACGATTGATCTCATGCGCCGACGATGTGCGGTAGCCAGATGTTTGGGAAGTTTGCAAAGAAACCGAGTTGTTGTTGGTGGTGTTAATTGAGTTATTGTTGGTGACATTGTCCATCGACTGTTGACTGGAACTATTGTTAGACGAGCTTTTGACGGCACCTGGATAAGGCGGCAGATTCGAATACAGGCCATTTCCGTTGATCAGAGCAGGATTCGTTTTGGATCCGCGATAGGTACTACTGCTGGTGCTGCTAACGGCCGCAGCGCCAGCCCCAGATGCCATGCTACTGCTCGGATTATCTAGACGGTCAAGCTTGGTCAGATCAAGCATGAGTCCCTTACGCTTCTCCTTATTGCTTTGTGAGCTGGTCTGCTCCTTAGCCTGCTTGGGCACGCTTTGATTTTGTATGCAGTCCGGGCAGGCTGTCTCGCAATTGCAATTCTCTTCGGCTGACTGGCTTGGCTTGTTTGCTGCTACTGCTGCCGCAGCTTTAACGGCGGCTGCGTTCTGATAAATGGGCGATGTTGGCGTTTCCTCGCGCAACTGTCGTTCAATGTTGCTGGTGGAACGCGTACTGCGCACACGTCTTTGTTCGCTGCTTTCGCGATCGAAGCGTCTAAAGAGCCCACCAAGCATTTTGTTAACGGCACCCCCTCCGTGCTTGGCCGCCTGTAAGTCTTCGACACTGGCAGCACGTTTCACGGCATTTTCAATCTTCTCCTTGTCCGTGGACTGCGCCCGCGGCACGGAACGTTCGCGTAAGGAACGCAACATTGTGTCAAAGCGTGAACGCTTGTCTGAGCGTCCCTGAGAGTTCTCTAATTCAACTATTTTCTCCGACTCCAGCGATTTTTTCTTGCGCAATATCGATGTTTTCTCTTTAATAACACGTTCCGGGGATGTCTGCTCCGGCGAGCTTTGTTTCAGAGTGCAGGCCAGCGCTCCGTTTGGAGTACTCGGTGTGGTAGCCAAGGCTTGTGCTGCCTTCTTGTCCTTGCTCATAGCTGAGTCACGCAACTTTTCGAATTTCTGGCCAATGGCGTAGAGTAAACCTTTGCTGGTTTTCTTCTCGGGCGATTTTTCCTTCGCCTTTATTATTGGGCTGGATTCCTTGGAGCTGTCTACGGGCGTATTACTGCTTGCTGTGGTTGGCGTTGTGGGCGTGATTGGGGTAGGCGGAACTAATTTCGATTTCTTTGATACTTTAATAATTTTCTTGATTGTGGTCGGGCGCGACTCGCTGGAGGTGGTAGAGGTAGCGTCCTTTTCAGTGAGGGCAGTGGGAGTGGCCGATAGAGATTTCTCCTCGGATGTCGATTGACGCGATGTGCTACCTGATTTCGAAGTGGGCGTGGTTGACGGATCCTCCGCTATACTAGGTATGGCAACACCGCTGCGTGTGACCTTTTTCAGTTCCTTGGGTGTGGTTAGCTTGGTGGTGGCTGGATAGCTTTTTGGGCGTATGAGACGGCTCTCCCGTTGGGTCCCTGAAGAATTCAGGTCCATTGGCGTCTCCTGCATTTTGCTTGGCTTCTTGCTGGGAAGAGGCGTAGTTGTACAGTCAGGCGATTCTCCGCTTTTAAGACTTAATCCTAAGTCCTTCATGGGATAGGATTTAGGTCTCTTCAACTTAGTCTCCTTCGCCACAGACTGTGGCAAGCAGTCGCTACCTTCAGGCAATACTGGAGTTGCTTCAGTCGTAGGCGTTTTGCTGGCATCCGCTTTCTTTGACACTTTTTTGACTTTCCGTACAAGTGTCGTCGTTGTTGACGTGGTCATTGATTTTGTTTCGATATCTGCAGTTGGCTCTAGGAATTTTTCTTTAGGTTTCACATTTTTAACCTTCTTGATGGTTGAGGTTTGTTCGCTGCTGTAGCTTTCTTCAGTCTTGTCATTTATGGGTTCCTGGTTTGGCGCCACTTCCGTAGACAGTCGCTTCTCGTGCTGCGTGCGTACTGCAGAAAGTAGCTGCAATTCTTGCAGTATTTTATCCGCTAGTTCACGCTTGTCCAGCTCAGTTTCGAGCTCACGTGGCCGCGACAAACTGCGCCGTTGCTGCAACTTAGTGTTGTTCGCTTCTTGGGATGATATTGGCTGCTCTGGCACATTGCTGTACATTTCCATGCTCTTGTTGCGTGCATGTCGTGTTGGCTTGCTGTCCTCAGCGTCAACGTTTGGCAAACTATGTTTGCGTCGTCGGAGCTCCGAATCGTAATCGGCTCCACTCAAACGGTCGCTAGACTTCTCGCGTATCTCGCGCAATACGCTTTGAGTCTCACGCTCTCGCTGTCGCCGCTCACGTTGATAGCCATTCTCATCATTAGCTGAAGATGCTGCCGGCTCGTCGAAGAAGTCGGGTCGCAGAAAGCGTGAAATTCGGCGCTGCGAGGAACGTCTACGCAACGAGCTGGTGCCATCGGCCAGCGACGGAGTCGCCATCGTAGTAGATGTCGGCGGTGGTGATAGGCAACCGCTCGGTGGACGTCCTAACGCAGCGCTATAACGTTTTTGCGAGACCGTCGTCTCCGAAGCAAGTCCATCTCGGCCAGTTTTTCCCGATTTGCTCAAGTAGGGCGAATAGTATTTATATTTGTCATTGATATCGCTGGTGTAGCTGCTGTTACACAGCGAAGATTTGGCAAAATCATCACGGCAGACACTACTACTACGACTTTTGTTCGTATCTGCGCTGGTGGGTGTGGGAATGGCCGATGCCACAGCATTAGCAGCAGCACTAGCACCATCATAATCATACCTTGTGCGACTAAGACTGCGTCGATAAATGGCCGTGCTTGCTGCTGTTGTCTTGGGGGCATCTGTGAGGGGCTTTGGCTTGGCCTCCTCCGTTGGCACGGAGTCATAGTTTGAGGCTTCGGGCAAATAACCGCGACCACTGCTCTGGCTGCGTTTGTACACCTTCACGGAAGGTGCTGGAGGCACACTGGCTTGGACGCTGAGCGTGCGCGACAATTTGCGGGCTTGCGTGGGCGGTAATTTGGCGAGCAGCTGCTCCTGAAAGCATTTGGGAAGTCCTGGTGTTATGCTAGACAATGTTTCGAGATCTTTTTTACTGAGCCGCAAGCGCGACAAGTCCAAGTCGGCCAAATCAAGCGGCTCCTCGCCGCTGGCAGTGTTAGCTGGCGTTGTGCTCTTCCCATTATCCGGGGTCTCCAAGTTGGCAGTGTTAGCTCCGCTTGCCTTGCTCGTGCTTTTGCTGTGCCCTGTGAAAGGGAAAGAGGTAGATGGGTCTGAGTGCAAGTCGCGCCAAATTAGAGGGCTGGCAGTTATTGAGTCAACTATATTTTTTATCACTTGCATCGGCACTTACTTGCTCGCTTGCTCCAATGCCAAGTAAATGGCGTTTGTACTTACCCCGGCTCTGCGAACGGCTTCGGAAATAAGCTCGGAGCTCATTTCCAACATCTATGTGGCACCTGTAAACATTTGTTGTTTGCAACCAAAAGAACTCTGGAGCTCTCTTCTAATACACTGAGAACAAACGGCTTTTACAGTCAACAAAATCGCACGGGTTAACAGCAAAAACAATTGTAAACAATTAGAATTGATAATTACGATTAGCACACGTGCAGGGGAGCAAGCTTTAATTTATAAGTATAAACAAATTAACAGTTTTAGTTTGATTTAGTGTTGTTTTGTTGTTTCATGTTCTGCATTTTTATTTTCTCCAATTACAAAAATTTCATTTGCACTTCCGTAGTTCTATAATAAAAAAAGAGGGGTTTTCACAAAATATTGCTTAACTTAATGCTTGGAGGATTAGCACTATACGAGTGTCATTTTTATGTACACTCTGAATTAGATGTTAAATTAAAGGCCAACTCGCTTAGTGTCATTTTAATATTTATGTTTTTGTATGTACTTTGACTTCAAGTAAATACATAAATAATAATTCATACATAATTAAAAAATTAATTCTCAAAAATCACAATTAATATCAAGCCTTTGACAACTCAAAAGGGGTTTGCGCACGAGTTCTCCAAAAAATGTTCGCACACTTCTATAAGCTTAGCTGGATTGTGTTAACTCAATTATGTGTGAATACATTTATCAAATAACTTCAAATCTTCAGACTGTACTATGTACAAGATCTGTGCAAATAAAGAAGGCATATAAAAATGTTAATTGCTTTTACAAATTGCTTAGAACTATAGGTTCGAGGTATGTTCTCCAAAGATTAAACTTCTTATGAAACTGAAAGTGTTATATTCATGTTATAGCTATAACTAAAATTGTCTTTTTTTTTAATACTGCAAAGATGATTAACAAGTTGAATGTTTTTAAATAAACAAAGGTATTGTTATCTCAAAAAAATGGTAATTAGCTTGAATTTAGTGCATTTGAAAAATGTAAGTACTTTTAGATATATGTATAATTAAACTTAAAATGATAATATACGTTTGTTAAAGTTTTTATTCTCTCTTTTAATTGAAATATAACATTCTTTGCACTTGTGCTTGTAGGCGCAGCAAATTAAATACATAAACGGAAAACGGGCATACAAGTTAACAATTTAGTTCAAAATTGTGTCCGAAAAAAAAAACAATAAACAAATGAGGAAATTGTAAACTTAAAGTATGAGCGTATAGCTTGCATTTAGGGCACACCCACACCCAGGCGCACAACCACACCAACCACCCATTCGGCCATATTCAATCCTTAAACAAACTTCAGTGCAGCTCTTGAAAATGCTTCGTTGTGGCGGCTGCGATTCGGGCTGTGCTGGTGTTGGCTTTCTTGGGGATTCTTGCTTATTTGTTTAGTTTGGCGGTGGCGCTTGTAGTGGTGGTGGTGGTTGTGGTGGTTTGCTGCTGCTGCGGCATCTTCGGCGATGACGCCGGCATTGGCCCTGTGGCCACGGTGGCAATCGTTGTGACTGTGGCCGTTGCCAAATTGCCACCAATTTGCGCACTCAGTTTTGTGGTGACAGGGTTCGGGTGCGGGTTCAGGTTCAGGTTCGGTTTCAAGTTCAGGTTCAGGTTCGTATTGTTGGTGGTGATGGTGGTATTGAACGGACTGTTGTTAATGGTTATAACATGCTTTGTGGGCGTAGTTGTTAAAGTTAAACCAACTGTAAAAGCCAACGAGAAACGAAATAAGTACGAAATGTGTAAAAGCCAATTAAAACATTAAATTAATTGTAGTAGTAGTTATTAAAAAACAATTATTAAATGCGGTGCGCGCTAACAGTTGACAACGTGAAAATGAAGGGTTAACTGAAACAATAGCTTAAAAGAATGTGTTTATTTCAGCATGTATGTACGAGTATGTTGGTATGTTTTGGATGAGAAATCTTGCTTAAAAAATGACAACAATTAGTAGCTGAACATTTTACATTATCGTATTCAAAGTTTTGGACATTTTTCTTAGCTTTGCCATAGCCTTTTGTTAATTTCATTTGCATTTTTTTTACCATCGCTATAAAACAAATGTATTTTTTTTATATACAATTCAACATTTGATTGGAAAAAAAGCCCAGAACTCAGAAATTTGTTTTTGGTTGTTGGAAATATTTTGAGAATTTGTTGTTTTTTTTTGTTTTCACATTTTTTTTTAGTACCAAGTTAGTCGTTTTTTTTTGGTATTATTATTGATCAACTAATACACAGCATTAAAACAGCGTGGACAAAATAAACTACATCGAAAAGCTTTGTGTGTGTTGGTTGATTGCTTGGTTGGTTGGTGCGCATGTGTGTGTGTGCTTAGTGGTGTTAAAAATTAATTTTTTTTACAACACAAATTTTTGTTTAGGTTTTCAAACGGAAACATTAAGAAAATTTCAACTTATAGGAACTTGGTTAGCGCTTTTAAACTACAATTAAAATTTGTTGTTTTTTTTAAATTGTTTTGTTTTTGTTGTGATGAGAAAGTAGAAAAACTAAAACAAATTTAAGGTAGCGGGGCCATTTGCATAACTGTACAACAATAATTAATAAAATTTCGTTATGTTTTTGTTTGTTTTTTATACAATTCTTTTGGTTGCAAAACAATTTTCGGAAGAAATAAAATAACAAAAACAGCCATGTTGTGGTTTTTCTCTTTTTTGTTTAGATACTAAAACAAAAGTGGTTCGCTTTATTGTCATCCAAATTTTCTCTCACTGTAAAATGTAGTAAAAGTATTATTGCTTGTTTTAAAAATCGTATTGCGTGTCTCAAGTTTTTGCACTAAGCTGATCGACTGAATGCATTTCATTGTGGTTAAGTTTACAAATACATTTAAATTGTTGTAGTTATTTAAACAATTTCTCAATCGTTTCTTTTTTAACGTACAAATGAATTTTGCCGGGTATGGTATGCCGAATGCCTGTGTAAATACTAATTATGTATGTTGAGCTTTTCTTTGTTATCGTACATGGTATTTATCCATAAAACCGCACAAATATTCAGAACTTTGAATACGATAGATTGACTTGACAATTATTTTTTTTTTTTTCATTTCTTTTTGTAACATTCTTGCATTTAATTGCATAACATTCTAAGGCTAATTAAAAATAATAACTTTAAGGCAAATCATAAAATAAATAAATAAAGAATTGTGCATAAGGTAGAGAGAGAGATACAAATATAAAAGTTAGAGCACACTTAACGTAGTCGTTTAGGGCTTGCAATTGCGTCTAATAGAGTTCTGATTGAGCAAAAGAAAACATAGAGAAGCGGCAGCAGGAAAATGTAAATGTTAATAACAAAATTATTGTACGCTAAGACAGACAGCATAGAAAGATGACAGAGAGCGATAGGTTGATAGATAAAGAGTTTGAAAGATTGATACACAGATAGATAGCGCTAAAGTTGTAGTTAAACTGAATACGTTTTTGACTTTTTAATATATAGTAATTGGTATCTCGATTTCAATTTTGTTGTTGTGGTTGTTTTTGGTTGTTGAAAAATAAAATTATGCTATTAAAGACTGTGCGCGCACACAAAACAAAATTAAACGAACAATTGTTGTCATAAGTATGTAGTAGAGTAGTAAACGGCATTTTCACTTGGTAATTATTACTGTATAATAGACACTTAATTATTGCTTTTGTTGTTGGTTTTGTTTTTGGGGATTTTAGGTTGCACAAATTTGTTTAGACTAATAAATATATATATTTATGTATGTATGCAGTAGATAGAGATAGATAAATAATATATAGTACGAATATGTATTCTCTGTTCTGTACTGTTCTGTTTGGTATTGTTTTAATGTTTAGAAAACATTCAAAAACTACTATTGGTATTTAGAAATGAACATTGGATTTTGTAACTCTTATTTATGTAGCATACTTTTCAGCTGAGCTGTTTAACGCTTTTATTCTTTCGCAATTGCTGTAGTTTTTGTTGCTGTTGTTGTGGTTCTTTCGCTTGATTTGCTTTCTTGCATCTAATGATCTATAAATTTACTCTTTAATCTGTGATATTCACCTCTTGGCAGCGTGGCGCCTGTGCGTGAGAACATTGATTCCATATCGTTTCCCAGATCGCGCGACAAACTATGGCGCCAAGGAGCGCCTAGGCCGGCGCTGTTGCTGCCACTGTTGAGGCGACTGTGAATCGATAGAGATAAGATGCCACAATTAATTATGTTAATATATAAATGTAGTTAAATGTTGTAGTGTGTTGGACAACGTTTAGCTTGGGACTCGCACATTACACATGTTGGCCAACTTACAAGCAGCATTTTGGCAGCCAATTAGTTAGCTGGCGTGCAATGCTTAAACCGTTGAGCAAACGTTGCCCGCACCTAAAGAGTAGCCAAGTATATGACATATTAGTCGGGTGGAGCATAGGAGTTTTTTCAAAGTTAGTCACCAGCATTATAAAGACCTAGGCAGGACAGTTAAAACCAAGGCTGCATATACATATGTACATGTATGTTATACTACATGTTAATAAAATCCGTCATACTTATGACCTCAAATTAAATATGTGTTTTGCGATGGCACATAAGCACCTGCAAAGGTTTTGTCAGGACTTCCTCCTGACACAGGACCAAAATATTAAAGTTCAGAGTCACCCATGACTTATGAAGAGTGGCACAAACGATATTTAAAAGAGACCAGAAAACTAACTGGTTACCTTTTTCAGCGATTTTCCATTTTTATAACGTAAGCATTCTTTAATTTAGGAAATTTTCGTGTCCTTGTTATCAGCCTCCGCCGACTTATTTCATAATTAATAATATCCCTCAACTGGAACAAAAGCCTGACATAATATTTGCAGCCTTGGTTGACAGCTACATGTACAAGAAGTCGGGAGATAATACCTGGGAAGTACTTACACTTGCTTTTTTTCAACCGTTTCGCTATAAGTGTAACTAACTTGAGATCTGAACGAAATGATTTCGAAAATGTTGGCATGTTTAGTTAAGCGTTAATATTGACGTTAAGTTTGTGTTATATTTAAGGGCAGGATAAACGCGCGCAGCATGTAAAAAAATGGAACAGTAAATGGTTAAAATATAAACAATTATTATAACGATTGGACCTGACATTGGCTAACAAGCTGATGGGCTTTTAATATGGCACAAACCTAAGGCCCATCAAGTTTGCCAGCTTCTTTAAATATGCATGAATGGAAACAATAAATTGGGACCCACCTGCCAAAGGGACTGCCTTGACTCCAAAAGGGACTGCTCTGTGCCTGCCGCGATATGTCCGTGAGCAGGCGACTAGAATGACTGGGAAAGCCGGCCGTTATGTCACTGTTAACGTTGAGGCGGTTTGTTAGAGCGCGTACCTGCATAAATAAAGTGAAAATTGATTACCCAATGAGTGTAATGAAGGCTAAGGCTGAAGGCTCAGCCTGTCAGTGGCAGCCGATTGACCGTCCATCCGCAACCCCGCCCAGATGACTTACGCGCTGCAGGAGCGTTGAAAATAGATTCTCTGCCGTGAGTATCTCAAAGCCATCATCATCGTCGTCATCCTCCTCGCCGGAGCTTTGTGAATCGTTGTCTTGACTAATTTTCTTGACAGGTCTGGAGCTCCTGCGGGTGGCAGAAAACGAAGCAAAAGTGTGCGCAAAATATTAAATTCAAATACGTATGCAAGGCAATTTATATACGAGTATACGAGTATATGGGTGTGTGGTGTGTATGTGTAGATGGGTAGTTTGATGGTAGTGGGGATTTAGTATTATGCAAACCTTAGTCTATGTGGAGTAAAGCGAGCATCATCTTCGCCGCCCTCACGTGTAATTGAACCGGTGCGCATCTTTTGGAATGGCGAACTCTCATCGAAGCCGGGCTCGCTGAACAAGGAGCTGCATAGGGAATGGGTAATAATATGCATTCAAAATTGAATGGCGCGCACACAGAAGATGATGGCAAAAACTTTACCCAATGCGACGCGACGGACGCAGGCGGCTGAACGTTGAACGACTCGAAGCGGTGGTGTGACTGGACTCGGATGGCTCAATGCTGCGTTCACGTGGCGTTATGAAACCACCTCCCTCCACCGCAATGGGTATAATGAATTCACGTGGACTCTTCTTGATGGGCTGAGAGGGGCCGCCTGTTACAGTCGACTGTGAAAGATTTGTGGCGGTGGCTGTGGTGGTATCCGACTCGGATTCAACGGTGGATTGACGTGACAGCGAGCCGGAACTGCAAAAAGAGACAGGTAACAAGGTTAAAGGTGCTTTTAAAACATTTATGCGAATGAAACTGAGGAATAGCAAAAAAAAAAAAACATACATGTATATACTATAGACTAAGCTTAAGCTATGTAAATTTCATATATTATTTCAGTTTTATATAAAATATGTATTCAACAAAGTCGTCTTCGTGTTTACGGGAAGTGACTTTAATGCATTACAATACCACCGCAAAGAGGAACTTAACAGCAGTATTTAATTTAAAACATGAACTTTGTCATAACACGATTTACCTTTAAATATATTAAATGCTTTACTTAATTTTGTGGTCGAAATGTATTTAATTTAAACAAGAAAGAACGTCATAGCACGTCCAGCAAGATCAACATTGAAGGACTCTGTAACAAACTTCCGGCGTTGAGTTATGTATATGCACCCAAAGCCCATAAATAAACTCGTGTTGTCTGGATACTGGAAGAGTCTGCATATCAAGTTTGGTGAATGTGGACTCAACCGTCTCCGAAAGTCGGGCGTTCATCCAGACAGACGAACAGATGGTCAGATGGACATGGCTCTAATGATTCGTCTCGTCATGCTGATTAAGAATATATACATATACTTTATGGGGCGGTCGGAGATAACTCCTTCTGCATGTTACCTACTTTACACAAACCTAATATACCCATTTTACACTATGGGTACAGGGTATACATATTGAACTATTTTGTAAATGCAACTTAACTGCGAAACGTGAGAATCAAGAAGAGCTAAAAACTATTGGGAGTCCTTGCTTCGATTGCTTCGAAGACTATAAATTAACATATTCATTTAAATTGAAGACGGATTTGAAATGTCACGTAATATTTTAAAGGAATGCAAATGTTTACATATCCACTCGATTTTTCCTTAACTCCTTACTCTCTAATAACCTCTAACCTCTTACCTCTAATAAATATTTTCAGATCACTTACCGTGTGGTCGTATTGGAACCAGTGCGTGTGTATGCGTGTGGAGGGCGCTGAATGGGTACGATGTGCTCCTTGCATGGCTCGAGACTCGTAGCGCGTGCTTGCACCGATGTCTTAATGGGGCTGAATGGTATGGGACCCTCGCGTGGTGGTGCGCTGCGTAGATCAGGAACTGGGTGCTGCATTTCTGTGGTGAAACGCATGGCTGGCTGCTCCACAATTCGCGGCTTGATGTCGAGTTGCACTTCGGATTTGGCATTGATTTTGCGGCGCGGCAACGTCGCCGATTTGAGCGTAATGGAGGCAGTAGAGGTTTTGACGGCGCCTGCGTTGGGATCACCGCCAGGTGAGGCTGCGGGGCAAAGAGAGAGAGTAAAGAAACAGAAGCAGATAAGTTAAGAGGATTAAATTTGAAATGTAGTGTTCTGGTAACGTCAACAAATAAGCAGAAGAAGCGTCAGCCTTAGAACGTGAACGTATTCGTAAAACAGAGAGCGGCAAGGTGTGGGCAGATGGTGGAGGGTGCCGAACAAGTGTTTGGTTGGGGCATGTGATTTTCTGGCAGCTGAGAAGGGGTTAAGCGTGATTGTGCGTGGGGTTAAGGCGCAGCGGCAATAGCAGTAGCCATGATTGCAACGACATTCTACAAATACAAGTATAATAAACTAACAACGGCAAAAACAACAACAACTACTACAGAGCAACAATAGTAACAGCAGCAAGAACAACAGCTAAGAGCAGCAAACAGAGTTTAGATTGGAAGATTTGACAATAGGAAAGCACACCAAACAAATTTACACAGATATAGATATACGAGATATATACTTGTAGTAGACAGTGAGACAGAGCGATATAAAGAGAGACAGTCAGTCAGTCAATCAGTCGGTCGGTCGGTCGGTCAGTGAGTCTGTCAGTGAGTGAGTCTACGAACGAACAGAACGAGAAACGAGCAACGTGGAACGTGAACGTGGAACAGAGCAGCAGAAGGAGGCACGGCCTAGTTGACCACCAAGACTTACATTTCAGCCACATAGCCGCAGGCAAGGCAGATGAACTGCTGGTAGTAATATTGGCATTGGTATTGAGTGTGTCTTGAGCTTGATTATGAAATGGTCTCGTGCGCGCATTGACATTGTAATTGATATTAGGCATCGTGTTGGCATTTGGTTGGCTGTTGTTGTTGTTCTTGCATTTGCTGCTGTTGTTGTTGTTGTTGTACTTGATGATGCTGTTGGCATAGGGCGTGGGCTGCAGGTGGGCGTGTGCTGGTGATTGCGGCGGCGTAAACATAGCGCTGCTTGACTCTGGTTGTTGCAACTGTTCCTGGCAGCGTTGCTGATATTGCTGTTGTAGCAGCCTAAAAGGACTCGTCGTCGTCGTCATTGTTTGCGGCGCATGTGGCTGGAATATGCTGGCCGTGCTGTAAGCGGCCTGCGGTTGCCATGTTCTTGGTCGTTGTGGGGCTTGCTGCTGCTGCTGTTGTTGTTGCTGTTGCCGCGGGGGTAAGTCAAATTGCGGCACACCGCCCGCAAATAAACGCTGCTGTATGGTCTGTCTAGCCGATGCCAAAGCGCTTGGAGCTTGCAGTGCGGGTGGTGCTGATTGAGGTGCTGGTGGTTGCTGATGCGGTGCCGCCGCTGCTGTGGTTGTGCCCGTTAAATAGCCAATGAAATTGCCACAAGTGGCGCGCATTGGCGCACAGCCCACCCCGCCCGCAATCGCGCCACTACCAACGCCATTGCCGATGCCATAAAATGGTGTTGGCCTGCGTATAACTAAAATTAAGATGATGAATCAATGAATGAGAGCATGTGTGAGAACTGTGAGAGCGACGCGACAGCTAAAAGGAGGGGGGCGCTAATTTACTAGAACAGGTGAGTAGAGACTTAAATGAGTGTGGTAATGTGTGGTGTATGCTAATGATGTGTGGATTATATGTATGTTCACTTCCAAATATGTGCGGTTTTTGTGGCTTTGCAAAGCGGCACGACTTGTCTTTGGAGGGGGGGACTTCAAATATATGAGTGGAGTAAGTGTAGCAGATTATACTTATTTATATATCCCAAAGCCCATATATAGTAATCCCATGCAGCACTCTTGCAAAACGTTACATACACATTGAAAATATGGAATATATCATAGAACAGGTAGAAACAAGAGGCAATAACCGAAAGCCCGTGCCCAATCGCCATACACAAGAGTTAGGTCAGACAAACCGAAAGATAATCACAAGCGGCACACCGTGCGTATGCTTAATATTATGAATATATTATTGAGCTTACTATTAATCTGTTATGGTATACATGTAAGCAATAAAGGATGTTACAGAAAGTTTAAGTATTTTGCTCTATAGAATTTATCATAGAAACCAATATTAAATAACTCCGGTTAAAGAGGAGGACACCGGTGAAAATTGTCGTTCTTAGCTACTAATGTTTTTATTTACTATTAACTCGATTCTAAAAACTTTACATATCAATTGAATCAATGCTTCACACATTTAAAGAAACACATTATACTTGTAGTCCAAGTAGAGTAAGTATTCGGGTCTCTGTAACATCTATTTTATTTCGTTCTGCTTGTAAAACCTAATGTCCAGGGGTGTTTGTTTTTAAGATCCTCTATCTTTTTGTCTAGTCTGGCTGCCTGACCTTCCAACTTGAGCATGGCACTAAAGCTAAACGCGAATGCTTATAGAATAGAACTGCTAGCAATAACCGTAAATGCGCAGCAATATTGCAAGACATGCTTTTTTTCTTGGTACTCACCCGGCTGTATGGCGTTTCCAATGATGGCGCGTGCATTCTTCAACTTACGCTCGCGTTCTGCCTCTGTGGGCTCACTAACTCCGATGGTTTCGGTCTGGGCGCACAGCTGGTCTAGCTCTTTGTTGGACTCGTTTTGTGCTTGTCGGAGTAGTGCTATTGAGTTCTCCATGGAGCGTCTTGCATCCTCTAGCGTGGCTGAGGCTACCGAATTCTTTGAGTCGCTGCCCTCGAGCGCAGGTGTTGTAATCGGCTCGGCTCCTGGCGAAGATGGAGGTGTGGCCAAAGCTTCAGCCTCTTGGGCAGCGGCTGCTGCTGCGGCAACTTGTTCCTGGGCACGCCGCTCACCAGGTGTGGGACCAGTAACAGGTGTTGGATTGGTTGCTTTACGCTCGAATTCTTTCTTAAAGCTGCCCACACTGACGCCGGGTATGCTAAGCTTTTTGGGCTTGTCTCCGACGGTTGGGGCTGTGATACCTGGGCTGGGCCCCATTTTTTGAAATTTCTCAGCTGTCTCGAGAATGCGGGATTTTCGTCGCTCCGAGTTAAATTTGTTGAGCGTCGACTCGTCCTGCAGACTGCACTTGCGAACAAATGGCGGTGCAGCAGCGGAGGGCATGGTCGTGTTGGCATTAGTGGATGGTGGAGGCGTTGATTTGTTGGCCGCTGGCTGTGCAGTGGGAGCGATGCTTTCATTGTTCGCCGCAATGGCATTGACCAGATCAGCGGTTTTATGCTTGTCTACGAATTTCTTGATCACCTTGGATGCATCCTTCTCCTCGGGCGTTTCTGCCACAGCGTCTAGTTTGCCGCGTGTCGGCTGACGTGACACGGTGTTGGCAATGGTAGTGGGGGGTGCTGCGGCTGGCGCTGCTTCGCCATTATTTTGCATTAGCTGCTCGCAAAGATCACCTACGTTTTGCATATCCTTTTGTGAGAAATTGGGTGCCAGTTTTGATGCCGGAGTTTGAGGTGGTTCCTCGACAATGGCACCTTCTGTTTCCATTGGAGCTTCCTCGGTGAGTGGTGCGGTGGTTTCACTGACTACGAACGAGTTGTTCGCAAGTTTATCTTTTTTCTTGGCCGTAATACCTGCAGCATTTTCTGTGGATACCGTGGGCTGGAGTTTACGCTTCGTTTGCACAGGACTCTGTGAAGGCGTGATGGTTCGTGTGGGCGATGGCATGAGCGCAGCTTCACCACCAGCTGCATAACAGCGACCGATAAAGAAAGAAAGAGAAAGAGAGAGAGAGAGAGAGAGAAAGGTGGGCATGGTTTAATGAGCGTGTGGTTAAATGGTGGCTTGCAGTTGTTTAGTACACTTCAGTGTCGTGTTTTAGCGGCAGTTGTACCGTTATTTTGAGGTTCGGAACATTCGCGTGACGAGGAAGTGGATAGTGGTTTCAAAATTTTGGGTGAGAGACCGCATGAGCAGCAATTAGTGGGAGTCGATGGGAATAGAACACGGACGCTGTTAGATAAGAGCACTTCACACTATATACAAAGAGATCGAGAGAACGAGCGAGAGCAAGATGTGCGCGATGGGGCACGGGTAACTGCAACTGCACGACTAAAAGAGGTAACTTACCAGCAACCATGTCCAGAATGCGTCGTTCCGCCTCCGTATTTGGCGCACCCATATCACGTATTGAGCCCACCGAATGACTACGTGCCACACGCTCGTTGCCCGCCTTGGCTGCGGCTGCCGCAGCTCCATCTGCTGATGGAACGACTAGTTGGTCCGCTGTTATAGTCGTCGGCGTCAGCGACAGCAAGACATCCAGACGGACGGGCGTCTGATTCGCCAAGTCCTCGGCCAAGTCCAGACAAGATACATTATCGTTCTCATTGACCCACCAATGGGAACAGATCTGCTCGATACTGGCGCGCTTGCGTGGACACACCGTCAGCATGTCCCGTATGAGTGTAGAGGCGCGAGATGGTTTACGCGGCTCATAGTAGTCACCTTGGCTAATTTGTTTCACCAGTCTTTTGAAGTTGGAGCCATCGAAGGGCATGGACCCGTAGACTAGAGTGTAGAGCAACACCCCGAGCGACCAGCAGTCTACCTCGGGACCCTGGTAGGGCGTGCCCTCAACAATTTCGGGTGAGGCATAAAGGGGTGAGCCGCAGAAGGTTCCCAGTAATCGTTGATCATCGAATACGTTGGAAAGGCCAAAATCCGCTATCTGTGGATGATTAAAGTGATTAGGAAAATTCAAATCGAAATGGACATACCATCTAGCCCTTCATTTTTCTACGAACCTTTGCATTTCCCTTCTCATCCAGTAATATGTTCTCCAGTTTTAAATCACGATGGCAAATCTTGTGTTTATGACAATAGTAGACAGCTGTTGCTACTTGCCGAAAAATACGACGCGCCTCCTCTTCGCTGAGCACCTTCCGTTCGGACAGGTAGTCGTAAAGTTCACCGCCAGCGGCAAACTCCATGACTAGCACCATTTTCTCGCGATTCTCGAATACTGTAAAGCATTACCATTTCACTATAAGAATGCATTTGTAAGAATCCCATTTTTGACGCACCTTCATATATGTGAATAATGTTGGGATGCTGCACCGAGCTCATGATTTGCACCTCGCGACGTATGCGCACCAGATCCGCTTCCGCCTCAATTTTACATTTCTTAATAGTTTTGATGGCCACTTCCTGACCCGTTTCCTTATTAATACCTAATTGCACTTTGCCATAAGTGCCTTGACCTAATTTCTTAATAATATCGAACCTGCAAGAGAAACGAAAACAAAATTTATATAAAATAAAAAAGAACAAGAGCGAACGCTACAGTCGAGCAAGCCCGACCGTGAAATACGTGAAATGTGGGCGGTATTGACGAAATTCTGTAGCGGAGGATGGGAAGGGGGGGGGGGGGGGGGGGGGGAAAAGAAATTCCAAAAAATAAAATAAGCTCATCCTTTCTTGGACCTAGCAGAATCTTGATATCGACTTTGGTTATTCCAGCTTTTATAGTTTCTGAGATCCTTGCGTTCATCCAGACAGACGGACGGATGGACGGACAGACGGATGTCTAGATCGATTTCTCCCGTCATGCTGATTCAGAATATATATACTTTATAGGTCGGAGATGCTTCCTTCTGCATATTACATACTTTGCACAAACCTAATATACCCTTTTTACCCTACGGGTACAGGGTATAAAAAGTATATTTATGTATATTAAAAAATGTATATTATTTTTGGGGCATAACTAGTTTGTTAGTTAGTTGTACTTGTTTTCCATTTATTAAAATCGAGATTTATTATTTGAAATATGCGCTTTGAGAGCTTTTTCGTTATCAAATGAAAATATGGAACATTTAGTGACCTCTTTGTATTGGTGTGGATTGCATCTTACCTTTGCCGCAGCTTCTTGCGATGGTTATTCATTTTGACATCGCCTGTGTTGCCAATGCTGCTCATTATATTGTCTATTTGATCCTGTGGTATGCCCGACGGATGCGCCATGCTATTAGGCCCATCATCGATGCCGGTATTGGTATTTGCAACATTTTGTGTGCCAGTAGCCGCCGTCACAATCGTTTCAGGTTTACTTATCACCATGGTTGTGGCTGTTTTGGTATTGTTGCTGCTTCTATTTTCCTAAGTGGTGCTATGCGCAGCGCAAATTACTAAAAAGGGAAAAGTAGATAGCAAAGATTTTGTGGTTAATTTCGAATTGTCAAGTCAAATACAAAGCTAGACTCAAATGAAAACAGTCTGCTGTTCGGTAAACTAGGCCACCAGCGGACTGCCCCACAATCAGGCGGATTCATCAAAATCACGACTCATACACAAACAGACCCACAAATACACATCCACAGAACTGTATGCTGCCTTCTATCCATCAAACGTTCAATCAAATGGGCAATCAATTAATTATGCTCCATGCGCGACGCACATGAGCTGCTGTTGCTGCTCTTTTTGTCAAGGTTCTCCCCTTTTGGATTGGTGGGCGGCAGCCAAAATACACTCGACCCAGTTTTTAGCTATGGCCGAGCAAGGCAAAAGCTGATGCGACCAGGGACCAGTTTTAAGGACATTTATGCAATTTTAACGCCATTGCCAGAACGGGCATACAGTCGCCCACCCATGATAAACGAGAGCTGGCAGTAAGTGTGGCAGTTTGTTGGTCACAGTTACACTCTAAGAAAATGTGAGGTGCATTCGAAATGACGTTTTCACATACATATATCTGATTTCTTGTATAGCTTTTATATCACACATACTATTATTTACTAGATTGGTTAAGCTTGATCCAAACTGGGTAAATAATTAATTTATAAATTTAAATAGGCAAAAAAATTTCATAGAAAAAAATCTATTTTTTTTAAATAATGTTATCCTTGTCCAAAATGGATGATTATTTCTGCTTAGGTTAAATTCTAATTAAGGAAGTATGATTATCAAAAAAATTCTACTTTATTATTTTCGCTTTTATATTTTAATAGTTTAACTCTATTTATACTATATGGTTTAAAAAAACTAAATGTCCTTAATCATTCCTTAATACTTGTATGTACATACAATCTCCAAAAAGGTTGTAGGCAAATATGGCACCGAGTGTTAGGTGATGATATGTTATTAATTATAATGGTTTTATTATTTCAGAAGTAAATTGATAAGAATACAAGATGCTGACGCTGTTCCAATGAGATCATACTTATTCTTATAAATTTCAAGCACACATATAAAATGTGATGCTATACAGGCCTGAAAATTGTTAAGTATGTATACTAAATAAATTTTGCTCACAGTCTATAAAAATGAAGAGACTATGTTTGTGTTCCTTTAAATATTCGGTTAAATTTTACAATTTCTATTCTGTGTATTTGTATATACACCTTCCATACCATAAGCTCCTGAAAACTAAATCCAAGCCAGGTAGATATTTTCTTCTGGTGTACGGAGGTTGTTTTGTCGTTTAGCCTGTCATACTTAAAGTTCCAAGTGCCTAAGCGGACGGGCAAGTGTCTGCTGCGACTGCCTGCCTAAAGTGGACGACGACACTCGTTGCTTTCATATCCGCTTCGTCTCCAGAGCGGGCTATGGCGCCATAGCCCATTGTGTTGTCATTCAAAATCCGTTACTATTAGAAAACTAATCTATCAGTCTTGTGTGGGCATGTGAGCGCAACTATAAGATACTGAGCCACTAGCTTGGCCGTGACAGTTATGACTTGGAAATGCCGTTTTGATGCACAGGGTTAAGCATCCACAACACTCGCTCTCACAAATGCATGGATAAAAAGTTTTTGGGCCAACTGCAAGGGACAACAAACGAAACGAAACGACATAGTGTACAATATCAATTAGCAGCAGCAAATGCAACAAAAGCATGGAGTGAAAGATAAATAGATAAAGTGAAAAGGATAGAGAAAAGAAGAGTCTGTCAGTGTAGTGGCGCAGACTTCTATGCTAGTTGTTGGAAATGTTCCAATTATAAATGTGCACTTGATGGCAAGTAAATTAAAGTCCAACCGCAAATACAGAAGCCGGGGGGAAGCGAGAGGTCGAGAGAAATGAAGAAGAGCTAAACAAAAACAAAAAATATCAACAAAACTACTAACTCAATATCAGACTGAGAACGCACACAAACAGCAGACAGTGAAGCGGCCAAGCGGGAGGCAGGGACGGACAACAGACAAACAACTAAGCAACACTCAAGAGCGCTTGTTGGGGTAGCCATGTGCGGTAAGCGCTTGGCACAAGCCACAACAAAGCATGTGTATCTATATATCTATGCATCTACAGGGTGTTGCACATTAATTGTATGAGTATCTTTAAGATACATGCATGCATAAAAAATGGGCGCGCGTGCTCAACAGGAATGAAGAAATTAATCTTTACACGCAATTGTATTACGGAACCATCGTGTAGCTGTGTAGCTTTGGCATCTGCTGCATAAGCACACACACACTTATAAATATATATATGTATATATATACCCATACACAAAACGCACATGTTGGTAAATGATTTTGAAGCAGTGCATCGCACATTTTTAAAGTGCGCTGAACTCTGTTTTGGTTCTTCATTTATACATCTGTATATTTGTTGTTGATGTTGTTCGTGAACTGAAAAAATTCGTTTTCACTTAAAGCAATTTATTTTGTATCTGCAGGCTACAATAACATGGCAGCTGCAAAGTCCAGCACTGCTCTTTTATACCCTTGACGAAAGGGTGAAGTGGGCTTCTAAATAATAAGTAGAGCAGCACTTTTTAAATAGTGGGGGGTATAATGTCAAAAATGGGTTTAGAAATCCCAATATAGCCTTAAAATCCATTATTTTAAATTGAAATGAAAGGCAATTCCACACCGCGAATGACGGCATTATCTAAACCTAAAGTTTCTGATAAAACTTGTGCTTCCTAATCTAAAATGTATCTCTTAAATACATTTTCTTTTTCTAGGGATTTGCAAATGCTTGATTATACTATATGTTATAAGTACTTAAATAATAATTTTTAGAGCAAGCTTCTCAGTTTTGAACCAAACTACATTACCAGTTTTTATAACAGAAACCACAGAAATAAATTAATTGATAGGCATTTGTAAACTCGAAATTTGTATTTATATAATAGAGAAATTATGGTTATATATGATGGTTCAATTAACTATTATAGAAAAGGAAAACATTGTTTTAAACTTTCTGTGAACAAAATATTTATTTTTGCAGGGATACAAGTCATAAAGGTGTGATTTATTAGAAAGTCCTCAATGATTCACAATTTTTCAAATAACAATTATTTGCCACTAATTTGTGTAAAAAATTTTAGCTAAATGAATGGCAAAGAAGCATAAAAAAGTTTCTAATTTGTGATGAAAACGATAATAATATTAGAGATAGTAGTATACGTATTTGATTATATTTTGAAGAGTATTTTATCTGAGACTCTAACTTCCTCAACATGTTCTCTGTGTTGGCACAAGGACCGCACATGTCATTGAGCAGCTAGCGAAACAACTAACTACGTGCCATCATTACACATGGAAGGGCGAAGGGATGGACAGCAGCACAGTCTTGGACAGCAGATAAACACGAGTGACAGCGACGCGTTTCTGACATGGCGCACGGCCTGTTGGCCAAAAGTTGTTGAAATATCTGTGCTTGCTTTTCCGTCAGTTTGGAATTTCTTCTGCAAAGGGAAAATATTTTCGTTGTATCTCGTGTGCGTACTATTTGGGGTTCAAGTCTATATCTGCGCTGCAGACAAGAGGCAAGAGGCTGTACGTAATCTTAAATATGTATGCAAATGAAATGTTTTTCTGGGTCAAGTCGAGCGCGACATTTGCTGATGTATTTATGATAAGTTGCCCCCGCTGATCTGTCGCTGGTCCAGCAAATAAACACTTCTACATATATCCGCATATTTGCAAATATTGTTCTATGTGCCTTGGTAGTGGTTTATGGCTATTTGTGTGTGTAAGTAAGTTGTAGAGTGTGCGTGTGTGTGCTCGTGCTATCTTAGTTGGGCCAATTGTTTGTTCAAGCATCTGACTGAGCTGTTGAGCATTTCAAATGATGCGAGAAATGTGCAATAAATGTATAAATTTAATACACGTTCAATAGCATAAACCTATTTCTTTTATGATAATGAAAATCTGCGTGTGGAATGAACAAAAAATAAATAAATTCAATAAAAATATTGGATTGCTAACGAATTCTGCTACAACTACAAAAAACAAAAGCACGATCCAGTTATCCAATTTATGACAATTGTAAATAATTTAAATAAATAAATATACCATATGCAGATTCATAGACAAACATTAGGATAGGGCAGATGGAAATGCATTAAATATTGACAGGAGGCCCTTGGGTGTAAGTGACTTTGGAACTAAGTGGTACGAAAATAAATTTTGTCATTAAAAGGTTTAAGTGGAATTCAATTTATTCTGCAATTTGAATGCATTATTACGCTTCAGCAATATTGAATAACTCGTTAACAGCACCTGAATTGGGAAATTGAGTCGAAATATGCATTCAGGCGACAAGTTATGTACGTCGTGGTTAGTTTACAAACAATTTAAATGATCAGCTTGTAATTCGGTAAACCATAGTTGAGGAGACCACAAACACATGAATTGCAAATAAATGTATGTGAACCAGAAACAATTGCAATTTAATATCTTTTCAACTACTTGTTACAATTTTTTAATAGCTTACAGATTATAAAGCCACTAAAAACATATTTCAATTACAATAGTTTCATTTTTTTTTTTTTTTTTATCAAATTGGACGGCTATTTTGACCAAACAGTTATTTGTCTTGTATTTAATCTAACATACATTACTTTGGAGTAAATTCGTTACACTTGCTTTGCTTTTCACTTATTACTTCTAGTTAATACTTGATTGTCAAAATTTTAACATCTTGACTATATTAAATTTGTATGAGCATTTTGCCACAATTAAAACAAAGTACTTGTACTCGTACAGACAGTTTTAAAAGTCAATAAGTCAAAGCGAAGAGTTCGCAATGTTCAATTTATGTGTAGGTACTCGTATATACTCATGTCAGACAGAGATATAAACAAGTCACAAGAACAACAATGAGAAACATGAGCATTAATTGTGTTATATAAATCACACAATTTATTATGATTGCTAATTTACGAGCTGTCTGTG